CTGTCTACGGCTTCAACCACGGAAGTGTAACTGGTTTCTGGTCTTACTCCACAAACTTCCCTATGAGCGCATACGGAAAAGGAGTAATAACACTCAAATATTAAACATGGGAAAGTACATAATAAGAAAAGACTTGCTAGTGAAGTTTAAGTATAATTAGGACTTAATGGGGATTGTGTTTTTACAAAGTCACGCATAAAAGCTCCCAGGAATGCTGAGTCACACTTAGGCCCGCACAGCCATGAGTACACGTAAAACGAATGCATGTTAATATCTTCAGCACACATTTTCTCTCAGCTGGAAGGAACTGGAAGGAACAGGCACATCGCACCTGGACACTTGTCTATCCGAACAGAGGCAGTGGCTGTTGGGGAGAGGCTCAGGGACACAGCACTAAGTCCACGATCACCCACCACATACAAAAAACGACAGTTACCTATCCAACTAACAACACAAGAAAAAGCTAAGCCATCTCAGGTATGGTTCTTACATGCAAAGCTAAACACGGGCAGAAACAACAACAACACAAAACAAAACCCAATATTTTATAGGCCCCAAATGCACCCTACACAGAAACTACACAGAAACTACGCAGAAACTCGGAGTGGGCCAGAGGAAGAAGGCAGAGACGGGGCAGAGGGTCAGGCGGGCATCCCAGCCCCTGGGCTGAGCCATTGTCACCTATGATCTCCCACCTGGGGCTGGAGTTAGTCCCTCAGCTGCTTCACCCTCCAGCCTTTGAAGACTAGACTTGGTGTTTGGGAGAAATAACAAGTTACCCATGAAGGTTAAAACGCTTTCTGGGAGGAAGACGGTTTCAGAAGGAGGAACGGGCGGAGTCCTAGGGGTGGGGGAGGGGGGACTGAACTTCATCATATACTGTGAGTCAATACTTCTGTTACCTACAAACAGAGATAGAAAAGGATCCACAGGACACTAGATGCAACTCATGGGGAGGGTGGTGGCCCAAGGGGAGACTAGGGGACTGAGAGCATGAGGAGCTCTGCAGCAGAGTTACTCCTGGTGACTGGTAAGAGCGCAGTTAACGCCACTGCTGTGAGTTATCCTTAGGGGACACTGGCAATCCATCAGCATGAAACTTACGGATTCACCCTGCATTAATTACATTTCACCTTCCCTGCACCTGAAGTCAGACAGTACCCACAGAGTCTAGGCCTTGGATTTGGACCCATTTCTCAGAAGCGATTTTTACACGAGTGACACATCCTCCTGGAATAGAGCAGCAGACACAGAATACGCGTACTCACGTCTTCTTAACCTACTGATTGGCACGTGCAATATAACAACTGGCAGAGCACTTGTAAAAATGACAGAGAGAAAGACGGAGAGAGACACAGAGAGACACACAGAGAGACACAGAAAGACAGACATACACACACAGAGACACAGAGACAGACGGACAGACATACACACAGAGAGACAGAGACAGAAAGACACACACACACAGAGAGACAGACAGACAGACAGACAGACACACACACACAGAGATCACCTACCCTTACAGCATCCTAACTGCCAGGTGTAGCAAGTCCCATGGGAGTGCTTTTAACTCAGCACGTGTCACCGGGCAGAGAGAAAGGGACGATTCTGAAAGCCTGGTGATGCTCACCCCTCCTTTCACAAGTCAGCAGGGAACCAGGAGACAGGTGAGGAGGAAACACAGAGGGTTACACCTGAAGAGTGCTCAACAGGGGTCAAGGCCATGACACCCAGCGGGACGCATGGGACTTCATAATTCTGGGAGCGGCAGGGACGTTGTGGGCTGACCTTAGTATAGTACAGCAAGTTTCTTCTAAACCCAATTTAAGGTCTGTGTGTAGACCGAGGAGGACACAGACACAGGTTAACCTCGAATAACCTAGCAGCAGGTCTACATCAACCCAGATATTTACCCTAGAAGTCTCATTGTAACTGTGTGTAACTGTGCAAGGGCGTGTGTGTGTGTGTGTGTGTGTGTGTGTGCGTGTGTGTGCGTGCGTGCGTGCGTGCGTGTGTGTGCGTGTGTGTGTAGGAAAAAACAAAGGTACACTTTCTTCAATCATTAACAAGACTCAAAAGAAACGTAGTAGAGACATAGAAAGGTGTCTACTGACCCTGGTCATGCTATAAGACCAAAGTATGGGCTGTTAATGCTAATAGACCTCCATTTCTACCCAGTGGTTAGAAAGGCAGCTGCCAGCCCTAAGCATTTGCAGCTCGGTGGCAGGCATCATGGGCACCAGAAGCATCTAGTCTTGGATTGAATCCTACTTCCTCTACTTGCTGGCTGCTTGAGCTTGGGCATCTGCACTTGGCCACCTCTGTGCAGTAGACATGATAAAATACTCCTTCTATGGGAATTGAGTTAATGCAGCTTCAAGGACACAGGTCAGAGGCCATCTCACACTGAACGCATAGTAAATGACGGGTGTCCTTCCCAGTCAGATACTCTGGGAATACTGTGAGTCAGGAAGCTGTCACACAACAGTCTGGGTGTTTGTGGTGGCGACAACTGACCAGTGTGGGTTTAGCTGAACTTCTAGGAGAAGTCCTGCAAGGTCTTGGGTGCAGTGTCTAGCCACCCCAGGCAGGTTTCTGCATCTACAGTTTAGGAACCCTCTATGCCATGGGCATATAGTTTATATTAGTGAAGGTACACTTAACGTTTGCTGTTGTAACTTCTCTCCAGTTGAGAAAATGAAAGCTGGTAAGCTTCAGAATCTCAGGAAAAACTGGCAGACGCCAAAGCACCCAGGGACGAGCAGACACAGAGGCACGTGGACTTAAAATAAGATTGTCATTTTAAATGCGCTGGGACCTAAGCTGCAGAAGAGGAGGCTTCAAGGGCCTCGCACAAGCCGAGTCTCTGCTGGTCTGGCATAGCTCTAGAGATCTAAAAATGAATCGTTGACATTTTAAGAACCTGGTTATAGAGTTCCAGTTTAAAGGGCACACACACAACCCTCTCCAAAAACACGAGTGGCAGTTGCCATGACAGCAAAAGGCAGAGCCTCCAAGCCTTTGTTACCCTGTTGGATGGAGATGCTGTACAAAAACATACTCATGGCAGACTCTTGACTAATGAAGTGGGAAAGGTGAAAATATATATATATATATATATATATATATATATATATATATATATATATATTTCCAGATCCACACGGGTTTTGCCTGTTCATGGATCTGGAGAGCAAGTACTGGCATATTAATAAGCAGCAACTAAGTAGGCCGTAAGTAAGACAAAAAAAAACACGTCTAATATTGAAAAGCCAGGCAAATTCTTTCCCCTTCATCGTCGTCTCCTAACAAGCTGCACCTTACTGTTTTAATAGAACGGTGCATTTGAATCACACGACTCAGCTACCCAAGTGTCCTGTGTCACTAACATCCTGACACACTTGCGTTCCTGGGCTCACTGATTCCAACTCAGACTTCCGCATGTTAAGCAGCTATGGTGAAGAAAAAGTGGTTTCTAGATGTTTCTGTGTGCTTCCCTTGCCGTCAAAATGAAGAACAAGAAGAGAAAAGATATGTGTGGGAGGGAGAAGGGAGAAGAAGCAGCCAGGGGGCGTGGTGACATCATCGCAGCACCCCAGGGGGTGTGGTGACATCATCGCAGCACCCCAGGGTGTGGTGACATCATCGCAGCACCCCAGGGGGTGTGGTGACATCATCGCAGCACCCCAGGGGGTGTGGTGACATCATCGCAGCACCCCAGGGTGTGGTGACATCATCGGGTGCCCACCCCTGTGTACGGAAACAAGCATTCAGTGCCTGCCAATAGGAAACACGCTGATGGACTGACCACGTTGGTTTACGACGGGGAAATGGACATCTAAACGTCAACAGTGCCAGACAATGGCCTAGACCCCTCCCATAAAACCCTATCTGAATCCTCACGATGACCCCTCTTACAGAAGAAACTCAACAGAGTGTGTCTTGTCTGGGAAGCCCTCCTGGTCACGACCCCACGCTCTGTCCTGGTAAGCAGAGATGATGCCCATGATGGCCCCTTACTACGCACTTGCTCCTGACGCTGGGAGAGGTATGCTGGCTTCCTACTTGCCACCCTCCTCAGCAGCAGGAGCCATCTACGCCTTTGCATCTGAGGTACCCGAGTCACTTGGTGTTTTACATGTATGTTCAAGGCAAGTGGGGTGAATACAGTTCTGTTTAGTTAAGAATTTACTAAACTCCCGTTAAACAGCCACTAAGTTATTAGCAATGACAGGGTCACGTAGCAAGAAGAGCCGAACCCACCCATGCTCTGGAGCCGTGGGTTCTCAACCTGTGGGTGGAGATCCCTTTAGAGGTCGCACATCAGATATTTACATTATAACTCACAACAGCAGCAGAATTACAGTTATGAAGTGACGATGGAATAGCAATTATGGTTGGGGGTCACCACAGCACAGGGACCATGTTAAGGCAGCTGTAGGAAGGTTGAGAACCGCTGCTCTGGAGAGCCTTGTGGTAGACCAGAAGTCTCCTAGTCAGGGTGAAACTCATGGAGGGAAGCCAAGGGGTGCAGTTTGAGGGTCCCACTTCCTCTCCGCCACGCCCGCCACTGTCCCCAACACACAGTATTCAGTAAAGTAAGTACAGGGACAATGCTTTCTTGTGTCAAATTATACTAAGCTGGTGTCAGGACTGGGTGTTTTCCCTGGCAAGTCATCAGACATGCTCCATGAACGGCATGGATACAGAGACTTTTCTAAAGGTTTAATATATGGCCAGTGAGAAGGCTCAGTGAGTCAAGGTGTTCACCACCAAGCCTCACGGCCTAAGTTCACCTGGCAGAAGCACAGAGCTGACTCCTTCAACTTGTCCTCTGACTTCCACACACATGTTGTGGTGCACGCAGGTGTGAGCATGTGCGTGTATGCGTGTACATGCATGTGTGCAGGCATGAGCGAGTGAGCGCGCACACATACCCACACACACGCACACACCCCAAACAAAATGTAAAAGTTTTCCAAGTTGTATCTAGTACTTACAATTGTATAACCCCGTCAGAGCACTTGGGACACGGCTGCTGGCTGCTCCTGTCCTCTTTACGTTGACTCTGCCCCAGCTGAACAAACCTACAAATTGTAACAGATGAGAATGAGCTATGAGAGCAGGAGCTCGCCCCAGGCAGAGCGGCGTGGCTGAAGCCCCCTGCGCTTATCTGTTATCAAAGTGGGAAACTACACCGTGGGCACGCGGGCGAGAGGCTCACCCGAGGCGGGAAAGCTACGAAGGACCCAGAGCCCTGGCTCAGCTTCTTCAGGGCCTGGCAATCCTTCTCTCACACCCCAGCTACTCCAGCTACTCCAGCTACTCCAGCTACTCCAGCTACTCCAGCTACTCCTAGGAAAGCCCTCCAATCAGATAGAGGAAGGCAGACAGGCCGCCATCGCACACCACCCTCCCCAGGAAGGCAGAGTCATTCACGAGCGCACTAACTCAGACTCCTGACCACAGGATGGCCCGTTCCACACACGCCCATTCCCCTCAGATATTCGGAGTGGTCTGCTCTGTTTCCATGGGAGGAGACAGGGCAGGGTCAGGGAGCTCATTTCCTTTCTGTTTGTCTACCATTTAAAATATCTCCCTTTGGTGACTATGGATAACCTCATCATTTATTCTTCATAAGCTTTTTTGAAGGTCAAGTGCTACAGAAGCAGCAATTATGAGATTCTTACAGAGCTGCTGACAGACTCCCTAGAACTCGCTGACGTTGATGACAAGTGATGAATTGTGTCCACTGTTGCGAAGAAGAGAGAATATCATGGAGCATTAGCTACACACATTAAAATTTCTCAGCTAAAGTATACAGCCACTATCACAATAAAACATTAAAACTGTGGTGCTGGAGAGACGGCTCGGTGGGTAGGAGCACTGGCTCTTTTCCAGGAGACCTGGGTTCGATTCCCAGAACCCACATGGCAGCAGACAACTGCTTATAACTTTAGTTCCAGAGGATCCCAATGCCTTTCTCTGGCCTCCTTGGACACCAGGCAAACATGTGGCACACACATACACACATACACACACACACATACATACATACACACACACACATACACACACACATATACACATACACACACACATACACACACACACCACACACACACACACACACACAGAGACACATACACACTCCAGGGCCCTGTGTCCCCGAGTCAGCTGGGCCCTCACTCCAGGGCTCTGTGGCTGACTCAGCTGACTTCACTGTTCACACACACTCTATGGACACCAGCTTAGGGGGAGACCTCAGGGTAGGAAGCCACAGTTCGGGGCAGAACCCCACGGGCTCATGCTCAGCTCTCTGCACCAAGATAGCCCCAATGTCGGCTGAAACAAGAGCGTGGCTATGCAGTCCCTGAATATACCTCAGTCGCCCCGGCGTAGCTGCCCAGTGAAAACTTCAGGAGTTTGCATGGAATGTCTCCTGCCAAAGGCCCATGCATGAAAAGCTTGTTCCCGGCACAGGGCCGCTGGTAGGGAGGAAGGTGGCAGGATTCTTAAGATATGGGGCCTGGTCCGAGGCTTCATGTCACTGGAGGGTATAGAGACCCTCATTTGCTCTGCCCTTCCGTGTCCCAGCCAGGAGACAAACGGTTTTGCTTCAGTAAGCATTCCCCACCATACTGTTTCCCTTTGCCTCGAGTCCCAACAGGGTCAACTGGCCAAGGGCAGAAATCTGCACATTTGTGAGCCACAGCAAACATTTCTTCTATGTTCATTATCTCAAGCAATCCTGTTATAGCTGCAGACAGCTGACTTTGCCTCCGTCAATGGCTACGGACGATGAGGAAAGCAATACCCTACACAGGCCTGTGGAAGAATGAGGTGTCTGGAAGGGACGCGGGGCCGAAGGGGGGGCTGCTTTCACAGGGAAGGAGTGGACAGTGTCCCCTGCCCTCCCCTTTCACGGTAGGCATTAACGGCCGAGGGAGGGACCCCAGTGGAAGAGCATAAGTTGTCTAACCACAGGATTGCCAGGAAGCCCAGGGTATGCCTGCCTCCTGGACTCCTGGACTAGTCACCTAACAGCCCTGCACTTTGAGACTTTAAAGAGATTGGTAATCTCTTTGTAACCAACTACAGAGGCGTCTGAAGAACAAGCAATACACTGGAAGCCTTATGTGACTGGAAGGAGGTATAATCTCCCAGGGTGGGCTGCCCTGCTCTGCAGCCTTCCCTCCTGGACAGCCTGCCTTCCCATCTTCTCAGGCTGTTTCCAGGGATGCTGAGGCTGACAGAGCCTGTATCTCACTCCTGAAAGGGGACAAAATGAAGTAAAGCTCAGGGTCCGAGCCAGTGAAGGCTCCAGGGGAGCCATGTCTGAGGCAAAAACAAAGCAAAACAAAAAACCCCAGGAAACACCTGTTTCACCTGAGCTAACACCTCAGTCCTTGTCAGCCACACTCACACCTTGCAAGAGGCTTGGGTGTTCACCTGGCTACCGGCCCCCACCAGCCGTCCTTCCAGGCCAGGCTGCTTAACGCTGCTGCGTGCCCAGGGGTGAGCATGTGCGGCTGGGTCTAAGTGACTGACTCAGCTCTAGCTCAGAGTGACACAGGTTTATAAAAGTACCCGGTATGAAGGCTGATTTTGTAGCCAAGATATGGCGCGTATTTCATGGTCTACGAACCACAGAATGGATCCTACTCATCTGAAATAAAAACTGGCATCATTAAAAGGAAATGTCCTTAAAAAGAAATGCAGAGTTTGTGCTTGTTTGCATTACAGAAATACACAAGGTGAATCAGTGAGTGGCGTAGGTGAGTTGACATTTCCATGGAACATACACGTTGTCTGAAGGTTAAATTAGGCTCAGGAGATGCTTACGTTGGTCCCGCCAGGTTCTTGATGTCTTTAGGGTAAAGGATCTCTTGGAAGATCTTAGAACTGGAATATTTCCTCACACACACCTAATGCCTCTTGGTGAGCCCTCCTGTCAGCGAAACCCGGCTTCACCACACACTGTCGACTGGCACACGCACTCAGCCACTTCTCCCCACACAACATCTAGATCAGTTTCTGAGAGGTACTTGATCTTTATACCAGGAGGCGGGGGGGGGGTGTTAGCTGTGTATTCACGCCTGGCTTCAGATGGACATGGGCAGCATGATGCGTAAATGTCCCATACATAGCCTGTCAGCTGGGGTGGGTAGGGGCAGCACCTCGAGCGCTAGGTTTTCTTCAGGACCGTGGAAAGGAGTCCATTTCATCTTGACTAATGGCCAGAGAGCTTAAAAATGTCTTTATGTCCTTAAGTCTACAGCTTGGTGGCTACAGGATGTAGACTTGGGCCCAGGTGCTGTCTACCCTCAACCCTGAAGGCTGGATGGCAGGTGCCGCTACAAAAATACCTGGAGAATCAAGGGGAGTAACTCTCTTTGCTCCTTATACTTGATAATAGAAGTCCTCTGCCATTTTGTCTCCACCCACTGCTGGCTGAATACATAAGCGTGTAAGAATAAACTAAGGGAGCATTCGGTATGGATTGAATCTACCCTCCCGACAGCTACCCTGTGCCCACCCTGCCCCCACTCAGGTTCGAACCTGCAGCTGCTCGGCTGGCTCTGATTGCAGCCCCCTGCAAACACAGCCCCCGACAGCCCTCTACCCCCAGTATAAACCAGGGTTTCAGATCTGCGGTCCAAGCAGAGTCTACGCCCCACCACCGTTTACAGTGCTGTTGGCCACTTCCTCAGCCTGACACTCCAGCGTCGTCTGGGAAAAGGGAACTTCGGCTCCATAGCTCCGTCGGACTGGTCTGTGGGGCAGTCTGTCTGTGGGGCAGTCTGTCTGTGGGGCAGTCTGTCTGTGGGGCAGTCTTCCTCGCTGGAGGAAGTTGGAGGGCCCAGCCTTCTGCGTGTGCTGCTCTTTCTGGGCAGGTGAACCTGGGCTGTGTAACAAGGCACCCAAAGCCAGGAAGAGCCCCTCCATGGTTCCTGCTACAGCCCCTGCCCAGGCTTCTCTCAAGGACCTGCAAGCCAAATAAACCCTCTACTCCTTAAGTCTGGTTTGCTCAGTATTTATCACAGCAACAGAAAAGTTACAGCATATGTCATAATAATCACACGTCTTCCTTCCCTTTCTGTGTGAAAGTCTCTCACCTGGCATAAATGGAGAAGTCTTCCTCTGACAGGGTATCCGAGAGGTTAATCCCATACACTTCCTTCATGGGCTGGACCACACTCTAGAGTTTTAAGAACAGGAGTCAGTTAGAGTCAGATAATCTCCATGTTAACATGCCCGGGATGAAGGAAACAAGCCTAAGAGCTTACCTACAAAAGCAACAGTACATTTAAAAAAATATTTCTCAGTTAATATCTTTCAAAACAAAACAAAACCTGTTTGTTGGGAGCAGTGGCTCACAGCTCACACCTGTAACCCTGGCCAGCGCTTGGGAGGCTGAGGCAGGACTTCTGTGAATGTGAGGCTAATCTGAGTCACATAGTGAATTCTAGTACAGCATGGTATACCCTACCTCAAAACAAATCAACAAAAATACAAACAAACATAAACCCCAAGAAAACTGCTGATTTCTGTTTCTTACTAAAATGGCTTAGTTTAAGGTTTTAAAATGTGTTAAATAAACATGGCTGTTGTATCTAATGCAGGAGTTGGAAACCTCTGTTGCTACTACTCAGCTTTAGCGTATGGTGTGAGCCACCATATGCAATGTGAGTAGGCACAGCAGGTTTCCAACATAACTTTATTTTCACAAACAGGCAGCGGGCTGGATTTGGACAATGTCAGTTCATTAACTCCTCAACTAACGGGATGAATTCTCACCGCACCGTGACTTAGCCATTTCTAGAGAGCAGTTTCCCTCACAGCCAGATCATTGGGCCGTGTGCTGTTCTGTCTATTTGTCTTCCTTACTATGTTAGCAAACTCGATTTCACAGGACTCATTTCCACTGGCATATCCAAAGACCGGGACCCAGCTCCAAACTCTGTATGCTAGGTGTCCAGGGGGGACATCAAGTAAATGCCACGTTCACAGACAGACAAGATGCTCTCAAAACTTCTGAAGGGGTAAGAAATTTTCCACTACAGAGAGGAGCACAGCCCAAAGCATTTCCAAGTTTAAGTGGAACGCGGCCATCCTATGCTGTGCGTGGGGTAACATGACATTTTCTGCTCTCGGCCTTTTAAGTGACAGCACAGTGCTAAAGGTCCTTTTCCAGAGCCTGGGGCGGCTCACACACTTCCACCTCGCACCTCAGTCACTTTGGCACTGTCCCCGGAGTCGGCCATCTTCACAGGAGTGGAGCGCTGAGACACAGAGCCTTCATCTTCCCGGTCAGTGCCAGAGTCGTCCTCAGAGCTGCTGGACACGGCTTCCTCGCTGGGCGGTGGCGGGGCGCTGGCTGCTGTTTTCCGCTGCAGGACCGTCTCCTCTCGGTTGCTTTTGCTTCTTTAAAAAAGACAAATATGAGTGTGAGCCTCTTCAGGCTGCACCCTCAGCCCACGTCCGTCCATCCGTCCGAGGGGACCCCAGGAGCGTGTAAGGGGCCAGCATCTGGATTCAGGTCCTGCTGGGGCGGAAAAGCTAAAACTGCTGTAACTAAAAGCTAAGGCAAATGTACTCGAGAAGGGCGGAGGCCTCACCGCTTGGCTCCTGCACCTTCTCCTGGTAACTGACTCAGTAAGCGGACCGTGCTGGAGACCCAGGGCTGTCACGTGGCTGCTGGGGATCATATCGGACTCTCCAGCTTACAGAGAAAGTGTTTTACTGACCCAGCCATCTCCCACCCCCTGCCCCCTACTGTTAAAATATTTCAGTGTATGCCGCTAAAGAGGCGGTCATACTTGGAGACATCACCGGAAAGAAGGGAAGCAGTATGTCTCACCACTTAGTGTAAAAACAATCTCATTCTGACCTTCTCCAACTGAACGTTAAACCGACAGTATTTCTGTGCTACACCCCTGCCCAGGCGGCCAGCGGGTCGCCGCTCTGTCCTGGGAACACCTAGGTGGAAAACCCTCAACACTTCCCTTTTTGAAACTTAACATCCGGTCAGGGCTCAATGCGAAGCTCCTGAGGGGTCATGGATTTGGGGTACAGAAGTGGAAGGCATCCGCCTCTGACCCCGGGTGTAAACTACACCTAGCTCAAATCCAACTGCATAGCCACCCATCAATACAGCTGGGATACTGTATCTACAGTCTTGCTGTGACTTCTGACCCAAGTCCAGGAGCAATGCAACCATGGTAACCAGGTGGGTCACCCGAGGTGACAGAGAGCGTCTTTGGCCGGAACACTACACACTTCACTCCTATCTCTGAGTAGGGAAGAGGCAAAGGTGGAGTGTTCTTGTCATGTTGTTAAAGCAATTTCTTCCTGCAAATAATGTTTTAGCCATGCACAGGAAATTTATCAAGCTGTCAGAGTACACTTGCTTTTACTATTCAGATGCCAACAAAGATCAATGTAATAAGGACAATTTTTAATTAAGTATTCTATGTTGAGAAACAAAGAAGGCTGTGTTGTTGATAGAGCATCTGTCCCCATCTTTATCCCATATGGTATGCTCACAATTTAAAGTAATAAAATATACCATGCTGAGATTACTGTAAATTCTATTTCTCAATAGTGGACGTTTTAATGACCTCAGCGCTACACATGAGCTACAGGTATAGATGCAGCGAACAGAGTTTAAACGATGTGACTTGACATCATTAGTTCTGCATGGAGATACTGCCGTAAGCACGACTATGTTACATAAATCTTTACATTTTCATTCTGTATGCAAATCTTACCCCAGTACAGATTTCCCTGTTTCATCTGGCTTTCGCACAGTAAATGGACTTGGATCAATGCCAACAGTCTTAGGCATAAAATCACTAGAAAAAAAAAAAAAGAAAGCAAGAAAAGGTAAAATACCGTAGCAGTCACCATCCATGTAGATGACGGTGGCATGTGCCTCAGTTTACACTCACTGGTCTCTGCTACCCGTGCCCCTGGGGTCTGTACTAGTTTAACACCGGTACCCTGGAGCGTCAGCTGACAGGGATACAGAGAAGCCATGAACTTTAGCTCTGGGCAACGTCCATGTGACCACATCCACATGACCACATCAACGTGACCACGTGGCTTGACTTGTAACTGTAGGAGCCCAGGAGTTTTGAATGTAAAGTTGTGTTTGCTGGAAAGAGATGATACCCAAGGCATTTCGAGGATGTGTACCACCTGGTTAAATATCACAATTAGTCCTCTGGTAAATAAGCCAGTGGCCAAACACTAAGCCATTCAGGCCTACACACCATCACACCATTTTTTTTTTCTCCAGCTTTGGAGCATGTCCTGGAACTTGCTCAGTAGACCAGGCTGGTCTCGAACTCACAGATCTTCCTGCCTCTCCTTTGTTGGGATTAAAGGTGTTTGCCACCAACACTTGGCTACATACCATATTTTTAAGCCAGATCACAAAAGGAGGTAGATATAATGATCAAATCACAGTGGTATGATCCACCTCATTAAGCTAGGACTAATTCATAACACTCACTACTGTTGGAATCTGGGCTGATCGGAATGAAATTGACCCCCATTGACTCAAAGGGAATGGCCTTATAGGGGTGTGGCCATACTGAGGAGAAAGTGTTCCTGGGGGTGGGCTTTAAGGCTTCAGAAGCTGAAGCCAGGCCCCGTCTCTCTCTCTCTCTCTCTCTCTCTCTCTCTCTCTCTCTCTCCCCCCCCCTCCCTCCCTCCCTATACAGATACAGACCCTCAGCTCCTCTCCAGCACCGTGTCTGCCTGCATGACATCATGCTTCCCACCATGACGACCATGGACCGAACCTCTGAACTGTAAGCCAGCCCCAATGAAATGTTTTCCTTTATAAGAGTTGCTGAGGTCATGGTGTCTCTTCCCAGCAACAGAAACCCTAACTAAGGCAAAATGCTTCACACAGAAACTGATTTACTGTCCCACGCACTGAGATAAGCCCAGGTTCCTTCCCCAGCATCAAGGTGTCCCTTCCTCTCACCGCAGAAGCCAGGCACACCGCAGCCATGCACGCAGGGCAGCAGTGGGTGAGATCTGCTGATAACCCTGGCCTCTGGTGAGCTACACGGGGGGGGGGGGGGGGGGTCAAAGTAATCTTGGGTCTGGCTCAAGATGTCTACTTAATGCTATCTTACTATTTTTGTTTTGTTTGAGACAGGGTCTTGCTGCATAGACAGATTTGGCCTTGAGTTCGCACCATACCCCAGGGTGGCCATGGCCTCAGCCTCTGGCCTCAGCCTCCCAGAGGCTGATATAACAGACCTGTACCACCATGCTGGCCAAATGTGTATCCATGGTCTGAAAATATCTTGGTAAGCAATTTATGTTTTCCTTTTTAAATATAAAGGGAGAAGGGGGGCATAAGATGAAGGAGGAGAAGGAAGCATCTGCAGACTCACATGTGTGAATTTGCTTACTCACTGCAATGCACGTGTAGACACTCCCTCGCAGGCACTTCCGGCACGTGCTGTCAGGAGCCACGAAAGCGGCCAGCAGGTGGGCTCTGCCCTTGGTTTTGCTCTCACACACGGACCAGTGTCCTTTAAGCCATCTGTTCAGGGCTACTCTCACATTTGTGTGCCTTCTGTTGGTAATCTCGCTGTTTAAAACGGTCCCTGAGCGCAATGCTATGGCCTCTTAGTGTTTCTAACCATAAGAAGCCTGTGATGTGCCTCATGCAGACAATGATAGACAAGCTTGAGCTACACTGCTCTTAGCCATTAGTACACTGCTAGGAAGGGGGGCGGGCAGGAGAACAGACGAGAGGGGAGGGGAGAGGGGAGGAGGGGAGGAGGGGGAGGGTGTGAACATGAGGGACAGAAAGCTGTAACTTTATCAGGGTTGCATAGACCATGGCTGTCCTGAGATAAGAACCCAGCTTTTCTAGAACCATGAATTCATGTTAGCCCCCAATTTCCTCATTCAGTGAAAAACACAGGGTTCACTCCAAATGGCAAAGTAGGGCTAACGGTGGACATTTTTCATAAGAGCAATTATCCCAGTGGGCTAAAGAGGGAGCTGAAGTGATAGGCTCCCTCCCCACGGCAGGGCCTCCCATCACAGGAGGCTCTCTGAGTCAAGGCCCACTTCGGTAAAGACAGACAGACAGACAGACAGATCTCCAAGAGCTAGAGAGCTCCCCGCGCTTAGCTTGGGAGTGCCCACCACATACCGTGCCGAACTTGTCATGGCCAAGCAAAAGGTATCATCAAAACTGCTGAGTTCATAGGGCCGGAAGAACTCATTGTGAATGTCTATCTCCTCCTCACATCTGTGGAACTTCTTCACAACCAGCTTCTTTAGGTTTGCAGCGCAGATAACTGAGGGAAAACTTCCATTACTGCAAACACTTACATCTGTGATGTCAGCACCACTCAGAGAAGGCGTGGCCACATCCTGTGCTGGATACAGCACTGATGAAGTTCATTCACCCAGACTCAGGAGAGGGACTCACACACACACAACAGGGTGTATCTGCCTGTAACTGCCCCAAGGAGGGTCCTCAGAGTTCCAGGGAGGAGCAGGGAGTTACTTCAGAATTTAACTACGCTTTCCCTTAAATTCCATTTTACTCTTAAATCCCCTGCGCTGTTAACTGTTCTTGTTAAAGTCCTTTCTAAGCCCGGAAGGTGCCCAGGAGGTGGTGGGTCTTGCAGCCAAGTCTAACGACAGGAGTTCCATCCAGGACCTACATGGTAGCAGAAGACTGGATCCCATGATCTCCACACATCGTCCATGGTGCACCCACATACACACATGCCCACACAAACAAAATAAATGAACAAAGTGCTTTCCTGTCTCCCAAACAACCAACCCACCTTAGTAATGTTATTAATGACTTTGTCCAGAGTTTCAAGCTGCACATACTTGGGAAATGAATTAGTAATTTAGTAACAACCTAAAAGTCCTTGGTAACCCATCCTGAACTTGGTCACTCAAAGTTCGGGTGCAGAACCATGGCTTAAACACAACGAAAACCTGGATACCCAAGGTCGAAACAGTGACTTACTAACATAGTAATAGGAATTACTAATACAGTCAGGACTACAGGATACCTAAAGTTGGGGAGACACTTAAATTTGGAAATATCACTCAAATATATAGCACATTTTAGTATATGACTTTATTATATAATTTCTCCTGCCTTTCTGACATATTAATAAACTTTAGTTTAAATGTGATAGAATGTACTTTTACACACACTTACACATACATATTTGTATATATATACCTTTTCCACTGCTTAGCTATAGAAAAAATGTTTAATTTTGGCTTAATTCCTTCCTCTTCGCCTCTCAAGGACATAATAAAAAATTAACAAGAACTATAGTCAGGGGGCTGGTGAGGCAGGCGGCTGCTCTTCCAGAGGTTTTGAGTTCAATTCCTGGCAACATGGCGGCTCACAACCATCCATAATGAGATCTGCTGCCCCCTCCTGGACTGCAGACATATGTACAGGAGGAACACTGTATACATGATAAATATTTTTAAACATGCAAAAGAACTAATCTATTTTTAAGGAAGGAATATAATCAGTCCTAATTTAAAATGAATTACATCCCAATGCTTGCACAGTCTATCTAATAATTCTAAGCCACAAGGAGGCAGGGCCTACTCAGGTAGAAGGAAGCATTACAGTCCCCTAACAAAGAACAACATAATGATGAATCCACTTCTTTCTATAAAGTATCATATCAAATGCTGATGCTTAATTCTGTCTAGGCAGAGTCCCCAAACACATGGCAGAGAACCTAAAAGAGGAGCAGGCACTCACCTTCATCGTATGGCAGTGGCAAATGCTGTATCACCTCCGGTGTCCACCAGTGAGTGTAACTACAAAGGAGAGATGGACAAGAGTCACCGAATGTAAACCCTGGCAATCCACCAGTCTCCAGATAAAAGACGCTGGCCCCTACTTCAAAGGCCCTTCCTTCTCCGTTAATAACACATCTGCAGAGCTTTTGACACAGTAGGTCTTTATATGCTAAAGTGCTCCTCACGCCCATCATCAGAGACCAGCAAAATACCTATGTGCTCTGCTGTTGCTTAGTTTTGGGGGGGTGGGGGTGGGGGAGTGGGGGACGGAGGGGTGGGGGGAGGGGGAGTGAAGGAAGGAAGGTAGGAAGAAAGGCAGGTTTGCACAAACCATGCAGACACAAGGTTACTCCCCTGGGGACTCTTTCACCTGGGGAGCTGTGAGACTCTGACCCAGGTCCAGTTATCTGAGAGCTAAGGTTGCTTTCCTACTCTGCTAGGGGATATGTGTAGTTAATAAAGCAACTCATTGAAATCACAGGCGCAAACTGGATAGTCCTAATGAACAAGTCCCTTAGGGCCCATCCATTCCAGCCTAAAACATGGAGCACTTCAGTAAACACTCCCGGCTTCTCCTGGGAGAATCACCTCTGATATACGTGGAGAATCAGAACAAATAAATACTGAAACTCCTTCTCTCTCAACAAAGGATTTAACTGTAAATCAAATTCTCATGAAATGGAGATTGCAGGAGAAAGAGCTGTGTCAGAATTTGTGGAGGTTGGAAAGTGAGACAGTACATACAGTGTGAATGGGAGCCAGATCTCCAGTAGTTTAAAGGTATTTTAGACACAGAGCGAAGGATCACCAGCCTATAATTCACACCGCCAGAGGAACTAGGATACAAGGAGGATTCTAAGAGATTCCCACAAGGTCCCTCACAGAAGGGAAAAGGGACAAGATCCTCTGAGCATATGGGGATGGGGGGGGCAGTGAGGGGAGAGGGAGCTAGGAGAAAGAGAAGGGGAGGAGAGGAAAACATGTGGGACCAGGAAGATTGAGTCAGGGGAGGAATAGATTGGGGGGGGGGAGATACCATAGTAGAGGGAGCCATTATAGGTTTGAAGAGAAAACTGACTCTAGAGAAAGTCCAGAGACCTACAAGACTGACCCCAACTAACAACGTGAGCAACAGTGGAAAGGCTACCATAAATGCCCTTCCCTGATAATGAGATTGATGACTAACTTATCCACCATCATAGAGCCCTCATCTAGTACCTGATGGAAACAGAAGCAAACACCCACAGCTAAACACTGAGCCGAACTGGAATCCAGATGCAGAGAGGGAGGACAAGACCAGGCTACAGAAACCCACAGAGACAGCTGACCTGAACAAGGAGGAGCTCATGGATCCCCAGACTGATAGCTGGGAATCCAGAATTGTACCTACTCTGCCCCCCTGAACGTGGGTCTCTGTTAGAAGGCCTGGGCAGTCTAAGGGACCTCTGACAATGGGACCAGGATGTATCCCTTGGTGTAAGAAAGGACTTTGGGAGCGAATTCCCCATGGAGGGACACTCCCTTAACCTAGAGGCAGGAGGGGGGCCTAGACCCTGCTCCAAATGCCTTGACAGATTTTGATGACCCCTCCTGGAAGGCATCACCCTCCCTGTGGAGTGGGGGTGGGGGATGGGAGGGTGGTCAGGGGCATGGGAGGGAAGGAAATAAAGCCTATGGCCCAAACACTGCAAAGAAAATTTAATGTAAAGGGCTTTAAAAGATAAAAATGCTGAAATTTATGGTTATAAGTGTTCCTAATTATGAAAAAATGCTGCTGGCACCCACACTGAAAAGGACAGGATGGAGCGGGAGCCGGGGACCTGGGCTGGGGGCAGCGCCGACGGCTCAAAGGCCTTCCTGTGTCTCATCAGGACTTCTGTCCAGATCCCCTGTGCGCAGGAACCCCTTGGTCCTCCTACAAATCAAACTCTGAGTCCTGAGGTTTTAGATGCCACCTGGTGACCCTGAAGGATTGTTTCCAAGTTGCTTTCTCAACATCAGGCCTGGGACCATGAAAAGGAACAGGGAAAAGTCTGCCGCGGACAGAGGCTTAATTCACCCATTCAGCATTTATCAGTCACCTATACTGTGTCAGACACTGCTCAAAGCGTTCAAAGGGCTACAGGGAAAATAACAGCCATGCACAAGGTGACAGAGGTGTGCACAGCCCAGGGCAGACGCAAGCGGTGGATCAACTCTAGGTAAGTGTCCTGGTGCAGACAAGATGCAAATCTTACTCCACTGGAGATGGCTAAACGCATTCTTCTCTGTGTCATTCCAATTTTAATAAATGTGCTGCCAAAGCAACCATGCTGAATGCATTCTTGATGACCCCAAGTAAGAGGAAGACAGATCTCAACTATATGTCAGCAAAGGTGACATCAATCCCAGCAAAGTTCAAATTTTCCATTGAGATAGGATATGAGCAACCTAAAAAAGGCAATTTTGCATATACAAATGAGCCACATCTGTGTTAATTTCACTTCCTTTTGTGGATGGAAAACTGGGTCAGAGGAATCATGGCCTAACTCTTAGTCGGGTGGAGCATGATGGGGCACACATACATGTAAGGCAGAGCATGTGTGTCTTCCGTCCTCTGATGGCCCAACACAGGCAAAGTAAGACAACAGAGAAGATATCCATTCGTATATGAGGAACTTGCTAAAAATACGCTGCTTCCAATTGGCTTGCTTAGGAAAAAGGAGCAAACGCTGTCTGAAGAGTTTTAACTTGGAACATACTATACAGGTGTGGTGGCTTGTATGAGAAATGGCTCCCATAGGTTCGTAGATTTGAAAGTTTGGTTCCAGTTGGTGGGACTGTTTTAGGGTGTGGCCTTGTTTAAGGAGGTGCACCACTGGAAGAGGGCTTTGAGGTTTCCAAAGTCCACGCCTGGCCCAGTCTCACATTCCCTCTCTGCCTCCTGACTGGGGACCAGATGTGAGTCCTCAACTACTTCTCTTCCTGCCATCAGCTGCCAGGCTCCCTGCCGTGATGATGATGGACTCTGAAACTGTGAGCCAGCCCCTAATTAAATGCTTTCTTTTACAAGTTGCCTTGATGGCGATGTCTTTCCATAGCAACAGAAAAGTTACCTAGACAGACAGACAACTAGAATTAAGAGATACCGTTTTATCAGTAATCTGAGACCAGGCTGTGAGTCTTTAAACTGTATTATTAGACTACACTTTTCTAAGTAACAGACTATGATTTGAGAAGCCTATGTCCTGACTGGGTCTCAGAAACAAAGACGCCCATGAAGAAGACATGCCCTGAAGAGAATGGACCGAGATGGACAGAGGATGAGAGGACAAGGACAATCTTATCACCTCCATCTCCTCTACCCCGGGAGCATTTGCTCAGGGGGAGGACACCTGCACAGAGCAGAGCCCTGCTTTGGGGCTAGGGACCACCCAACAGGAGACTGAATGCGGAGAACTTCTTCCTTTGAGTATGACGCCCCATAAATCACTCTTTTCTCCTTAATCCCTAGAATTAAGAGTGTTGAATTCTGCTGGATTACTTAGCATAAAGAGAATTTGAAGATATGCTGTCTTTAATTCTACCTCAAGAGTTCTTTAGGACATAAACAAAGCAGTCAATATTGATGAGCAAGACAGAGACACACGGACAGGACAAGACCTACAACTGTTTAAATGATCCCAACCACAAAAGTACCAGACAGGGTTACATGGATGGGGTTATCGGATGGCGAGCCACAGGTTGGACTCGGCATTTTTCATCCAAGACTTAAGCTGGGATCAGATGGGCAGCTGGTTAAGTCTGGAGAAGCATTTTATACTTCTGAATGCTATGGGTACATTTAACTAATAACGAGGATGTAGCTAACAACATTTCTGTCTTGTGGAAGCAGGCAAAGACTATACTGGCACGCGCATGGCGTCCACGTGGCTGTGTGGCGTGGCTGGGGTGTGGTGCCTTGAATGAATAAGGGACTCGGAGAACACTGTCACAGCAGGGTGCTCCAGTAGCCACACTAACGCCGAGCAGAGATTGCAGACATCATTCACTGGTCCATGTCCCAGCGGTCTCACAATCACTTGCAAATGCAGGCCAGACTCTGACGCCTACCGCAGGTATGACCACAAGCTTAGGGCAGACTTTTACAACGACCAACTGAATGCACACAGGAGAGGATCAGGACACTGGAGCCCCTGAGAAGCTGCTATGAAATCTCAGGAGGAGATTTTTAATGTCTGAATTTATCTTTAAACATTTAGTACTAATGAGTGGATGAGAAAATCATCCTCCAAAGGGCTTGGGGAGCTGGGACGCGTCAGCACGTGAGATTTCAGTGAAGCAGATTTCAGCCCAAATCGAGAAACAACTGTGTGAGTGATCCTCACGAGGGGGTGGGGGGCATCCTGGTCCTAACATAACACTAGGCTGGCTAAACACAGGGTAGATGGCAACTCCCTGCACAGACGGCAAACTCACAAACCAAACTAGCAGGACCAGAAAATCAACTTGGGGGAAAAAAAAATCAATGAAAACAATTGAAGTGTGATATCTAAAACCAGGCTGGGGACATTATAAACACGTCACTGGCATCTGAAGCAATATATGACATATTAACCAGGCCTCGAGCAAAGGTTCAGTGAAGGGTTTGAGTACTTCACGGCATGTGACAAGCTCTGTTTGCCAGCAGCATCAGTTGATAACTGGTACTGTGGAGCCAAAGCAGGCGCAGGAGAATAAGGGAGTGAGCCCGTTATCTATCTCCACAGAATTGCCAGGCTTGCAACCGCTCTTGCGGTCCAAGTAGCTGGACAATCTCAGCCAACACTCTCTCTGTGCCTCAGTTTCCTATGGTAGGAAATGGGGCTGTAACACCAGCTTCCTCTTGTTCCCACACATAGCCCCCCCCCCAAACCTCCTGCTTCACTTGTGTAACCCAGGGCAAGCTAGCAGTTTACACTTGGGAGTACACGGACAGTTGCTGCAGCAGGAACCACAGTGTGGGTTGTTTCCAAGTTGTATCTTAATAGTTTCAGTCCCCAGCACTGCAGCATTCCAGAAAATCGACGCATTCAACTATACTAGGGTTTACACAGATGCCATAAACAACAATCTTAAAACTTCATCTACACAGAAAAAAGATCATGGATTGGGTATTTATTTCAATAAGAGCGGATGGGAACAAAATTGAGAACCCTATAAACCCTGAGACTTTGCTAACACGTGAAATATTTCTTCAACAACACAGGCATCTCCAACAACTACATGAGCATTCAGACTGTCTGTGTTCTGCGCACACAACCACAGGTGGGCAGCAAGCCAGAGTAGTGGTGGTAAAACAACTCGGCGGAATCAGCCTGACTCCGTGAGAGGAAAGAACTGTTGGGAGAGTTTGATGTCCCTGCATGCTTTGAGACGTGAGCCATGTTCCCACTCCCTATATATTGCTCAGGAGCCCAGAGCCCCAGCACACATGCTAAGCCTCATTTCTCAACCCTGTGCTCATTTCGTGCAACAGTTACTCAGACAGCAAGTTTCCATGACACACTAGGGCAAGCAGATACCTCCTCCTAGTTGGTAACAGGCTCATGGTGTTTTTGTGGTGCAGGTAGAAGTCTGTGGGGAGTTCCCAGAGATGGGGTTTCCCTTCAGAGGGATGGAAAACACCCAGGAAGAGATTGATGGAATCTTGTCTGTCGGCATCTAAAATGCAAAAATATGTATTTCAGAAAACCCATTGTTGATGCAGACACCCCAGGAGGACATCATCCCAGAGAACACGGATCCAACTATAGCTTCATAGACCAGATCTCTATTAGGATGCATTTGTATTTCAAGCTCTACACATACACACACTCACACACACACACACACACACACACACACACACACACACACTCAGTCATCCATGATCTGAGGAGGAGGGAAACCTTGCTTGTGAAAGATGCCCCTCATAAAAGGGAGAGGACATGGACCACTTCTTGAATGTCACCTTAAAGCCCACAGATTTGTTTGTAAAAATAAAAACCTATCGCTAGCATTTGTTAACTCGTCTCAGTAAACACCACCCGAAGGTATGTGCTAAGGAGAGCATGACCCAATTCCTATAGAAATTCTGCGGCTTGACCTTGACCAAGGCAGCCGCGGAGTTCCCACTCTGACCCCTTCTTCCACACCACAGAGACCCTTTCACAGCAGCAGAACGCTGGCCTCTTTGGTGACCATGAAGACAGCACGGGCCCCTGGACAGCATCCTCACCCTAGCTGCCCAGCCACCTCAACTCTGCCCCCTGACAAATCTGACTGGCACACGTCCTGGGTCCTTCCCCTTGATATGCTTTGTGGCCACACTTGCAGCGCTCCCGGCGCCCACCTTTCCCACTCTGCACTTTGTCCTCCCCGGCTGTCTTCACCATGGCCTTACCACTCTTGTCTCAGAGGCCTCAATAGTCAAGTTCCGCACAGACAGTCACATACCCTTTCTGAAAGCAATGGAGGACTACGAAGGAAGTGCAACAGAGATGCCTGCTGGGAGCAATAAAGTAAAATGTGTTTTCTTCCAACAGGTACAGTGAATGCACAGACTTGAAATTAGTATTGGGTTGCCTTGTCATTTTAGCAAAAGCAGATGAAGTACCAGATATGTATGCCTATTATTAATAGTTTGACAGGAGGCATTCCGCTAAAATAGCACTTACCTTTCAGGTTAAAAGGAATACATAAAGGGATGTGTTTATATGTTGAGTGTCTTTGGGGCCTTTTGCTCTACTTGCTGACAGATAATACGTATGAGACGATGCAGACACCACCGCCCCAATTTTTATCTCTTTACGCAAGGTTTCGGCTCTCCAGGTAATAGTATTCTCTGATGACACTTGATAATTCATTTCATGCAGTGCCATGCAGCTCTCCAGTCGTCAGCCTTGCTTTCAAGGAGTTTCCTTCCCTTTTAAATCCTACACTGTCTTCCTTTACAGCCAGCAACTATGCTAAACACGGAGGGGTGTCAAGCATTTCTTCCTCAGCTGACGCTAGTCCACAGACCACCAGGAGTTACTGAAGCCACGGCTGTTCTTACAATAGGAAGTCTCCCTCTGGTGGCACAGTCACCGAGGTTTGGGCTAGAAAGCCACCCTGAGAAGCTTGGGCATTGGGTGGATATTTTTTTTTTTTAAACAATGTATTATGTTCATGAATGATTTTCTGCATGTTCATCTGCACACCAGAAGAGGGCATCAGGTACCACACGACTACAGTTACAGAGGGTTGTTCACTGCCGTGTGGGTGCTGGAAATGGAACTCTGAAAAGCTCTTAACCGCAGAGCCATCTCTCCAGCCCAATACCCTCCCCCTGGTTTTCTGAGACAGGGTTTCTCTGTGTAGCTCTGGATGTTCTAGAACTCACTTTGTAGACCAGGCTGGTCTGGAACTCAGTCTCCCAAGTGCTGGGGTTAAGTGTGTGAGCCACCATGCCCGGCCTCGCTGGACATGCAAAATCAGCTACCCTTTTCCTGTAAGAGCTACCTGTAAGATGGTAGCTGAACAGAGGGTGGTCCTCTGTAGCACAGCTAGCAGGAGGGCAGATGAGAGTCTGCTTCTATACTCAATTATACTTTAAAAGCAAAGTTCCCCTGAGCCATTAAAATGCCATTTAAGCTATTATACTAACCAGTTTTATTGCTGATGTATTTGAATGGCACAGGACTGAAATAATGATTTTTAACTAATTGTGGAACTCAATTATTTGTTATTCTGATATCGAGTTTATGATGAAGTAGCCTCTTTTATCAGCAAAATCGTACTTTTGAACTGTTGGGGAGAAGGAAGAATGAAATTAGATCCCTACCTTGTGCCATTTAATAAGACAAATACTGCTGAGCTGTAAGAATGTAGACACAAACACGTGGGACACTGAGAAGGAGATAGAATCCACGAACATGTAAAAACCGAGCTTTGCTATTTATCAAACCATTTCTACTGAAGGCTTGCAAGCCGAGTGCTCAGAGGGAATCTATGCCTGTGCACGTGTGGTGGGTAACCTCGATTACCAACCTGACTGCACCAAGAGGCTCCTGGATTAGCAAAGCGTGCCTGCGTGTGTCCGTGAGGGTCTTCTGGAGACTGTGGCATTACTTGTGGGATGAAAAGCAGGAGGCAGGCCTACTGGAGCGTTCTCTGGGGGCCTGTCCTGCCTGGCCCCTTCCTGTACTCCCCTCTGCTTGGGTGGGAAAGCTCCTCCAGCAGTTAGGGCCTACCACAGGGACACTTAGCCCAAGTGTGCAGGGCCAAACAGTCATGGGCAAACCCAACAAAGGCGTGGACTAAACTTAATCCGACCCTTAGGTTTACATGACATATTTTGTCACACTGATGAGACAGTTCATTATGGCCCTGAAAGCCATGTCTAACCTATTAAATATGCTTTTAAATTCTACATAAGCAAAGGTAAGAAGCAAACAACAGTCTGTGTTCAAAGACATTTGTTCAGGAGGATTCCAGATGTACACTAACTAAACTATGACACTTACAAAAGATAGAGTAGTTACTACACAATCACACTGTAGAAGAACAGTTAATGTCACAAGGCTATTCATACCATCTCAAAGGGTAAGAGCAGATTATAAACCACATGCATAATAAAAGCAGAACAATCATGTTTGCCTAAACATGATCAAGTGGCTGTCTCTGGAGGTGGGGGTTATGATTTATTTACGAGATACTTTGTACTTTCTAAAATTAACACACACGACTTTAATAACTGAAAAGAAACCATTCAACAAGAACCTTCTATGTTCTTTACTGGAGGCACAAGTCTAACATGGCTGTTGGAGTTTTATATTTTATTAAGAAACTTGTGAGTGTGTGTCTGTGTGTGTATGTCTGTGTGTCTGTGTGTCTGTGCATGTGTGTCTGTGTGTGTGTCTGTGTGTCTGTGTCCCTAACTATCTCCCTGCTCAGCCCAGAGGCTGGCTGAAGTGTGGCAAAGCGGTCTTTAACCCTTGAAAGAAAACCATTCTACATTTCACCCTTCTGTAATACTCAGTTATGACAAAGTGAAGTGTACGCCCCAGTGACACCATGCTTCTTAAAATAAAGACGCCTGCCTCACCCCTATTATTCATAATGCCTTTCATAACAGCTCACTGTTAAGTTGCATAACTTTACTGTACCTTTTATCTGTACAAACTGACCTCCTACATCACCCTTACCTTTTAAGCCATGCCTTTCTTTTTAAATCATCTCCGTACACATTGATTTCTGTTTTCTACTCCGAGCAAGCAGCACTGGGTCCTAATGTGTCAATCATGGTCACTGCTGCAGGGGGAATGATGCCGGCAGAGGGCCAGCTCTCTCTAAGGGCAGTTCTGAACCTTTATCATGGTGGCACACACCCAGAGAAGTCCATGCTTGCTGCCATGGATTACAACTGCACCCCTCTATCTTCTGTACGACTTTTATGTGTTTCGTCTCCACGAGGGATCTGGAAGCCTGAACCCCCCAGTGTCTGGCGGCGAATGAGATCTTCGTAGATAACAAATTAAGATGCAATTGTACGGGAGTAGAGCAGGCTCCTGAGTCAGTGGGGCTGGTGTCCTTAATCCAAAAGAGGGGTGACACAGGAGGGGACAGGTGAAGTCTGCCCACATCCCAACACGCAGCAATGGCAACTGGGTGAAGAATCAACATTGTCCAGTTTTAAAACACCAATTCTGGGGGTGGGAACTCTGTTGGCAGAATGCCTGCCAACTATGTACAGACATTTGTGTGTAGTCCCCAGAACCCTAGAAGTCAGGCATAGTGAGTTACTCCTATAATCCCAGCATTCGGGAAGGTCAGAAGTTCAAGGTCATTCTCTGCTACTTGGCAAGTTTGAGGCCAGCCTGGGCTACATGAGACCCAGTATCAGAGAAAAAAAAAAAAAAAAGAAAATTACTTTAGTGTTTATTTAATGTCTGTTGAACAGTTGTTGAGTACCTTCTAGGTCAAAATTGTATTTTATTTAAATGTATAAATAATTTAAATCCTATTTAAATAAATAGCTAAAAGGAAGAAAGCACAAGAAGACAAACACACCTAAAATTTAGGCGGCAGAAACTCCTGCTGCCAGAGGCTTACCTGAAAAGGCATTGCTGTAGTACCGAGACAGAGTCTGCATGATGTCTTTGGAGTGCTGTGTCCACGGGGCTATCTTCCTGTAGGTTTTTACCCGATGAACAAGCTGAGAGCCCCCATATTGTAGGGAGAGGGTATCTCCATGGTCTTCATACAGTTCCTCAAATAACCTACACACAAGGAACACACACTGTACAACTTTGCCACCAGGTCTGGTGACTCAGGTCTATAATCCCAGCTACTAAGAAGGCCGAGCCAGAAGCATCACACATTCCAGGCCTGCCTGGACGAAGAGTGAATTCACAGCTGCCTGAGTAAGTTAGTGAGACCCTGTCCCGGAACAGAAGACGAAGACAGGGAGCTCAACGGTCGAGGGCACAGATTAACCAAAATAAATGTACAAGCCATTCCCTGGGCCAGAGTCCTTTACTTTATGAATTCTTCGGAATCTTTCAAGTGGACTCGTCAACATCTTGGAAATAAGTGCAAATGTAAAATGTATGGTGCTTTATAGAGATCCAATGCCCAGGTCACAGAAAACTCTTAATGAGAAAACCAGGCACCAAAAATCTAACTTACCAAAGCGGAAACAAGCTGTTTCTAACCATATTAGACAGACTCCTACACTCCACAGCCTGCCAGATTAATTCACTTCCATGACACCATTTGGTTCCTCTGAATTGTGTGTGTGTGTGTGTGTGTGTGTGTGTGTGTGTGTGTGTGTGATATGTATATAATATATATGGTCTGGTTATAGACAGTGCCTTACTGCAAAGGTGACTTACAGACATTTATTTCTCACAGTTCCAGGGGCCACAGAATCTAAAATAGAGGCATCAACAGATTCACTGCCGAGCAAAGGCCCATTTCATTCACAAGAGGGTGGGGCTTCTTGTTTGACCTCACACGAGGAAGAGACTAATAAGCAAACGTCCCTTGGTCACTTTTAGTATGTCACTAATCCCGACGATGAGGGTTCTGCCCTTTGATCTAAGCACGTCCCAAAGGTCCAGTCTCCTAACACCGTCACTTTGGGAGTGGAAACTTCAACTCGCGGGCTGAAGGGAGACATGAACATTCTAGCCACAGCAGACACACAAGCCATATATACTTTCTCTCTTCAGCGTTGACAGACAATGAAGAAACAGCAACTTTAATGAAGACTCTCTCTCACACTTTGTATCTTCACTTTAAAACATGTTCAGAGCTGGTGCTATCTTTCATTGGCATTTGGGTTTTACTTAACCTACTAGTTAGTCTAAGTCCTTTGGATTTATCTAAAAAAAACATAGTGCTTAATGATGATGCAAGCAAACAAAACAAGACCCGGTGGCAACAATACACCAACAGCTGACAGAAATACAGAACTAACTCCAACACTGTCAAACAATAAAGCGATAAATCTTTGGGAAGCTAAAAGTAGAAATGGGTTCATGAAAATTCTTGTGAGTCAAGCCTGCTTTTTGTCGATGCTGACATCCAAATGGCAGCAGATAAGGATTACCTCACTACGTCCGTGTCAAACTGCAGGTTTGGCTTGTCAATCAGTCCTAAGGAATGCAGCTGGTAAGCCAGAGCACATTTGCCCACCATGAACTGCGCTGTGTTGGTGCGATCTAAACAGTCCACGCAGTTGGTCCGAAGAATGCCAGTCTGCAAGAGCACAGTAAGGTATTAAGTCTTTGTCCAGACAGCCACACTGCTTCTGAACATCAGGAAAACCCCTCCTAAAGTAACAGGAGACAAGCTCTGGGCGCTTACCCCAAATAAGCAAAGCTAATGGTTAAAACAATAAAGGACAATTTGCTAATCGTATAAGGTTACAGTTAACTGTTCACTTAATGTCTCCTTAATAGCATCACTAAAATCAGTCTACATTTGAATTTACTTTGAAGGCTTAACAAGGTTAAGCAGTTAATATTTTCTGTGTTACTAATTACTAAAATATTTGCTATCACTCCTTTATTATACAAACCATATATTCAGTGGTTGAAGCTGTATTTCTTTAAGGGTGTGTGTGTGTGTGTGTGTGTGTGTGTGTGCCCACGTGCTTGCCAAGTGTGCCAAGTGCGTGCTAGTGTCCTCAGAGGCCAAAAGATGGCATCGGTTCCCTGGAGTTAGAGTTTCTAGTGGCTGCAAGCCACACCACAGAAGTGTGGGAGGGGGTGGGCTCTAGGAACCAAACTTAACCAAGCCATCACTCCAGTCCCAAGCCGCGTCACTCTTAAAGCATAGCGAATAAACGTAACGCTCACTAGCTCACTTTCCAAAGTCAGCCTAACCTATCGTTCCTGTATTCTTGTTTTCAATTTCCAGTAGCAAAAACTTATATGTAGAAAATGTATAGGCTATAGTACCTACCAGCTATACATCTCCCTATAAGATTTAAACACTAGCAGGGAGGCTTTTAGAAAATCCTTTTCAAGTTATTAATAATCTTACATCAAATACATCTTAACAGTTCCTAATAGAAAACACGACAAAAACTTAGCTGGGTATGGCTGCAGATGCACGCAATCCCAGCACTCGGGAAGCAAAAGCAGGAAGTCTGTGAGTTCAAGGCCAGCCTGGTCTACATAGTGAGTGCCAGGCTAGCCAGAGAGGGACTACACGTGCCTCATAGTGAGACCCTGCAAGCAAAGTGAAACAAAAGCCAAACCCCAGTTCCCACAGAACGTTACACCCACGACACAGACGGTGTTCGCTGTAAATGTGACATTATCCCTACCTGCAGACGACCAGTGGGGTTCACACAGCCTCCCAGCTCACTCCACCTGGGTAAAGCAGACGTTTTACATTTATTTTCTTCTAGTGCCAGGCCGTGGGCTCGCTGGCGTGTGCACTACGGCCAGGCCACAGCACCCCTTGCTGTCCTTTAACTGCGCCCGCTGTGTTCTACCGTCATCCCTGCCTTCCTCTACGCCCGGGCTTCCTTTGGTCTCTGCCACCACACACAATTGCAGGCACCTTCCTGGTAAAGCTTTCCACACACCTGTGTACACACCCTGTGCGTTAAGATTCCCTAAAATTCAAACCCTGAAAACTGTAGCGGGAGGAATCTTCCAAACATAAAATACTAATGGTTGATTTGGGGTTTTTCATTTGACCACCATAGTTAACCTGGAAATCAAATTCCGGAAATACATAACAGTTGGTTCCTTTAAAGACAGATAAGGAACAGACCTTTATCTGAAACAGCCAACAAACTAGCCACAACCAAAGAGTTTGGAGCAAACCACTGTAGAATGTTAACAAATTCTACGTTCAGGAAAGCATACGTTGTCGACCAGAAAGATTTCCCTGTTCTTTCCAAATGCTAAACACTGAATTCACTACAGAAAAAATTTATTTACACATGTGTTTCATATAATGTTATTCCACAAAGCAAATGATTAGACTCCTGTGGCTCCCATCTGAGGGTACATAACCATCACAGGAATTTCCAAGCACACAGGGAATGTTCATTACACACTCCCCTGAGCAGCCTGCCTCCACAGAAGACTAAGCTAATTTGTCTACCCAGTCTCTAGTTAGCATAGACTTCCTGTATTTAGAATAGTGTGTGTGTGTGTGTGTGTGCATGTGCACGTACATGCCGCAAGCTCTTGGAATCTGCTTCTCTGTGCCTCCTAATTCTGGAGTTACATGCGCACACAGCCATGCCCAGCTTTTCACATGGGTGCTGGCAATTCACACTCAGGTCCTCGTGCTTTCGAGTCAAGTGCTCTCACTAAGTCCTCCCTCCAACCCCTAGAATATTTTGTACGTAAGAACAAACACCTTGATTTAAGTCTTCTTTGCATAAGTGGGGTGGGGTGTAGGGCACTTGTATACGTCACAGTACCCAGTCAAGGTCAAAGGACAACATGTGGGAGTCTTCTCTCTCCTTCTGACTTGTGGGGCCCAGGGCTTCAGGCTTGGTGGGAGGAGCCTCGGCCTGCTGAGCCACTGTGCTTACCTCTCACACTGTGTTTTTACAGAAGGGATCTCCACCTGGCCTGAGCTCACCAAGTAGGCTAGGCTGGGCAGGCGAGTAAGCCCGAGGGATTTGCCTGTCTCTGCCTCCTCAGTGCTGGGGTGGCAAGCACATGCCACCACACTGGCTTTCTTATGGCAGCTCTAGGGACTGAACTCCGGTCCTCGGGCTTGTATGGCCATCGCTTTATCTCCCCATCTCTTCCCTTAAGTTTTCAGTATCATACATACTTTTCATCTGGCCGCAAAGTGCTGCAGTAAGAGTCAGGGCGGTTTACAAAGAAGCCTGTCTTCTTTACCACGCTTTCTGCAATCACATTTAGCCGATCCAGAACATTGCACAGCTTGCTGGGGGGGGAGGGCAGTGAAAAGCGAGAATCTACTGTTAACGCACATTTAACCTCCCGTCCACCTAAAGCAAACACCGACAGAAGCAATGCTCACGTTCGGCTTAGGTACCCGAACACTGAAATAATTAAGGTAGAAATAAAACGCGCACTCAGTAACTAACAATAAGACCAGTAACTTAACAGCAAATACTGGTACATCCCTCGGCCTCGGCATGGGACATTCCTGTGAGAGGTTTTGAACAAAGCCTTTCCCTCCTCAGTAGCAGTCAATCAAATCACTACGTAATCAGGCAATGATTATGCAGAGTGCAGAGGCAGGGAAGGCAAGATTGGAAAATAAGTTAATATGACTGCATCCGTCACCTAACTAACACATTCCAGGTAAGTGGTGCATGTATGTGCGCCTGGCGTGTTAACTCCATAAACCATTCAGGGAAAAAGCACAACGTGCACAACACAGCAACAGCAAATAAACCCAGAATCACGATGCATGGTAGACAACGCAAGGCTCGATGGGGAAAGAAGGCTTCTCAGAAAGAGATTAGTTTTGGAGCCAATCGAGAGATGGGAGAGAACAGGAACATGTGACAGCAGGGACCGTATGAGTGACAAGCTACCGGGAAACCCCGGGGCAGCACTAGCTATGGGCATAAAGACCAGGCTTTCCCAAACATAACGTCCCCGAATAACTTCAAGTTGCAACACTTTGGAAGCAACTAGCTGAAGGGGCTTGATGGGCAGTGAGGAGCTGGGATTCCCTCTCAGGAGCTGCCCGTGTGTGTCTATGAGCGGGGCTGCCTGGAAGGAGTTCTTCCCCGGAACAAGGTAGAACGAGACAGAAAAAGACGAACGTGCCCCGGAGGACGGGCGAGCTGCCCGGGGCAGAGCTGCGGGCTCTCTCACCTCTTGGTGTACTTGGCCATGTCCCAGGGGATGTAGACGATTGCGTGCTCTGGGGGCAGGAACTGGTTAAGGTAGGTGATCGCGCCTACCAGTTCTTCGCTCAGGATCCTCTCATGCTTCCTCTTCTCTCGCTCCTTCATCAACAACAGTTGAAATGATTTTTAAGTTAAAAACCCTAAAATGTGGGGCCGGAGAGACGGCTCAGCGGGTAGGAGCACTGGCTTCTCTTGCAGGGGACCCAGGTTTGATTCCCAGCAGCCACGTGATGGCTCACAACCAACCACAACTCCAGCGGCAGGGGACTCTGATGCCTCTTCTGGCCTCTGTGGGCACCAAATACACACACAGTGACAGACGTGCAGACGCCACAGCCCCATTGCTGGCTGGCATCGACGTTTCTGCCACTCTCAGTCATGGTGATGACGTTCAGCTGTCACAGACTGAACTACTAACCGTTGTGGGGACAAACAAGGGGTCGTTTTACACAGCTGAATATATCAAATAGACAAATTACATAAGAATTAAGAACAGGATTAAGAATCAGGGTGAACGTATACTTTGCTTATAGTTTATCTGGGGAAGTTATATATCTGGAATTCTCAAAAGTTCTTTAAAGTGAATAGGGAAGTTGATCCCTTCTGACATTCTTGAGTGAAATCTGCCCTTTTGAGAAAGAATGTAAAGAAAAGATTACTATTGCGCCTTCATGGCCGTAGGATCTGCTGTGTGCAGCATGTACTGGGTTAGTGTTGACAGGCTACTTGGTTGGTCTCCTAAGGGCTGTAGACTCCTTCCGTAACCCAATGCGAACACCCCCAAACAGGTCATCCTACCACACGGGCATCGTACGACACACGCATCCTAGGACACGGGCATCCTATGGACACAGGCATTCTTTGATGGTTTAAACACAACTTACCAAGACCTTCTAACAAGTGAAAAAAAAGAAGTATTTTCTTTTTTATTATAAACAAAATTACTGATGACAGGGCTAAGGGTGTAGCTTGATGGCTGAGCTCTTGCCAGGCATGTGCAAGGTCCTAGGTTCAAGCCTGTGTCCACATGATTGACTGCCTTGTAAATAAGCTCTTTCTCTTTCGCAGAACTCCTTTCAAACTACATTGGCAGACTACAGGGAGGCAAAACAGGCCTAGTTCAGTCAGTTTCAATCACATGAATTAAAAAGCACTCTTAATGTGTATAATTAACAGAGAATTCCAAGCACTACAGGCTCAGGGTTCCATTTAACAAGGGTTTTTCAGTTACACTCTATAAAGCATGAACAAGATTCATTCACCTAGTTCTAGGTATATGTTCCAGTAATACCTCATCACTCACTGCTCAAACAAGCTCAGGGGATTAAAATCTAAACAATTTCCACCCTGAAAATCTTCTCCATGGAAAAACTCCAACCCTGATAAGCTCTATATAAGCCCTGTGCCTGATCAGTTGGCAGCCACCCTTTTCCAACCGGGCAGAGGCGGCCACCCTCCTGGATACCCTTCCTCTGAAATAAACCTATTGAATGAGTTTTGGGTAAGCAACTTATTTTGCCAGAGCAGAGAAGCCATGGACAGCTCTGCTGGAGACTCTCTTAGCAGAGTGGAGCAGAGCTGTAAGAGCTCTTTCTCAGAGAAGAGTAGGATTGCTACAGCCTGTGGGAGAGACCATCCCCCACCAGAACACAGTACAGCCAGACTCCCCACAGTCAGGACAGCCCCTCCTCACGGCTGTGGTACAGCCAGACTCCCAACAGTCAGGACAGCCCCTCCTCACGGCTGTGGTACAGCCAGACTCCCAACAGTCAGGACAGCCTCTCCAGCGCTGTGACACGTACACCTATGGCTCCACATTGGTTGGCAGTTTTTAGACTGCCCAGGGAGTGAGCTGTATCAAGGTGAGGGTATAGCAGCTTCCTCTGAGTTCTCAAGTTGTTCTGAGACGATTTAATGCCGACCCAGCTCACACAAGGAATTCAGGAGCCCGGTAGACCAGGTCACGCTCTTCCCTTCAGAGAGATCTACTACTGGTTCCCCAGGGCAAGCCCAGAAGAAACCACATGAGATCTGAGGCTAAAGTAAACCCTGCAAGCTGGCAGGGCAGACATCTCTCTCTCTCTCTCTCTCTCTCTCTCTCTCTCTCTCTCTCTCTCTCTCTCTCTCTCTCTCTCCCTCCCCTGCCCTCCTCCTTCCCTTTTCCTCTGGGGAAGAGAAAACCACAGGCTGATGCCATTTGTCTGGGGAAAGGTGGCCAGGCATGCTTGATGAGCACATCATACCTTCACTAAATTCAAGACCACGATGGGGGAGCCAAACCTCTGGAGCATCTGGTCAAAGTGGAGAGCAGCCACATGCGCGAAGGGGTCTGCCTGGTCCACTGAGAAGAAAAAGGGTGTGGTGTGTAAATAAATACCTGGATGGACTATGAGGCAGAAATAAAAGAAGTGTACAGTTCTGAAAAACGTTGAAAAGAAACGCAGTTCAACTAACCCAGCACCCTCATTCCCAAATCTCAAGGAGCTCCCTGGACGCTCACTCAGCATATACTGAATGACTGCCATTTCCGAAGCAACATAACACCCGGTTTACCGACAGTTAAAACTAAGGATGAATTCACTACACAAAGCTGACAGAAGTCATTCCTCTACATGCTCTTCCGCAAAGGGCCAGATCTCCCCAAACCCAACCGCGTATTATGTGGCAGCGATCATCTTAAAGGACAGACGACAGACAAAAGCCGCCCCCAGAAGGCTGGCCCACGCACGTGTGATGGGTGGTTTAGGCATCATAGTTGAGATGTCTTGGGACCAGTACAATGGAACCGACCCTCTGACTTGCACATAAGAAGAGTAGCTGCCTGCAGTAAAGGACATCACGGAAGCATCGCACAGGATCTGCTCTGTCTCCACTTCATTCGCGACATCGCCCTGGAAAGAATGGACGGAACACTCACAGGTGGTCTACGCTCTAGGAGCCTTTAAATGAAAAATATCTGAGCACACGTGAAAGTACAGCTTCTATTCTTCATACACGTTAAAGGAGGTAAGCCACACACCACCACTACTCGAGTACACACTGTAATAACCAGATTAAAACATGATCAAAAAAAAAAAAAATTAACGACAGCAGAGAATTGACTAGAAAAAAAAATCAAATTAGTTACTCAACACTAGCAGCAAATAGAATCTTGGCCAGTATAAATGGTAGCATGGCAGAGAAAAGAAAAACAATTATGTGAAATTATTATGGAGATTAAAAAACCTGCAAGAGTCTAAGAAATTGTAATTCTGACACCAAAGAGGGGATGTGCCTGTGCAGACACACACACACACACACACACACACACACACACACACCACACACGCATGCGCACACACATGCACACAGAGGCACACGCACACACATCCATTAGGGTGTTAAGAAGTTAGCTGATAAGAATGAGCGAAGCTGATGTGAATGCAGTGTGGTCTGTCAATCTTACCTCACAGTTTGCACCTCTCTTGAGAAAACGAGTCCCAGCAAACTTACTGGATCTTCTGGCTATGAGAGTCACATACACTGGTCGTCCATAGATCAACAGCTCTTAGGAATCAAGTTAAAGTGTCAGCACTTGTGATTGGCACAGAAAGCTACAAGAAGCATTATCCTTCATGCATGTAATACATCTTGTCCAACAGCCTCAAGACACTAAAAGCTCCACCGAGAATGTAATCCCACGGCGTTCAATGGTTCCTGCTCAAGTGGTAATTTCTCTGACTCCTCAAGGAAATACACACGTTACCGAATTATGTCTCTCCCTGAAACCAAGTAAAATGTAAGAAGTACAACTAACCCTTCCTTACTCGTTAGCACCATTCGCCTCCCTACAAGGGCACGGGCCACTTAATGTTAAGGGCAGATTAGGAAAACGCCGCTAATACTGAGAAAAGGGCAGGTATAACCCGAAAACGCAATCCAAAGCCACAGCCTGGATGGGCGGGCAGGAACTGCTTCATCAACACACACACAGCATCCTCTGCTTAAGTCATCTTACCTAGCTGAGTTACACTCTCATCTAGATAAACGAATCAAAAAGCACCTATAGGTTGAACAACCGTGGTCCAAAAATTTAAAACAAACAAAAGGAAAGCCTTGAGATCAGAAGTCTTTTAGTGCCGTTATGACCCCAAATTGTAAAATTCTATACCTGAACTTGTGTTATGGGTCAATCAAAACATAAGTACTCTAAAAATGTCACATAAATGTATTCAGTCCTAATGTTCAAGGCGTATGTGAAACATTAGTCAACTTGAAGCCTATCCTTGAGTTATCTAAGGTTTAGGCAAATATTCTAAAACTCTAAAACATCCAAACTCTGAGACAATTCTGGTGATAGGCATTCTGGGAAAGCGAATCATCGGTCTGTGCAGCTGTGGGGTTGCCAGGAGAATGCGCTGAGGTAACTGATGTAAAATGTCTGGTGCCTGGCCTGTCGGAAACACTTAATAAACAGCAATTACTCCTACCACCACACAGGCTTCCAGAATTCATTAAATGACCGATCACCAAGAGCCCAGACTCATCATTTCAACTAATGAGCTTTAAAATGATAATCTATGATGCGGTTTACTATTTTAAAAAACAAACATTTATTATGATTACCGTACGCCAAGCTAGCTCTTGTAAATAGAAACCAGGCTAGAACTACACTTTAGAAATGGTCTTCAGACACTGGGGCACATTCTCCTTGGTGGGGAAACACTCACACTCTTCCCAGGAGGATTGTATTTTTGGAAAGAGACAAAAGCGACTCAGGACCTAATTTTGTCAGGTGGCTGAAGTGATTCTAGAGCACTGAGCCAGGTCCTTCCCCCACCCCCACCCCCCTCATCACAGGCTGTGCCCTGAGGCTGCCCCACCCCCAAAATGCTCCGGAGTGTATAAGAAGACACAGTGATGGCCACATCTCCTACTCATGATATTGCTGCAGGCTTTTAAAGGCCTAAGATGGAAGGAAAGAGTGTAAGTGAAAACCGAATTCACAAATAGCCTCTGCTGTCCCAGAAAGCAGCAAGAGGGATGAAGCAGGGCTAGGGTACACATCCTGCCCTCCTCCTCCTCACAACACAGCGACAGCCTGCTGGGAGCTCTCACCACTTGTGAGGACCAGTGAAAAGTTAACCTGAGGAGAAAACCCACCACCGTCCCTTACATCCCTTCCCGAGGCAGGTCTCCACCTCACCAGGCCTCAGCCACTACTGCGGCCTTTCCTATACGCATCCCTCGTCACACAGCCGAGAAATGGCTGTCAACTCCAGCTTCATGGACTACTTTATACATGTCGCCTTCCTGAACTAAACCTCCAAGAGTTCTGGGAGCAAACCCCAAGTCCTTAGCCTGATGAGGGCAACCTGGCGAGCGAAAACTGACTACTGAGGCGGCTGAGCCTCACTCTCATCTTCCCCTGTCACTGGGGTTTGGAAGACAATGGCCCCCACGGAGCGGCACTATTAGAGGGAGTGTCCTTGCTGGAGGAAGTGAGTCACTGTGGGGGTGGGCTCTAAGGTCGCCTATGCTCAAGCATTTCCTGTCGCCCGTGGATCAAGATCTAGAACTCTCTGCTCCTTCTTCAGCATCCTGCCAAGATGATAACGGACTGATCCAAACGGTAAGCCAGCCCCAACTAAATCTTTTCCTTCGTAAGAGCTGCTGTGGTCATGGCGTCTCTTCACAGCAACAGAAATGCTAACTAAGACAAATCTCATCTCCCTAGAGTTGTCATACTCATCAAAGGAAAACAGCAGTTTTTGTTTGTTTTGTTTTGTTTTGAGGTCTACCCTCACGGTGCTTGACCAGCCTGTGACCTCTCTCCGTACTCCGTGCTGGGACCTGCTGGGACCTGATCTGTGTTTATGGCTTTGGTCCAGGTCTGTTCTCACGAGCCACGCACCACACCACACCCCTCTTCCCAACGCACACTTTTCCTGCTGGAGTGTTGTACTGGCTGGGTTTATGTCAGCCAGGGTCATTTGGGAGATGGCAACCTTGACTGAAAAATGCCTGTGAGGTATTTTCTTAATTAGTGATTGATGCTGGAGGGCCCAGCCCACTGTGTGAGGAGCCACCCCTGGGCAGGTGGTCCTGGGTTCTAAAAGAAAGCAGGCTAAGGGAGCCATGAAGAGAGAGCCAGTGAGCAGCCCCCTCCATGGCCTCTGCATCAGGCAGGCCTCCTGGCTCCTCTGTGCTTGAGTTCCTGTCCAGACCTCTTTCCATGATGAGCAGTGATGTAAAAGCATAAACAAATAAACCCTTTGCTCCCTAAGTCTGGTCACAGCAGTAGTAACCCTAACTAGAGCAGGTCCACAGATCGGTAATTATAATCTTACAATGATGTGCATCCTAAGTGTTTATAAAAAGGATACTCGACTGCCCACAGAACCCATGGATAATATACAGCAGCCAGTCACGGTGCACAGAAGCTTTAATTATATCCAGAAGCTCGCCGTTCCACACATACTTCATATAAGGCTCACTAGAGATCCCAAACACGCCTGAAAAACAAGAGTTGGCAACAGAAAGATGAGGGCATTGACTGGCATCCAGCACATTTTAAAGCTCTTCTGCTTCTGTTTGTAACATCTGTTTTGGGGAGGAGGAAACAGGAGGGGGAGAGTTCGGGGTCACCCTCAGCTCTACAGCACGTTTGAGGTCAGCCTGGGCTACAGGAGTCCCTGCAGGAGAGGAGCGACCAGAGCATATGGGGGGGAGGGGGCGGCGGCTGGGGTGTGGAGGGGAGTCTGGGGGTGTGGGGGGTTTGGGGGTGTGGAGGGGGTTGGGGGTGTGGAGGGGCTGGGGTGTGGAGGGGGGCTGGGGTGTGGGGGGGGTTGGGGGGTGTGGAGGGGGGTTGGGGGTGTGGAGGGGGTTGGGGGGTGTGGAGGGGGCTGGGGGTGTGGAGGGGGTTGGGGGTGTGGAGGGGGTTGGGGGTGTGGAGGGGGCTGGGGGTGTGGAGGGGGGCTGGGGTGTGGAGGGGGGTTGGGGATGTGGAAGGGGTTGGGGGTGTGGAGGGGTTGGGGGTGTGGAGGGGGTTGGGGGTGTGGAGGGGGTTGGGGGTGTGGAGGGGGCTGGGGTGTGGAGGGGTTGGGGGTGTGGAGGGGGGCTGGGGTGTGGAGGGGGGTTTGGGGGTGTGGAGGGGGTTGGGGGTGTGGGGGGGTTGGGGGGTGTGGAGGGGACTGGGATGTGGAGGGGGTTGGGGGTGTGGAGGGGGGTTTGGGGGTGTGGAGGGGGTTGGGGGGTGTGGAGGGGGTTGGGGGTGTGGAGGGGACTGGGATGTGGAGGGGGTTGGGGGTGTGGAGGGGGGTTTGGGGGTGTGGAGGGGGTTGGGGGGTGTGGAGGGGGGTTTGGGGGTGTGGAGGGGGTTGGGGGTGTGGGGGGGTTGGGGGTGTGGGGGGGTTGGGGGGTGTGGAGGGGGCTGGGGTGTGGAGGGGGCTGGGGTGTGGAGGGGGTTGGGGGTGTGGAGGGGGGTTGGGGGTGTGGAGGGGTTGGGGGGTGTGGAGGGGGTTGGGGGTGTGGAGGGGGTTGGGGGTGTGGAGGGGGGGGCTGGGGTGTGGAGGGGGTTGGGGGGTGTGGAGGGGGGCTGGGGTGTGGAGGGGGTTGGGGGTGTGGAGGGGGTTGGGGGTGTGGAGGGGGGTTGGGGGTGTGGAGGGGGGTTTGGGGGTGTGGAGGGGGGGCTGGGGTGTGGAGGGGGCTGGGGTGTGGAGGGGGTTGGGGGTGTGGAGGGGGGTTTGGGGGTGTGGAGGGGGGGCTGGGGTGTGGAGGGGGCTGGGGTGTGGAGGGGGTTGGGGGTGTGGAGGGGGTTGGGGGTGTGGAGGGGGCTGGGGTGTGGAGGGGGCTGGGGTGTGGAGGGGGGGTTGTATCAAGCACTCTCCCACTCTCCCACCTTACACAGTGACTTAGCATTGAGTTGGCTGAGGTGATGCCATCTTGTCCTGACTTTGTTTAGTGTCTCTCTAGTCCCTCCGTGCCCCTCCACCCCACCCCACCCCAGCCACCTCCATTTGGCAACGCTTTTGGGACTGTCCATACCCTGACCATAGTCCAGGTGTATTAACCAGAGTAAGAGATGCTCGTGCAGGACAAAACAGAAAACTAAAATACCTAAGAGGACGTGAAAATCAAAACTAATTGCTGTGTAGTGTCTGGGAAATACTGCCACACTCTGCAGAAACACATGTTGCTCTGGCCCCTTCCAGCACTGCCTTCATGGCGGTTTTGTCTGTAAAAGCGCTGTACCCCTGAGCTCTGGCACCAAAAGACTTTTCAGAGGCGTGATCTCTCTCTCTCGGTCACCTCCTAACAAAAGGGCATAAATACTTTTAATTGGCTAATCGGTGCGTTCGCCAATAGCTACCTCACGTGGGACACCTCCATAGTCTGTACGCTCGAAATGCTCCTGCTCTCCTCAGAGACGTTTGCACGGAAGAGCTTATACGACGCCCTTAACACACACACTTCCTGGTGCCCCAGAGACTTGGTGGGGATTTTGGCAAACCTACTCTTCCATCTTCTACCCTCACTCCCTGTTTCCTACCGTTTCCCCAGATGAATAATTACGCACCCCAGGTGAGAATGCCTGCTGCCAGCACCTACATTAAATGACAAGGAGAAACAGAAGTGGATAGAATCAAGGACACTAATCCAATGCCCTTGAGCCGAGGAGATTATTGTGGCTCATGCACGGGACCCACAGCTTCTCCCAGCTGAAAAGGAAGTGCCAGGGTATCTCTGGGTGACTCGATGTGTGAAGAACAATTCAGCAGTCACTACTGCCTTCCAGATGGAAAGCCACCAGCAGGCAAGAGGGGACGATCCCAAGATCGTCAGGGCTGGCTTTTCTCCTTACATTGAGAACAGAGTGTGGTCTGCTGACACAGTGCTGTGTCTCACTAAGTCCTGCTCCCTCCCGGGACACAATGGCATAGCTGTAAGACATCACCTGCTGGTAGCTTACAGCAGCAACAGGAAGACAACATTCCCTTCAGTCATGCCCACCCAGACTGTTCTGGACACAGCCAAAGTCACCTCAGAGGCCTAAGCCAGAACGCACACCACACTTTCAAACCCAGATCTGGGTGGCATGTGCGGCAAGTTCAACACCACTTTTGGTTTTATCAGTTACTCACCAGCTGCCTGACCCATAGTTTGGGTCACAGTTCCATGTGTCTGAAGCACAGACCTGCTTGGCCTCAGCTCAAGTGACAATCAGGTAAACTAAGCAGAGTCCAAGCACAATGCGGGGGTGTGTGAGTGTGTGTATGTGTGTGAGTGGGTGTGTGTGTGTATGAGTGTGTGAGTGTGTGTGCGACTGTGTGTGAATGAGTGTGCAAGTGTGTGTATGTGTGTGAGTGGATGTGTGTGTGTGAGTGTGTGTGTATATGAGTATGTGAGTGTGTATGTATATATATGAGTGTGCATGTGCGACTGTGTGTGTATGAGTGTGCATGTGTGCATGTGCATGTGCATGTGTGTAACATCCAGCTGAAACAGGCTGGGCCCCTTCCCAGGCATCCTTCAAGGTCAAACCTCTGTCTACTTTGGATTCTGCCTCTACACCTGCATCTTCATCATTAACATTTAAGTTTCATGAAGTGAGGGACTCAAAGCCCTCACTGGTTTAGGACTTTCCCACAGCTGGCCTGCTTCGGATGAGGTAATGTAACTTTACACTTGAAAGGATTCTGTCTGTCGCAGCACTCACAATAACAAGCCGTTTGCTTTGCTAGTTCTAGGCCAAACCCAAAATTCCGGCAATAAAGGCGAAAGGGCACTGGGCCTGGCTTAGTCAGGTCTCCAGGGACCCCGTAGGCTACTCTGGTGGTGGCAGGTAAGAAGTCGGCCTGCAAGAGACCAGTAGCTACATCAATCTGAGACCAGTCACAGCACCAGAGGCCTCTGGACACTGGCCGTTTGAGCTTCACCCTGGACACTGGCCGTTTGAGCTTCACCCTGGACACTGGCCGTTTGAGCTTCACCTCTGGGCCTCAGTTTCCTACCCCATCTTTATTTCTGTACAACTGGCCCATACCTGCCCAGCAGAGGTGTTATGTGGTTTAGGGTATTATATGTCAAATGTCCAGCGCATAACAGACAACCCAAGGTAACTTCTGTCCCAATCTTGACTCATGAATTGACTAATCTCTATGAAGGAAAATAAGATGGTGTGCACTCTACAGTTTTCAAAGAGTAATCCTCTATAAAACTTCACCAAAGACTAGATCCAAATGCGCTCCATTAAAAAAAATGTATGCATAACTAATTTCTACCTGGCTTATAAATAAAACCACACAGTGATTAATGATGGCTTTAAGAGTGAATCGGTCAAGGTTATGTCTCCAGAACAATCCATGAAAGGATAAAGACCACCAAGGGATACAAGGGTTAAGGAATGAGAAACACGAGAGCATCTAACGAGAGTCACACTCGCATGTTAGCTATGCGGGAATCACCTACCGCTGCCACCCTGGGTAACCAACCCTTCATCCTCAAAGATGTCAAAGCTGTCCTGGCGGGTCTTGGATGTTTCGGACTTTAACATCTCCAGGGGCATTCGCAAGACGGTGAGGTTATACTGAAGCGAGTGCGACAGGTCATAGCTGTAACTGGGAAGAGGACGCAGATGTAAGAATTTACACAGGCAAAGACGCCTGGCAGCCCCTGCTCCCGAGAGGAATTACAATCCGTGAGCTAAATCACTTTGCACCTGTTACTTCACTTTAGACGAGCCCTTCCCGACACAGCCAAATACAAACCTGAACGGAAATTAAACGCAAACCCCGCCACCCACCCGACTTGCACATCTGTACTGGAAATACAGTTATGATGGGGTCAGGTATGCTCACTGAGTGGCACAACGTGCGTTTTTAACCTTTTGCTTCATGATGATATCAGTCTGTCTGATATCACATAGCAAGTTGAACTTTCTTATGTCCATGGGAGTGTGTCTATAGATAGTGAAGTACTGTCAACAGTGCTCGGCTCTACCACAGTTTACACATGAGCAAAAATCACTGCAAACTTCATGATGGAACAGGGAGGCGTATATAATGTAAGCTGCTACAGTGAAGTGTGTTCTAGGAGAATAAAAACCATAAAAATGACAACAGGCTCTGTATAAGTAAAGTTTGGTCTTTGGACCTATTATAATTCTGATTTCATAAGAACAACCATTTTTTTTCCTTTTACTGAAAGTAGTTTTTTTCCTCACAAAACATAACCTGATTATTCTGATCTCTACTCTCCCAGCCCCTCCCTACCTCTCTCCCAGCCAGATCCACCCACTTTCTGTCTCTCATTAGAAAACAAACGGGCTTCTCTATGAGCCAATAATACAATAAATATAAATTATTAAAACAAGAAAAAAACTAACACACCCGATTTGGACAAAACAAACAGAGGGAAAAGAGCCCAAGAGAGGCCACAAAAAGCAAAGGCACATTCATTCGCTCACTCGTGAATCCCATAAAAACACTAAACTAGAAGCCATAATATAAAGGAAAGGGCTCTGAAGGGTAAAAAGAGAGAAGAAAGAATATATATAAATAAAGTAAAAGTAAAAAACAGTAAGATAATTTAAAGAAATAAAAGGAAGAGCCCTGACATGTATTCTGAGACAAGGAACTCCAAATTTGCTGTACAGTTCATTCTCTGCTGGCCATTTACTGCTGGGCTTGCAGCCTACCCCTAAGAGTAGTTTGTTTCCCAGTGAGACTCCCTTAAAGGAAACTACATTTTCATTTGCAAGCGGTTATCAGCTGGAGATAGCTGTGGGGCTAGAGATGAACGCATGTGTCCAGTTCTCCTTCATCTGTAGGGCTCCAACTGCCGGGGTCCGGTGAAGGCCCTATGCATGCCACGTTGGCCTCTGTGAATTCGTATGTGCAAGGAGGAGCAACAACTTCTAAGTATTTCTAGTTACCTATTGCAACACAGACTTTCAGAAGCTATCCTGAGGGCTAAGTGCAGTATTTAAACAGCATCTTAAGTATCACAATTCTCTTGGGAGTCACACACATTATTATTTCTCCACTTTATTTCCATAATTTGACTGAAATTAAATTCCAGTTTTGTCTGTAAAACTCAGTTTTAGCACCTTTGCTTAACAGATCCCTTTACTAGCACTTGGCCTTGAGTGGAGACAAGCTGATTAAGAAGCTGGTTTCCAGGTGGGCACGGTGGTGCAAGCCTGTGAGCCCAGCATGTGCAATCCTGAGATTCCAGCATGTGCAATCCTGTGAGCCCAGCATGTGATGCCTGAGATCCCAGCATGTGCAATCCTGTGAGCCCAGCATGTGAAGCCCGAGATCCCAGCATGTGATGCCTGAAGCATGCGTGTGCAGGCCTCGTGTGGTGGTATATATGTAGTTGACCCCCATAAGCTCATATAGAGTGGCACTGTTAGGAGGTGTGGCCTGGTTGAAGTAGGTGTGGTCTTGTTGGGAGAAGTGTGCCTCAGTTCTGACTTGCTGCCTGAGGATCCAGATGTGGAGCTCTCAGCTCCTTCCCCAGCACCACATCTGCCTGCACGCCACCATGTCCCACCATGACGATGATAGACTAACCCTCTGCAACTGTAAGCCAGCCCCAATTAAACGTTTTCTTTTACAAGAGTTTCTGTAGTCATGATTCTCTTCACAGCAATAGAAACCCTAAGATACCTGGGATCCCAGCAAGTGCAGGCTGGGGCAGGTTCAAGTTCAAACCCAGCCTGGGCTACATAGTGAGCCTGTCTCAAAACAACATCATCACCACCAAGCTGGTGTCTGGTTTTCAACAATCAATTCTTCCTGCTTAAAACAGCTCTTTTATTACAGACGAGTCTTGAGAGTGCAACGTAACCTTCTTCAAGTCCTACTTACAAAACGCAAAAACTCAAAGTATTTTCACTTGTGGAATGACTGGATTTAGAGTTCAGTATGGCCAGGAGTGGCATGGGGACCCATTTCAAACGGTGTGCCCAAGCTTCCGTATAACTCAGACACTATAAGCATAAAATGACACAGCCTTATGACGACTAGATAACAAAGACAAATACATGGAAATATACAACCACTAAGCACATGAGGTTAAGTCACTTCATTGAGATCCCTTTGTTCTATAGTGTAATAATCTCAGCTTTACATTATTACTTCATAAACAAATAGTTGACTCTATTAACAACTAAAGACAAATCTCTGAAAACGCAAAGCACCTGTTTGTGACAGCACTGATGGGCACAGATGCCGTGCTTGCGTCACGTGTGAGTACAGATGCCGTGCTTGCGTCGCGTGTGAGTACAGATGCCGTGCTTGCGTCGCGTGGGCCCTCACTCCAGCCCTGCCTGGCGACTGCCCGGGCCCAGCCCACCTCGGGTGCTGATTGGTGCAGGCGCGCTCTCTCTGGCCTGACTGGGTTCCTGATTGGCAAACGCTTTTTTCATTTTGCCTTGCAGTCTGGACACTACAGCAGACAGAGTCATCTTTTTATCGCAGTTCTCATTTCTGCCCAGCCTGCATGTTGGTCACCACTGTGCCATAACAGTCTGCCATTTGCTTATTTGATTTATTACCAGCTGGGTTTGTCTGCTTGCTGGCTATGTTAAACAGACCTCCACAAATATCTCTATATCAAAAGAGATTTCTATTTTCTCTCCAAAAACATGTTCTTAGGCAAAACTATTAATTTATAGGTATCACAACACTTTTACCTATTTCTAACTAATTTTTACCTAATTTTTCCAGATCACAGAAACTGAACTATGGCACTGTTACAACGCTGCATTAGAACTAATACAGTCTCATTTTTATAATTTAAAGTTCCAAAATGAGATTGTTTCTTTAAATTATATCAATGCCTTCCTGAAACAAAGGTGATTTTTATAGTGTCAATAAATACTTGTCTATTTAAATTTTCAAGAATCAAGTTTGTAAAAGGAAGAAATTCTTAGAGTTTAATGATTTTTGATGAAATAACCTGGTTATTGATTGTATTCTAATTCTCTTTCTATAATCTGATAAAATTAAAGTGACTAATACAAGCAAAATTAAGCTCAAACCTACCTAAAGTAAAAATTGCTAGAGAGATCCACATTTTGAAATATCCTTAGATACCTAAAAAAAAAAAAAGAAAAGAAAAAAAAGAAAGCACATTATGAACATGAAACGTTATTACTTTTCATGGCTTAGCATACAGTCAGGGTATCCTTACATTAGTGTGTGCTCACTGAGCTGAGGAACTCCAGCCACGTCTGGCATGGGTATGCATCTGCCAACCGTCCCTCCGAGTCCCTTAGCTTACTTTGCCCCTTCTTATGTTCACTCACATGGGTGGGCACGGGCTGGGAGCAAGGGAGGAATAAGGACAGTTTGGGTTTACAGCGAGCTGTGCAAACCCTCAGATAATAGAGAGAAGACAGTTGCAGAGCTGGCAAACTGCTGTGCGTTACCAGAACCTCAAGTTGGAAAGATTTTTAACGTGAAAATAGAGGGAGCAGAATGTGGGTGGGTGTGCAAGCATGTGGGCGCTGGGCTGGGTGGCGGCTGTCCCCTCGCAGTACTTCTCTGCCTCCTTCCCTTGAGACACCGCCTCTCAGCCACCCTGAGCAGGGACGGGCGGGCGGAGCTTGCTGTTTCTCCAGCTGGAATGGCTGCCAGCAGGCCCCAGGGCTGCTGCTGTCTGCTCACCCTACAGCTCTGGGGTCAGAGGAGCCTGAGGCCACAGCTGCATCTTTGCATTGCTGCACTCCCGGGCACCCATGGGGCCAGCCCTAATACCCCCCAAAAGCATTCAGTTGATGTCATATAATAAAAATTAGAAGAAACCGTTACAGTTGCTAGTCGTTTAGAATTTAGTTATGCTCTGTCGTGTTGTTTAATATCGTGACTTCAGAATCTTAGAGTGAAATCATCTTATGGTTAATACTGTGGAGGATGTGGACAGTATCCACAATAGAGTATCCTGTCTAAACTGTTACAAAAGACTTTTACACTGGAATTTGGACCCAGCATTTGATGTATCTATTAAACATTTGTATTTCTGTGGTTCTATTGTTATCAGAAACAAAAAGTAACTTGTCAGCACCAGTACATACCTAGCTTCATCAGGGTGACTAATCCGGACGGAGTCATTGGGGATATAAATCATATTTGTATCTTCAATCTTATATATTGCATGACCTCCAATGTCTGCCATTTTTCTCCGCTTAGTTATTAACACAATATAGTAGCCTTCTAAAAACCTGACGAAACCTGTGCAGTGATAAATATAATGCCACATTATTTTAGATACATATTTACCAAAGACTTTATACATTTCCTACTTTAATATTTTCTTAACTTTACAGCATATACACTTTTGGCACTTATATAACCTAAAACATTACTGGGGGCTGGCGATGCGGCTCAGTTGTTGAGGGCTTGCATAGCATGTACAAGGCTGTGGGTTCGATCCCCAGCACTGGGTGAATTCGGGCACACTGGCACACACTTATCACTTGGGACGGCAGCCGCAAGCAAGAGCAGATGCCCCAAGTCGTCCCCAGCTATCTGGTGAGTCTGAGGCCACTTGTACACAATATGTGCTCTGTGCACATTCTGTATCTCTAACAGTATGCTTTCTATACCTGAGACAGGGCCATGTAACCCATACTGGCCTCAAACTCTTCTGGCCTCTCCACAGGCACCAAGCATGCACGTGGTGCACAGACGTGCGCATGTAGACAAAACACTCATGTACATAAAGAAATAAAAAATTAATGAAAATGGATATTTTAAGTTGTAGCAAAATAGCTTTAAAAGAATAAGATTAGACTACTAAGCAATTAGTAAGTTAAAAGAAGTATTGTACTTAAGACATATTCCTGTCTTTAAGTTTAAAATATAATCAGCATCTGAAGTGGAATTTAACACACACGGAACTTATGAATCGACACATAAGAGCTCATGTGATATTAAACAAGCATTCTCGGACCCACAAACACACAGCCAATCAATAAGGATCCTCGAAGGACTTGTTAAAAAATCAGCAGAAAGCCAATCAAAGGAGGCAAGCCAGCGCAGAAGCCGATCATGCTGCACTGGCTACTTTTCTGGTTAAGGGAGGAAGACGGGTCTGTCTCACTGTCTGAGGGGACACAGACTGCGCGGTGGATGAGGAATGCCACAGAAGGGATGGGGACAGGGACTGGCCGCATCGCATCCGCAGCGAGAAAGCAGGGACATGCAGGGGACAGTAAGCTGCCACTTACTCCCCTTCATTCAGACTGAGGCTCGAGCGTACGGGATGGCACTGCCCGGGCCCTCCCCCGACAGCCATGCCTTTCTGGAAACACACTCACTCACGGACACGTCCAGGGAATGTTCTCATGGTGACTCCAAATCCCCTCGGGTTGCCAATCAAGCTCACCCATTCATTACACACGCCTTGCCACTGTCTTCGTGGACAGCTACCAGGACCCACGATGGGGTTAAAAGCGGATGTGCAAGCTGTGGCACCGCGTTGAGAAAAAATAATTCAAATATGGCAGTTAAATAAACAGTTAAAATAGAAAGTGCTCATTGGAAACTTGAAATGACATAAAGCTCACATTAATCGTTAATATCAGCAGCAATGGTCTAGTTCATCTTATACCTCACCCAGTGGGTTTAAGAAACACTCAAAGTCCCAGCGGTAGAGAAGCTGCTCTCTGCTTTTATTTTTAGTTCCCCAAAGCCCTGAGCAATCTCTGCCTTTGCCACGATGGCTGCTTCCCAGTGCCCAGGCCCTGGAGGCCTCTTTGCATCTGCGGCCTCTGCTGTCACTCCTACAGAATCGCTCCTTTCTTCCCTGTTTCCAAAGTATCTCTCAGTCCATCCTCGGGACGCGCGTAAATCTCTCCTGCCCATTCCGGGTCTAAGTACTACAAACTCCACCGTGATTCTACTTGGATTAGATGACTGGGCTGTATAATTATAGCACCAGAGCTGCCCTGTCTATACTCATGTCTACTCATCTCTGTCCTCTGTCCTCTGTCCTCGACCAATCAGGAGCAGAGCTGTCGGTAATGGGTAACCCTTGTCAGCATGACAGGGCTTAGAATCACCTAGGGCACCAATCTCTGGACAAGACTGTGAGGCTATTTCCAGAGTGGGTAAACTGAGGCAGGAAGACTCACTCTGAGAGTGTGCAATGCCAGCTATGGGCCGGAGGACGGGTGCGAATGGAGACGGAAAGCCAGGAGAAAGTGAGGCGAGCACCAGGCCCGTCCCGCTCTGCTAACCCGCTGTGGGCGCAATGTGACCAGATGCCCATGCCACTGCTGCCCGGCCTTCCCTGCCACGAGGGAAGGGCTGCACCCTCACGCTGTGAACCAAGTAAACCTTTCTTTTGTCAAACAATGAGAGAAAGCAACTAATGTGTCACTAGACCGTAGAGACAGGGGTAATGGTCCACCATAATGAGGGGCTATAGAGCACCTAACATAGGAAAGGAAAAGGGACAGAGCTTGAATAAACCTGGGGGAGCAGCCTCAGGCTAAAGAAGACTCAGAGAACATCATCAGGCCAGGGATACAGGCCACACCTTTAATCCCAGCACTCAGGAGGCAGAGGCAGGAGGATCTCTGTGAGTTCTAGGCCAGCCTGGTCTACAGAGCAAACTCCAGGCCAGGCAGGGCTACACAGTGAGACCCTGTCTTGGAGAAAGAAACATTATATATATATATATATATATATATATATATATATATATATATATATGTGTGTGTGTGTGTGTGTGTGTGTGTGTGTGTGTGTGTGTGTGTGTATGTGTGTATATGTATGTATGTTTATATGTATATATATGTGTGTGTGTGTGTGTGTGTGTGTGTGTGTATAGATAGATAGAGAGAGAGAGGGGTCTTTGAAGTAGACTAAGGGTCCAGTCTCCCTGAAAACAATGATAGCATAGCTTGGAATCCCTTATCTGAAGCTCTGCTGAACTTGCTGGGAACAGAAACAGCGTCTCCCAGTCACACTGACTTACACTAGACAGTGAGAATAGCTTAGCAGCCGGGCTTTTAGAAAACCTTTCTCCCTGAGTAAGAAAGTGCTTAGCGGCCAGGCTTTTGAAAAACCTTTCTCCCTGAGTAAGAAAGTGGTCACTGTGCTGGCTAGTTTTTATGTCGACTTGATTCAAGCCAGGGTCATCGGCAAGATGGACTCTTAATCAAGAAACCACTTCTCTAGGGCTGGCCACAGGCGAGCCTGTAGGGCGTCTTCTTGATTGACGGCTGATGCAGAGGGTCTGGTGGTATGAGATGTGGTGGGGCTGGCTGGTGGGCCTGGGTGATATGAGAAAGCAGGCTGTCAAAGCCATGGAGACCAAGCCGTAAGCAGCCTCCCTCCACGGCCTCTGCGCCATCCTCGCTGAGTTTCTGCCCTGACTTCTGGATGATGGCCACTTCCATTTGGATGATGGACTACGAAAGCCAAATATCTCGTTTCCTCCCCAGGGTGCTTGTGGCCACGGAATTATCACAGCAATAGAAAACCAACTAAGACATCACACAAAGAAGGGATCTGTGGCAGGTTCTACTGTAGCCTGTCCTTGGGGGAACTTCCTGTCCATTTTACAGCAAGTTTACTATAGCTGTAATTATAGCTGGAGGACAGCGGGGCAGATGTTAATAAAACTCTTCATTCCATAGCAAGCCAGACAGCAGGTTCCTCCAAGCTCTTCCCTGTTCCTTCGTGTCTATATAAACCTGAGCAGTGCTGAGCATGAGGGCAGACACCGTCCAAATGCAGCCGGACTGATTGACAATGACATTTAAAGCAGCCAAAGCCACAGGTGATGTGTTAGACTATACAGCTATCGGGCTGTAGACACGCTCTTTAATCTCTGTCAACATAAACAGGGATGAGGGAAGGAGGCACATCACTTACCGACAATGCCAAACGCAGAGACGGCTCGGAACAACCCAGACGACCCTTTCTGGCTCGTCTTTGTTCTATTTCCTAGGTCCAAGCGGCCAAGAAGTTCCCGCACTTCTTGCTGAGTGTACACATGCTGTAAAACAAGCCCAGGCCACCGTAAGGTGTGCTCGGCCCTCGCGTTAGGTATTTGCCTCTGAGAAGCTGCCTACAAGACTCAACAGTGATTTCATGAGCTGTATCATGTATGATTAATTGCCACTGTAAAAGGCAGCAGGTTCTAGATGACTAGTTACCACTGTAAAAGGCAGCAGGTTCTAGATTACTGACTAAGTTACCATTGTAAAAGGCAGCAGGTTCTATAACTGAACGGTTAAGGCTGGTGCCTGGATTGCATTGCTAGGTTCAAAAATTACGTCAGAACTTCAGATTCAGAACTTGGGATTCAGAGATCAAAGGGATCCACCTGTTTTAAAGTTTGTGAACCCCTTAAAATGAGATGCAAACCCTTGGGTAGATGCGCTTGTACGAGACGGCCCGCATCTGATGGTTTCTCAAAGTCTCCCCATCAAACATCTCCACCCCCAAGTGAAACCAAGAATCACTCCATCATATTAGTTAAGTTTCCAGGCGGAGCCCAGGGCATGGACGCTGAGGAGCAGTGCAGGAAATCAAAACCATAATAGTGAATTTATCCACAATTGTGAGAACACAGAACACTTCTGCAAATGAAAATGATTCCAGATCATAACTATTAATGTGCTTGAATAAAGAGGAGCCTATGTAGATTCAGAAATATTTAGCCAGGAACCTCAGTACCAAGGGTAACTTCCTTCCTTTGGAAAAGCTAAAATTAACACTTCAACACCACTACATTACCTTGTACCTTTGACTAATAGCCTCATGCTCCTGTATGACTTGAATTAAGCCTAGGCCCTCCACAGTCTGGGTAACAACTGTTTGCCATTCCTGAGTGCAGGCCAAACCAATGAATGCGAGTTCTCTGACTCCCTGGCTTCCTACTGAAGCATGGCCGCTTGCAATCTCTCCAGTAGATGCAGTATTAAGTTACACCGAACCCTCAAATGACAGCTGCTTAAGGAAATGCACTTGTTATCTTCCAGGGGCAGTGTGTGCTCTCAGAAACATATCAAACTGAATGACAAAGTTTAATTTTACCTGATCTCTCAACACCAGTAACTTCTGGAAGCCAGACTAGAGAATATAGATGTATATCTAAAAGAAAAAGAAAGGAAGAAACAAACAAACAAACAAACAAAGCTCTTATCAAGCTTCTGTGGGCCGTGAGTGAGGCCTGCTACTCACCCTGTCATCAATAATGACCAAATCTCTTGGCTCCGTTCTATCAATTTTCAAGACACGGTATTTCGTTTCTGCATGGTTGCTCCCAACTAGAAAGTATCTCTATAAAGAAAGACACTGTCAGTTTTAAAGTCATTTTGCCGTAGAAACGTTTATAACCACATCACATTTTGAAAATGCATTCATAAAGTCAGGTTGCCTCTTCAAGAGAGTTTTTAAAATGTGTTCGTTAACTAGAGGACTAAATAGACAGAACCCCAAAGGTCCATTATTAAATTGAAACATTCTCAGTGGCTTCAAAATAGTCTTGTTGAAATAAGCCCAGGAACTGGGTCAGACGGATTGAATTCTATTACAACACTGGAGACTGGCCTATGTGTTGTTTAGTCTTTGCCTGGAAGCAGCAGCACTGATAAGCATTCGAACGCCCAACATGTCATTAGGAAGTTTAGACAATTACAGCTATTAAAGTATTATAGTTTGGCAATACGGCCTTGAAAATGTTTTATGTAAAGTATGAAAACTCTGAAGGCACACACAGTCTAAGAGATTGCAACAGCTGCACAGTCCCCAAAGCTTTTCACAGAGAAACTACTGGAAACATTACACATCACACATCTGAACACAAAAATATTAGTTGCCAGATCACCGGGAAAATAGTAATCCTGTATTTAAATATGAAATTTGTAAATGTAACTACACAGACTGTCTTTGTGTGTGTGTATCTGTGTGTTTGTGTGTTTGTGTGTGTGTCTTTGTGTGTGTGTATCTTTGTGTGTGTCTTTGTGTGTGTGCTTGTGTGTGTATGTATGTGAGTGTGTGTTATGTGTGTATGTGTGTTATGTGTGTATGTGTGTGAGTGTGTGTGTTATGTGTGTTTGTTATGTGTGTATGTGTGTGAGTGTGTGAGTGTTTGTGTGTGACTGTAGGTTATGTGTGTATGTATGTGTGAGTGTGTGTGTTATGTGTGAGTGTGTATGTTATGTGTGTATGTGTGTGTGTGAGTGTGTGTATGTTATATGTGTGCCTGTATGTTATGTGTGTATGTATGTGTGAGTGTGTGTGTGTTATGTGTGAGTGTGTGAGTGTGAGTGTGTGTATGTTATATGTGTGACTGTATGTTATGTGTGTATGTATGTGTGAGTGTGTGTGTGTTATGTGTGAGTGTGTGAGTGTTTGTGTGTGACTGTAGGTTATGTGTGTATGTATGTGTGAGTGTGTGTGTTATGTGTGTGTGTATGTTATGTGTGTATGTGTGTGTGAGTGTGTGTATGTTATATGTGTGCCTGTATGTTATGTGTGTATGTATGTGTGAGTGTGTGTGTGTTATGTGTGAGTGTGTGAGTGTGAGTGTGTGTATGTTATATGTGTGACTGTATGTTATGTGTGTATGTATGTGTGAGTGTGTGTGTGTTATGTGTGAGTGTGTGAGTGTGTGTGTGTGTGGCGGCACTAAGAGTCAAGCCCAGGGCCTCATCCGTGCTCAGCACACACTCTACCAAGCTTTCTCCCTAGTTCAGTTATTCTTAAAAAGTAATATTTTTCAAACTAAAGGCTTGAGAAGACACTGCCACATCAGCTTGCACTTTACTATCTAACCGGTCAGGTGAGCAAAGCAATTAAGTAATAAAAACAAGTGTTTACAGCCAACGTCCAGGTGGAGAGTCCCCACCATAGGGAGGCAGAGCGGAGAAGACTGACGTGCACACTGGAGCTGTGCAAAACAACAGAGGGGCCCAGAACTGACTCCCCTAACACAGGCCTCCTTTTCACTGCGGGATGATTTTCTATCGTCTACACTAATGGCCTTCTCTGGGCAAACACACAGAAACATGGATCTTATCATTCAGCTACTTCAAAGAGGTGAAAGGGAGGGAGGGGGAAGGGGGAGGGAGAAGGAAGGGAGAGAGAGGGGGAAGGGGGGGACGGAGGGAGAGGGGGAGGGGGGAGGGAGGGGGAGGGGTGGAAGGAGGGGAAAAGCCACATGAAATCTCTAGAGTTATTATAGATCCCAAAAGTCTAAGTATTACTGCAATGAGATAATGTTTAGACAGTTCCTAATGGAAAAGGCAGGTTAGTGGGCACCGGCCAATGTGTTAGTGGCCTTGGGAGCACACAGAAGCCAGCTTTTTACCTCTCACATCCTAACACTCAGAACAGCCAAAAAATGAAAGAAACGATCCGGGGAGTGAGAGATGTGGGTGGGGGAGGGGACTATCCACAGACCCGAAGGGTTTCCGCAGAGAGTAGCGCCCCCGTGTGGCGCCAGTTCTGAGGCGTTGACGGGGCTGGGGAGCACAGAGAAACTGCACCGCCCTCTGGTGGCGGCCGAAATCCGCTCTCACACCAAAGCGGTCTTTAAATAAAAGAGGTAACTTTTCCAGAAAGGCCTGTTTCCATTCAGTCTCCTCCTCTCCTTGCTGATCACAGAGATGCTGTGGCCACAGGGCCGTAACACTGGGTCACAGGCAATACTTTAATTCAGGGTGGAGCTCCCCAGAAAGTCCTAAGCCGCAGCCACTTTGACCAATTCATAATCTTCAGAAGACAAACAGTTCAACGCGGCAACAAGAGCTGCACATTGGAAATAAAAGATGTCCAGGTGCAGGCCATGCCAGGCAGGACAGGTAAGGCCTGCTGTCTGAATCCTCCCGCGTCCTCAGTTTGGAGCCTGAAGACCTAAGCTGCTGACAACCCATCCTCCCCAACTGGTGTGTCCCTGCCCCATGCAGGCTGATACTCAGGTGTGCAAGAACAGAGACTAGATTAGCGGAACAGAAACAAGACGAGGCTGGCTGTCTGCCTTACCATGCCTACTCAGTATTGTACTTGAAGTTCTAGTTAGAGCAATAAGACAACTAAAGGAGATCGAGGGCTTACGAGTTAGAAAGGAAGAAGTCAAACTGTCACTATTTGCAGATGATGTATTGATATACACAAGCTTCCCCCCAAATTCTACCAGGGAATTCCTACAGCTGGTAAACACCATCAACGATGTGGCCGGATACAAGATTAACTCAAATAAGTCAGTAGCCCTCCTATATACAAATGACAAACAGGCTGAGAAAAAAATCAGGGAAACAACACTCTTCACAATAGCCACGAATAATTTAAAACATCTTGGGGCGACTCTAACCGAGCTAGTGAAAGTCCTATATGACAAGAACTTCAAGCCTTTGAAGAAAGAAACTGAAGACGATATGAAAAGATTGAATGATCTCCCATGCTCATGGATTGGTAGGACTAACATAGTAAAAATGGCCATCTTTCCAAAAGCAATCTAAAGATTCAATGCAATCCCCATTAAAAATCCAACACAATTCTTCACAGACCTTGAAAGGACAAATCTCAACTTCACATGGAAAAACGAAACAAACAAAGAAACAACAACAACAACAACAAAATCAGGATACCTAAAACAATCCTGTACAATAAAAGACGTGCTGGAGATAGCACCATCCCTGATTTTAAGCTCTAGTTGGCGTGAAAACAGACAGGTGGATCAATGGAGCAAATCAAAGCCCAGATGTAAAGCCACACACCTGATTTTTGATTTAAAAAAAAAAAAGCCAGAATTATACAATGGGGAAAAGGCAGCATCTTCAGCAAATGCTGCGGTCTAACTGGTTGTCTGCATGTAGAAGAATTCAAATAGATCCATATCTGTCACCCTGCACAGACCTGAAGTCCAAGTGGATCAAAACCTTAACATAAGTCTAGATACCCTGAACCCGATAGAGAGTGGGGAACAGCCCTGAACTCACTGGCACAGGAGACAACTTCCTGAACAGAGCACCAACAGAGCAGACACTGAGATCAACAATTAGTAACTGGGACCTCATTAAACTGAAAAGCTGCTGTAAGGCAAAGGACACGGTAAATGGGGCAAAATGGCAGCCCACAGAATGGAGAAAGATCTTCACCAACCCCACATCTGATAGAGAGCTGTTCTCCAAAATATATAAGGAAGTCAAGAAACCAACCATCAACGAACCAAGTAATCCGATTTTAAAACGGGGCACAGATCTAAACGGAATTCTCAACAGAGGAAATCCCAAATGCCCAAGAAACAAAGGATGTTCATCATCCTTAGCAGCTTACACCTGTCAGAATGGCTAAGATTAAAACACACACACACACACACACACGTGTCAGTCAATGCTGTCGAGGATGCGGAGCAAGGGGACACGCCTCCATTGCTGTTGAAGTGCAAACTTGTATAGCCACCGTGGAAATCAATAGGGCAGTTCCGCAGAAAAGTGGGAATCAACCTACCTCCAGGCCCAGTTATACCACGTCTGGGCACATACCCAAACGAAGCTCCACCATACCTCAACTATGTTCATTGCAGCTTTATTCATAATAGCCAGAAACTGGAAGCAACCTACAAGCCCCTCAACCAAAGAATGGTTAAAGAAAATGTGGGTATTAGCTGTAAAGAATAACCATGCTACAACCCACAGAGCCAGAGAGGCTAAGTAAGGAGGAGTGCTCATGGGAACACATGGGTGGATGGGGGACAGGTGAGGATGGGAACGGGAGGGGTCAGGTTGCGGAAAATGGAGGGAGGCAACTAGATACTGGGAAAAAAAATAGCGGCAATGAAGTGAGCAGAGTCTCTTCTGAAAATTAAGAGCCATTGTTCTGGAAGAGCTTAAAATGTGTTGGTAACTTCGGCAATGGTGGCGTGGCAGAAAGATGGCCGTGTTTCTAAAATATATATATATATATATATATATATATATATATATATATATATATATATGAAACCCGAAAGGAATCCAATAGGCAACCCATTAACAGGAAGCTCAGAACCTAATGACATTATTCCCTCCCTGTAAGGCAGGCTAATTAATCACTCACTTTTCATCTGGGGGATGAAAGCAAGCCAGCCTCCTTGCAAAGGAGGAGATTTCAGGGTGTATGACAGCTTCAATTAAGGCCCAACTTCACTTGAACTTTTGGGTTACATATATTACTTTTAAAAAGTGTCTTGAAGTTGCTTCTCGAAGTTTCACAGTCACAGGCCTGCTGTCTCCATATCTAATCTGCTGAGCCCAGCAGTGAGTTAATGCAGCCCAGAGGCAGGAAGCAAGCCTTGGGGACGGCAGGCTTGGTCAAGTCCACCTGATGGAGATCTGACTGTGACCTTAATGGGTCAGGTCTGGCACATTCTCCCAGGAATTAATGATAGGAAACTATCCAGTTTTTAAAATATTGGGTGTTACCAAGAAGGGGAGGCGTCACCTTCACTGCAAGTGTGAAATTCCGTCTCCCCAAACCGCATCTCTAAACTGCTGATTACTCTGGTCCTCTCTCCCGGACGGCACTCTGCAGTCCCCTGATCCAGTCCCTCCGCCAACCATCCCATAGTACACTACTCTCTCTTGTTCCCCAAACACATATTAAAGGTTAATTTACTAAGAGGCATTCCCTGTGGTGCAGTTCTTATTTTATTCACGTTTGTGTGGTTGGGGATAAAGGGCAGCTTCCTAAATCCTTTTCGAAGATGTGAGAGTGTGTGCTTTGGGGAGGGTTGCATGTGCACACTTTTAAAGTTGACCATCACACATTCTCAGCATAGGGCATCTTCCCCAATGCTACACGGCTCCCAGCCTTGGGCTCGCCAACTGGCTGGCCAGCAAGCCCCCAGTGCCCGCCCATCTCTACACCTGGATTACAGGTGTGCACCACCAGTCCCGATTTCTCATGTGGATGCTGAGTCCAAACCCTGTGTCACAGCAAGCACCATACCACCATACCGACATCCTCAAAGACCCCACCACAGAATTTTCTTTATGGAAATTGGCAAGCACACTATAGAAGTCATAAGAAAACACAAAAAAATCTTTACTAGAGTAGCCAAATAAGTTGGAAAAATATGTCTGACTCTAAGATCAAACTATAATCTTCCAGAAAAGGTAGTAGGGCATAAGTAAACAGAGAAATAGAACAGCACGGTTGAACCTTTAATTGTTCAGTCAAGTAGTTTTTCACAAACACACCAAAGAAAGGAGAAAAGAGTCTGTTCAACATCTGACACTACACAGTTGATTTCTGGGTAAACACACACACACACACACACTAATCCTGTACTAACAGCCTCCAGGAGTCCGTCCACAATGAACAGGGGCAAGCCTGGGTGACCAATAGGGTACTTCAAAATGACGGCAGTGTGACTTCTGAGCTCATACCATAAGGACACTGTGACTTCTTCCTTGTTTTTCCCTCCGTCCCTCACTCCCCGGCCCCTTCCTCTCCTCCTCCTTCCTCCCTCTGTGGTGGGAATCTAGCAGAATCAATGTATGGGAATGAATAGCTGTTTTCCAGAAGTACTTAGACCTTGGAGAAATCACTGGAGAAGTGATTGTTTTGTTATCCGCAGAGTTATTTTCCTGAAGGAGCTTTACAGGCTTTGTGTGACCCTGGCACATCCGGCTCTCTTGGATTATTGGGCACTGCAGACAGTGCACAACAAAGACTAAAGTGGCAGGGATGAGATGCTTTCCTTCAGACGGCAGGGCTTAGATCAGGGCTTTGGTATGAGAAACGTCCTACACACAAAACAAAATAGCTTTTGCTAACAATCAATAAATATGGTCAGGGTTCAGCTCATAGAAACTGTTCCTCCCTGTACTCAGAGAGCCTAAAATTCATCTTGGAGCGGTCTCTTTCCTTGCCTGACCCTCACAACACAAAACACCTGACTATCTCCCTCTCCCTTTCTCCCTCTACTCACACCCAGAGCCAGCTGCCAATCATAAAGACACCTAAGGATTCTACAGAAACGTCCACTCGCCAGGAGCTATGGACAACAAACAGCTCAGCTTACCCAGCTGGATAAGTAACCTGGAGTAAACCCCACACCCTATCTGAGCCTCCAGACGACTGTGTCACAGGTGATGTTTAATTGTAAATCCTGAGACCCCCCCAAGGCAGAGCCACTCAGACTCTTGGCCTACTTAAATCATGTGAAATATTAATGCTTATTGCTGCCCAGATCCACTAATCTGCAGGTGAGAGAGTAAAGAGGTAAGTCACCTAAGGCCTGTGTTGCTAAAGAGTCTGCCAGACACACTATGGCCTATGGGCTGAAGATGGAAGATTACAAAAGAACTTCGGGCAGTGAATTGTCTCTGTCATTTCTAGAGTTTATATACTATCCTTCTGTGGTCTTTGAGGGAGTTGAAGACAGATACTTATGGTTATAGTTTTCCTTAGTTAAGCTTAAAGATAAGTTACATATAGGACTTTAGACTCACACATATAAGATAGATAATAGAATAGTTTCTTTTACTCTTGCTAAATGTTAATGGACTAAATATTGTTAACTGTGATTCTTATTTGATAACTGTTGTGTGATATAATTTGCTATGTTAAGCTTAAAACCCTTCTTTTTATTTTAACAGAAAAGAGGAGATGATGGGAGATGTCATTCTGTATGTGTTTCTCACACTGGTTAATGAATAAAGCACTGTTGGCCAATAGGAAAGGAAGATAGGAGGGACTAGGAGACAAAGAGGAAAGAGGAAGTAGTAAGGAGGAGCCAAGATGGAGAGTCTGGAGAAAGCAATATGCCAGCCGGCTCCCCGGTAAGAGAAATACATAGATCAGCAGAAATGGGTTAATACTTAAGGCAGAGCTAGCCGATAAGAAACAAGTAACCGGGCCAACAGAATTATATCTAATACAGAGTCTCTGTGTATTATTTGGGGCTGGCGTGGCGGCGGGACAAGACCAGGCGGTGGGCGGAAAAACCGTGCGCCTTACAAGAGAGCTCTCAGCTACTGCTCCAGCACCATGCCTGCCAACCTACTACGATGCTCCTCATCATGATGACTATGAACTCTAATCCTCTGCAATTGTAAGCCCTAAATAAATGCTTTCTTCTATGAGTTGCCTTTGTCATGGTACCCTATCACAGCAATAGGAAAGTAACTAGACACACAGAGGACTTTTTCAGGCAACAGAAATGTTTCATGTCTTAATAGGGCTTTAGAATGCACATGTGCATAGTTCTGCTCAAATTCCTAAGTTTAGATTTGTGCATTTCAATTTGTGCAAGGATAAATAAGTAAATAAACACAGATCTGCTTAACGGATAAGAACCGCCTCCTGCAAGGAGGGGTTGTCCTACAGAGAAGTGATTACCATCACCATTTGGCCACAGGGGTAGCTATCCAATCAGACCTAAGTCTATCATCTCATCCCTCACCCCCATGCCTGCAATGTTTGTGGGTTGCATTCTGGGGATGTTCTCAAGCCTGCTATCGTGTCTTGCTTTTCCAGAGCTGGAGAGTTGAGTCCTCCAGTGAGTCCCTGTAATGGCTCCTAGCATCCCAGCATCCTTCTAATGTACCTACTTTCATCTGCCAAACCCTCTCAACTAGCAGCCACTGCCTACATGGTGCATGTGGTGCCTGCAAGGCGCGCACAGAGCGCGCGTGCGCGCGCGTGTGTGTGTGTGTGTGTGTGTGTGTGTGTGTGTGTGTGTGTTCTCAGAACCATAAAGAATTTTGGTTGGCCTGAGACAGAAAGAAATAGAAAAACACAGGGTGAGCATAGGGAGCCACGTTGATGTGATTTTACTGGATAATTAAGACACAAAAATGTACACAACTGAATCTCGAATACGGGATAAAATGAGGGGCAAAGTGTGCTGTCCTCAGCATAGGTGCCACTCAAGAGTTCTGGGGAAGAAATTCTGCTTTAGAAACAATAGGACATTGAGTCAGGCCCCAGAATGCTCAGCTTATCGGTGGGTAAGCTCCAATTTACTATGTTTCTTACTAGAGACCGTCACCAGCACATTCTACAGAAAGAAAACTTTGTTTCTGAAGAGAAGTGAAGATACCTGTACATTCTATTCCATCTTCGGCTGTTTACCGGATCGAATGGACTTGTTTGCCAAATTAACTTAGAACCCGCAATTGTACACACATGAAACGTGGTAGACACCACTAGGATTGTGAGAAACTGGGGGCGTAAGGACTTTCTTCTCTTCTATCGGGGACTAGCCATGTTTCATTGAATATACGTTATGAGATACCCACAGGTTTGTGGCCATGAAGTGAGTTAAACACTGACCCTAATATCATGGTGAAGGGCAGATTCGGGTGAGCCACACTGTAGTAACTTCGTTTTCCAATCACAGAAATGAGGGAAAAACTGAACTTCTACTAACACCACTCTATAAGCTGGAGAGCTAACTAGCAACCCAATTAATTGTCCATGGCACGGAATCCCAAATATTAACAAAAACGGTGATTATTAACACCCATCACAGTGGCAGTATTCCACGGAATGCAAAACAGAAGGTACCTAGGCAAAGGTCGAGATGTTTTCATATCCCTGCCTTCACTATAAGGAGCGGACTCAAGGAGTTTAACAGATGCTGGGGAAGCTGGGCCGAACCGTCTAGTAACTCTTGCAGAGCTGTGCGCCGTTCCTGTGCACCACAAACGCCTGTGTGCATGCTCGCCTCTTTCTGCCAACCCACTAGCGTGGCCCAGGACCCCGCGGGCGCGCTCCCTCCCCGGTGCTGCGGCCCGGAGGGGGCCGGGAAGGCGGCGCCGCCTCTGCCCTGCGACCCCGCAGCGTCGCCCGCCCCCGCTCGCTGCCCGCCCTCCACGCGCCGCAGACACTCACGGCTCTGGTCTCGTAGAGCACCAGCTTCTGCACCAGGCTGATGATGGGGGCAGCGGCCGTGGGCATGGCTCCGGCCAACGGCCGCGACAGCGCGGGACGGTGCCTGCAGACGGACGGACGGACGGACGGCCCGATCCCTGCAGACAGACGGGCGGACGGACGGACGGCCCGATCCCTGCAGACAGACGGGCGGACGGGCGGACGGACGGACAGCCTGACGGCCCGATCCCTGCAGACAGACGGGCGGACGGACGGCCTGACGGCCCGATCCCTGCAGACAGACGGGCGGACGGACGGCCTGACGGCCCGATCCCTGCAGACAGACGGAGGACTCTGCAGACCCCGCTCACCAGCACCAACCAGACCGCGCCGGCGCGCTAAGCCTTCAGCAGCCCGCGGCCGCCGGGTGCTTCCGGGTTCCCCGAGCCCCGCCTCCCGCCAAGCCCCGCCCACACGCGAGGGGCGGGGTTACAGGAGTACGGCGTTGCTGAGGGCGGACGCTAACGGCGCCATCTTTGTTTAGGGCAGGCTGAGCGGGGCGGGGAGATCGGCTTTATCTTGCTACTTATGGAGAGCAGGTCAGGGGACCGGAGTCTCGGTTCCAATCGGTTTCTCCTTGTTTAGTCTTTATTTTCCGGAAAGCTGTGTCGACATTTGCACTTTTCACGTGCGGGGCAGGCGAGCGCGCTGGCGCGGGGGCCGCTCCGGCTTAGCACACGGTTTTCCCGTCGCTGCCGGGCGCAAGCGGACACGAAGCAGACAATGCACGCGCTCGCCCTGCTCATCACCTCCGCATTTTATGGTTATGAATACAAAAGCAGACCTTTAATTATGCACTGGAGTTACAGTGCCACCCCCTGAGGCCCCGCCCTCCCTCTCCCCAGGGCCCTGCCAGCCGCCCACGCGTTTCCAGGGCAACCGCCCAACAGACACTGGCAGCCTCCGCGGTAGCATCCGCCGGCCCCGGTCCCCAGGGCCAGGTAAGCAGCCCTTCTTCCAGAGGCGGGAGGCCGCTGTCCACCGCGTGAATGCAGGGAGAAGTCCGCCTCCTGCGGGCCCCGAGCGAATCTCAACCAGCTTTCCACAACCGGTTCCCCTTTATCCCACGATGCGGCCGACACCTGCTGTAGCAGCTGAACTAGCCTAGGCGGGAAGGGCTAGGTTCCCCGGGGATCGCTCTGCCCTCTCCACACCCAGAATTCGCCGCTAGGCGTTCTCATGATGAAAGGGTAGTAAAACTAGGAAAACGCACACACATAGCTGAATGTGACGTGAAAGTCCGCTGTACATTCAAAGTAGGGATGCTACGGATTTCTGACGTATCCGAGTGTTTGTTGGTAGTTTTATAGTTTGATACATCTTTTTTGAGAAACTAGAAAGATGGCAGGAGTGTCATTTCTGGCATTTAAACTGGCCAGTGTGTGTGTGTGTGTCTGTGTCTGTGTGTGTGAGAGAGAGAGAGGTCAACCTGGATGTTGTTCTTCAGCCAACAGGCCCTAGGTAATCCATGGTAATCAGTCCATTTACCTCCACCTTGAATTGAACCTCTTAACTTTTCCATTTCATGATACAAATCAGCTCTTCTAATGTAAGCTAAACATTTGCAGAATGTTTTGGTTTAGAAAAGTCATTTTTAATTCTGATTTTCAAATATTGTTTTCAGTTATTATTTTATACTACAATTAGTCACTTCCCTTTGAGGACTTTCTTTGTTTGCATCATCTAGAAGCAGAAAAGAGAGACAATTTAAAACGTGCCAAGTTGCAAAAGGACTTTGGGAGCGCATTCCCCATGAAGGGAACTCCCTTATCCGAGAGGCAGGAGGGAGGGCCTAGTCCCTACTCCAAATGACTTGACAGATTTTGATGATCCCTCCTGGAAGGCATCACCCTCCCTGGGGAGTGGGGGGGGGGGGAAATAGGGTGGGAGGAGGGGATATGGGAGGGGGGATCGATATGTAAAATAAGAAAAATAAAATAAATAAGTAAATAAATAAATAAAACATACCTGTAACAGCATGAATAATAAACATAAAAACACTTTCAAAAACAAAACAAAACAGAACCAAGTTGTTATATAAGGGCCGATCCCAGGAAACAGTGGCGAGGAAGGGAAGAAACTGGGAAGCGGGAATATTATCCAGCAAACTTCTTGGTCAGCTAAATTCTCTAGGGGATGAGGAGTGCATATCTTGGAACCATTCCCTTTCTATGGGCAAAGGAGCATCATGCTTATTCACCAGCTCCCACTGAGTACTGGTGGGGTACTGATGCCTTGGAAGTTCCAGTTTGTCTGCGCTCAAATAGAGAGCGTGTGGAACTCAGACAGAATTCTACATGTTGGCATTCAAAAGTTCAGTTATTGCCTAGGAGAGGTGTGTGTCACATGCATAAGAACAGCTCTAGTAGCATCTGCTGCCTTCCACCCTTTTAACCACTCACACCCATGCTCCTCACACTGTCCATCGTCACAGCATCCACCCTTTGAGCCATCCATACCCATGTTCCCCATTTCGCCGCCCACCATCCCATCACTGATCTTGAAGGCAGTGTCTAGTCCAAGTTTCTAAGAGGGAGGGACTTGCAGTAGGGAAATTAATGCAGTCAGCTGCAGAATTCATTGGGCCCATAACTGACCACACATTACCTCCCTCTTTACATTCATTCTAGGTTTCCCTACTCTTGACCAGGACTAATGCTAGTCTAAGCTCTTTGTTCTGTAGGTAACCAGCTGTCGTTTCTGCGTCTCGGCATGAAGACATATCTCAGAGACTCACCAGAGCTCAACACTACCTTCCCAACCCCAACTATTTAATCCCAAATCTACCTCCACCTGCCAGTAGTGACGCCTCACAGGCTTGTGGAGCCAAAAATGACCCCAGCAGTTTTAGTTCTGTGAAACCTTGACTGAGGTCTCTGCTACAGCCATTATCTCTCCCATCAGTCAACACCAGTCCACCACCACCAGAGTCTTAAATTGTGAAGGATTGCTCAAATCAGTCACAGAGTGATGGGGGTAAGGACCATCCCTTACATGGCTCATAGAGGAAGTGCACTGACCACCCTCTCCCACACAATACTAAACAGTGCCATCGCTGGGCCTTTGAGATGCCTGTCTAACACAGCAGCAACTTCTGGGTGAGCTGGGGTGTGGTAGAGACAGTGACCCCACATCTAACTACCTCTTAAAATATCTGCGTTACTGTAAAGATCCGAGGCAATAGCATATGAGATCCATGGATGGAGAAGGTAAGCTCACCTAGAACCTGTATAATCATTCTGCCAGGACTGAAGTTCTGGCTCCCCAAGGGATGTGTCATATGGAAGTCCTTGCCTCGTCTCAGCTGTGGAGATGTAGAGTGACTGCTGTATGGAACGTGTTAGGGGGCCTTGCTAAGTCATGGCATAGCCTCTGTCACTTCATCCGGCCACCTGCAGCACTCAGAGTATCATGGGAAGATGGGCTGACATCAACTGGATGATCACCTTGCTTATCTGTTTGCTCAGTGACTCTTCACAAATGTGTGGTTTGTGAATGGAAAAAGCCACACATTGCATCCTTGCTGATACTAGATTTCCGTGCTGTATTTAAAAAGAAAAAAATGCCACGAAGTTAACATCTCAAAGCATTTATTATCTCACAGTTTCCATGGCCAGGGGCCTGGCATAGATCGGCTGGGCCCTCTGCAATCAGGTGTTGACTGAAATGTGTTTTCAACCGGACACATGACTAGGAAAGCATCCTGTCCATTGCTGGGAGCGTTCGCCTCTGGCATCAGGGCAGAGGTTCCTGTTCTCTTTAGCTGTTGGCTCTGTGTTGCTCTCCACTTGTGGAAACCAGACCCCATCCTTTGCCGTATGGTCCCCTCACAAAATAGCTGCTTTCTTCTGAGCCAACAGGAAGTGTCTCTCCAACTGCTAAGATGACGTCAAGTATAATAGAAGGTAGCCATGAGAAGCAAATCGCACACCCCACTTACACTCAAGGGAAGTGGGTCATGCAGGAATGCAGATGGGAAGAGCTCACTTTAAATGCACCTGCCAGACGGTTTATAAGCCCAGGCCTCTGTACGTCCTTTCTCATCAGACCTTGATGAAGCCAATCCGAATCGCCCAGCAGAAGCTCCGCTTAGCGCTCTGCCTGCAGGAAGATGTCTCCCAGTCACTGTTTCTCGGGCTCCCTGGAACTAAATCTAGGAGGAGTGTCTCATTTGCAGTGTGCACCAGTACATCATGACTCTCCGGTGACGTCTTTCTCTTTCCGTCACCTCTTTCCCAGGGAAGTCTACCTGAGTTTTGAACTGAAAGGAAACCTAAGAAACAGATAACGGGGCCCAGAGCGGGGAGCCTGGAGTACATATCTATGAACCTTATTTTTGCCCTTCCAGACCTGCTTACGCTCCTTCATGACTGCTGCGGCTCTAGCTCAGCTTTGGGGCTCTCTGCCCAGCCATCGTTGAGAGAAAGCCCTGTCAGTTGCGTTCCCAGGAGCAGAACTGTGTCACCTCTACCCACAGCCCCGGGCCACAGAGGGCAGCCTCAACCATGGAAATGCTTGCGTGCCTCTGTGTGTGTTTGTTTCTTGTGGCCTTGGTGAAAAGAATGTCCTCAGGCTGCTCCTGGGAGCACAGCACACTGAAGAACTCTCTGGCCTCCTACGGACCCTAACTTAGCAGTTCTGGGAACCTTTAGTACCTTTCTCTAATGGTTTACCAAAGCATGCCCAGCATCCCATCCCAGTTACTGTGGGTTTCTGTTTCTTCCAAGCTTTTAGGACCTTACCAACAGAGAACTCAAACTGTGGGTGTTGTTGCCTGTCTGTTAAGCCGTGAGCCCCGGGAAAGGACAAAAATATCTGCAAACTCTTACCTGATCTAAATTCCCTGACCCTGAGGCCTGAGGTTGATCTCTCTCTCTCTCTCTCTCTCTCTCTCTCTCTCTCTCTCTGTGTGTGTGTGTGTGTGTGTGTGTGTGTGTGTGTGTGTGTGTGTGTGTGTCTCCCTCTCTCTCTCTCTCTGTCCCTCTCTCAGCAGTGTTTGCCCACCCACACAATCTGCCTCCATTTTGCACAGAGCAGTAACTGAGATTAAAAACACCCTTTTCCCTGGGAAAATACCCAAGGAAGAGGGTTAATTATTGAATTAACTGCGGGACTCGCCTATCATCTGGAGAAATACCTATCAAAGAGCTTCATTTTAAAATCCCACCTGTCAAAATTTGCCTTTTCAAACTGATCTGTTAAAATTTATTTCCAAGATTTTATTTTCCTTTTGTTAATTGCATCTTGAAATTTTCTTTTATTTTTTCTTTTTAAATTTTACTTTAATAGGGCAAATTAACATTAGCATTAATTTAACATTGTATGATTTCCATTTTAATTGTATGGTTACATTGATGTGATAAAGTATTTTTTTTTTTGTTTTCAGTAATTGGGACTTTAAATACATTCATAATTATTTCATTTTAGCCAAGAAAAAAGTTTATGTTTTTTTTTTACTATTTACATAGTAGATTTATTGAGTGGGTAAATATTTTATTGGTTCAAATATGTAAGCAATTTGCAAGTTCTTGAAAAGAAGATATGCTCCTTGGACAAAAACAAACAAATCCAAAAACTCACTGATCCAATTTACTTGTGATTCATTTCAACAAAAGCAGCATAAATTAAATTCTGCTATTACAGACATAAAGTTTAAAGTGATAGGTTGTACCCAGAACTTAACAGCTCAAACTAGCAAAAGCTTTCTATTAAAGATCAGCCTTGTAGAAATTTAATAATTTAATAAGCATTACAAGTGTGTGTGTGTGTGTGTTCAATTTGATCTCTTGGACAAGTTGACCTTCCTTTTAAATAGCCTTTGTTATATGCTGGTCCTTTCTCAGATGTTTAAAGATACAGAATGGCTCCTGGGCTAAGAAATGAATGGAGCTCTTCCCTACCTCCCTGCTCCTACAGCTGTAAGCCCTTCAGCTTTGCCTCTCTCTCTCTCTCTCTCTCTCCAGTTGTTGCGTTTTCTATTATGGCTTCTGCAGAGAAGACAGAAGAATATCCTTTTGCAGATATCTTTAATGAGGACGAAACAGAAAGAAACTATTTGTTGTCCAAACCTACTTGCTTTATTGTATTTGGAAAACCAGTAAGTTATCTCTTCTGACTTTTAGTATTTTTTTTATTTTAAAATCACAATCTTATATTACCATACAAACGTGGAAACCATATAGTGTGTGTGTGTGTGAGAGAGAGAGAGAGAGAGAGAGACACACAGAGAGAGATTTTCATAATATCACTTCAACTCCGATGCTGTGTTGATTTTGAGTTTATAAGTGTCTGTGTTCTTGTGCTGACCTCTAGAACAGAAACCTAGGCTACACTGATGTTGGTTTTAATCGTATAAGGATATAACTTACCTACACGCTCTACCATGGTGACTGTTGCTGCTTTGTGACCTAGGGGTACTTCAGATGTGATTTGAATATAAGATCTCCTTAGAAGCTTGTTGCGAGGCTCTCTGGATATATAAGATGAGCTGGGAGGTCTATTAGCAGAAGGTGCTGAGGGCAAATGGGCCTGAAGTGTACTAGAGAACCAGCTAATTGTCTCCCTGCAAAACAGGGAAACACAGAAGGAGCTATTGTAAAGTTGTTCACTTCTAGGCAGCTGTAGGAAGGACTTCCACTGAGCTAGATGATAGCTAGAGGGCTGGGCTAGTCAGTTAGAGGGTCTTCCAAAACAGCAGAAGCCAAGGGGGATCCTGCCATTGGTTTAATTTTTGGTAAGAATCATAGGACAGGTAACCAAGAAACATTTCCAGCAATTTTCATTATGTTTCAAAAAACGTGGTTCTAAATGTGAACACCAGTAACATTCAGGTTCAAACGTCACTTCATCAGAGTGACCTTGTAACCCTGGAGTAGGATGCTGTCCAAGGATGTCAGTTACGAGGCTCAACCGTGCTGTAGGAGCTGGGGCTGCAGTCACAGCAGTGTAGGAGGCTGAGGCAGAAGGACCACAACCCTACGGCTGCTCTGGCTGCAGAGTGAGTTCACAGCCAGCCTGGGCAGCTTACCGAGGCTTCACATCAAAATAAGAAATAAATGCAGGGTCGATGATGTTGTTCAGTGGCAAGGTTCTCATCCATGAAGCCACAATACATTAAACCCCAGAGCAAAAAAAAAAAAAAAAAAAAAGAGGAAGTAAAATTATTAGGTGGAAGTCACCAAAATTTAATATATTTTATGATGGTTTATAATTAGAATTACAAATTTTCACAACATCCCAATGGTATAGCTTCTGCTTCACTGTGAAATGAATGTTCTGTTGGGTTTTAATAACATTCCTCTTTTAAAGGGTACTGGGAAGACAACATTAGCCCGTAATATAGCGCAGGCCTGGAAATGTATTCGTGTTGAAGGTAAACTTAATGTTTTCCAATACTTTAGTGTGAATAGCTTCATAGATTCACAATATAGAACTGCATAGTGAACAGCAAGTTAAGATTCCATAATTACTGTTTAGTGGTCCCCTTCATCACACGCCTACCCACCAGCTTTCTAATAGCATCAGTCCAGTCATGTTTACTAGATATCTTTGGCTTTTCTTTCCTCTAAACTGTTATTTCCATCAGAACTGTTTATATGTGTGCACGAGCATCTTCTTAGAGATAGAAAGAGAAATAACTAAGGTTTTCTTCAGAGCATTTTCCAGAACTTAACCTTATTGGAAAAAAAAGTGTAGTTTTTAACTAATAAATTTCCTTAATTCTTTGAAGCACGTAAGACAACAAGCATGTAAGACGCGCGCGCACACACACACACACACACACACACACACATACACACACACACACACACACACACACACACACACACACTTCAAATCAGTAAAACTGTTTACTTCCTAATAGAAAAGTAAGGATGAATAAGGAGTTCAGGAAGAGAGGGGCTGGGGAGATGGCCCGGTCAGTGAAGTGCTTGCCACACAAGCGTGGGGACTTGAGTTCGACCCCCAGCACTCATGTCAACTAAAGCCAGGCGTGTGGCAAATGTTTGCAATCCTGCGTTGGTCAAACAGAGATAGGAGGGTCCCTGGAGCTCACTGGCCAGCCAGCCTAGCCTAACTGGCTGTTGAGCCCCAAGCCCCAGTGAGGCCTGAGGCGTGAGGCCTGAGGCTGGCCCTTAGCTTCCACCCACTTGTGCTCACATGTGCACGTGTGTACACACAGACACATGTCCATGCGCACACATGTGTGCACACTGCACACAGCACTCAGAAACTTCTAAGGAATGCAAGAAAACTTTACTTTTACATTATTAAAAACAATTAACACTGATTCATATTTGTCTAACAAGTTGGTGGCGAATCTTTGAAATCCTCGAACTAACTGCAATCACTGTTGGCAAGAATGTCATAAAATGGGCACTCTGTATACTGTTAGTAAACTGAGAGGCCACAATTGTTGTATGTGTGGTAACACAGAATACATTTACAAAGGACTCAGAAATTTTCCTCTTTAAAAAAAAAAAAAGATTTTCGTTTGTTTTATGTGTGTTTTTGCATTCATATGTGCATGTGTACCACGTGTGTTCCTGGTGCCCACAGAGGCCAGAAGAGGTCTTGGATCCTCTGGAACTGGAGTTATAAAAGCTATGTGGGTTCCCTGCAAAAACAGCCAGCTGTCTTAGTCACTGAGCCACCACCTCTCCAGCCCGTCTTTTGGTTTGAGCCTAGCCTTTAATGGCTGAGCCACCTCTCCAGCCCACAGCCCATTTTTTAAAAAAAATAAATATGATTATGTTTCAGATCCTTAAAGAATATGAAGGCATCTAAACTGCTGGTGCCATAATTCAACTCAAGTCCCGCACCCCCAGGTCAGGCTTCCACCATCAGGACGCATTCCATCCGAGAATGGCACATTTCCTGGAATTCTCAGGGTTCTGTTTGAACTAGTGTTCATCCATTTTCACATTTCCTGACACATCCTTACCCTCTAGACTATCAACATAGACAGTTAATGAGACCAGGGCATTAAAGGGTCTAGACGGATGATAGTGCTGCTTGCTTCTGCATGAGGTGGAACAATTTACACGTCACTGTTGCACACCACCTCGTTCCCTGATTCGATCCTCCTACTGTCTACTGCAGTCCCCCAAGGCACCGTGGTCCTCAGAGACTCATCCACTAAGATTTTAAGCCAGTGGAGTGGCCAAGACGAGCTCTCAGCCCAACAGTCTTGGCCTCTACCTTGGCCAATCTTAAATGATCCAGCATGCATAAATAAATATGCTTTGCAAATTCTCAGGCGACGTAGCCACATTAATGTTTGCCTCCAGTTACCAAGCGTTCAGAAAGTGTTTCCTGTGTTTGCTTGCACTCACGTGATGAACTCCTCTTCCAGCTTTATCGGTTTTGGAAGAACACATTGCCACTGAGACGGAAACGGGAGCTATGGTGAGTAAATCTGCATTCCCCACTTACTGCAATGCCTCCCCGACGGAGAGTGCAGTGACACACAGCGTCTGCTTATCCTAGCTGCAGTCCCTGCTGGTGAGAGGCCACAGCATCCCAGACGAGCTCGTCACAAAGCTGATCCTGGAGAAGCTCAAGTCTCCAGAAGTCTCTCACTTCGGTATGTCTGTGCGCGTGCGCGTGCGCGCTGGCCTCTTCCTTCAGCTTCGATTCACGGATCTCACAGCCCCTACTGAGCTGAGAAGCTCAGATTCAACTGCTCCTTCGTTTTTAATCCTCTAGTGTCCACACTTGCTTTTTTGGTCTTTTTGTTGTTGGTTTTCGAAACAGGGTTTCCCTGTGACTTTGGAGCCTGTCCTGGAACTCGCTCTATAGGCCAGGCTGGCCTCAAACTCACAGAGATCACCTGCCTCTGCCTCCCGAGTGCTTGGATTAAAGGATTAAAGTGCGCCACCACTGCCCAACTCTGCTATCTGATGATGAGTCAAAGCATCAAGAAGGGTCCTTGCCTTCTTGCAAGGCCCCTGTCTTCTCCTATCTGCTCTCCTGTTCAGCCTGCTGTTGTAGTGTTATCAGCAGTCAGTCTCTGTGGGACATCCTGAACTGCTTCCCTCTGAGACTATTGCCAGGGCTATTCCTGCTCGCCCAGCATGCTCCTGTTACTCACACCAAAAGCCTCTCCTGCACAAAAGGATTCTGAGCAAGATCTTTGCTTTCTCTAATTCTCCAGACAGGCCACTGAAGCCAAAGAAACTAAAAAGAAAAGAGCAAAACTCTGAGACATTTGTAAAAGAAGGGAAGATGCATGAGCCCCTGGGAGAAAGACATCCCCTGAAACAGATTTGTTGAATGAAAGAAGGAAAATTCCGGAAGAGAGTTAAGGGAGAACTTTGTAACTGTAAGAGTTAGGGCTGGACGTGTAGTTTGGTGGTAGAATACATGCCTGTCATATTCAAAGCCCTGAATTCAGTTCTCAGGACTGAAATCTAAATAAATCTAAATATGAATATAAGGATTAAAATTAAAATATGTTGCAATAAAAACTGTATCAAAGCAAGTCAGGAATGCAGCAACAGACAGTATCATTTGTCCTTTAAGAAGTTTTCTCACTTTATTTGCTTTTCATAAAATGTTTACTGTGCTCTCGAGGCTGAAGCATGGTTTATGATTGTTCCTCAAAGGAGAAAAACATTAAAATAGCAGAAAATATACTGAAGTCTTTTCATTTCTAGCTGAGGAATTAAGACATATTTTATTAATGATAGATAAGTTTCTCAGGCAAGCAAGTGACATAATTTAAAAGTAAATGGGGGAAATCAATATGATGCCTGTACCCAAGACTGATTTCAACAAGATTTCAGCTTCTGTGTGGAAATGCAAGCCAACGATGTTCTAAAGCCCAAATCATACTGTGTTCTCTTCCGTAAGCTTTGCAGCAGGCAGAGGGGCGTTATCACTCTCTCTATCCATGCACATGGCATATGTATGTGTTCTACTATGTGATTACGTACTAATTTAAAGATGAAAATAATAGGCCACTTAAAAGGTCCTGTGACATAAAGAAGTTTCTTTCTGTGAGTGTCTCATCTAAAACAAGGTGACTCGGATTTTTTACTTATTGTTATGGTTAAGGCGAGCACATACACATTATGGCAAGCATGTGAAGGTTGGGGCAACCTGAGGAAGTTGGTTCTCTTCTCCCAGCCTATGAATGTGGGGTTGAACCCGGGTTGTTGGGCTTTGTGACAAATACCCACCCCACCCATCTTACCTGCCCCCAACTTAGTTTTTTAAAGATGTTTCCTCCCAGTCAGTGATGTTTTTTAATCATAAAAACATTATTCATAGCTACACTTCATGTGGTAATAACTATTAACTTAAATTCATGACAGATAGTTTTACAAATTTCACTTACTTGCAAACAACTATGTGATTGATATCTTCTAACTTATAATAAAGGCATGCTCTCTCACAGTGGCATATAAATTGTTGACCTATATTTTACAGGTTACATCATCACGGAATTACCAGCACTCTCACAGGACACCACGACCACTTTGAAGCAAACAGAATTAGTTAAACATTTAGAATTGCAACCTGATGTCATAATCAATATTAAGGTAAGGATATTAGTTGCTTCCTGCAACAGTGTATCTTTCCCTTCCAGAGAACTTAAATTCAAGGGGTGCTTTCACCCTTAAAAAAGACCTACTTTATTTTTCAAAGTGTGTCAAACGCCGGGGCTCGTACATGTGAGTGCAGAAGCTCAAGAAACAGAAACCAGAAGAGGGCATCGGCAACCCCAGGGCTGGAGCGGCAGGCCATTGTGAGCCACCTGGTGTGGGTGCCGGGACTTGAACCTGGGTCCTCTGCAAGAGCAGTACATGCTCTTAAGCACCAAGCTCCAGCCCGTGTTTCCATGCTTTCTGGGTAGTCATGGAAACAGTCACTTCCTCACCCCATCACCAGACTTGATCATCGCTAACTTACTAGAACTCTGTGGCATCAGAATTTAAAGGCTAGATAACATGATCTCTAGGGCCCCGTTTCTGAATCTTGTAAATATTTTATCCATGGAGTGACAATAAGTATGGTACATATATATCCATATTTTGGCAGGAGATAGGTGGATTTCCTCCTCATTTTCCTTCATTCTTAACCTCTTTAAGCTAAAATCATGAAATTCTGTGAAACTTTGCTGATTAAACTGATTTTCTGTTCTATGTTTTTATTCCTTTCACTACTCTGCTAGCTCTCTCTCTCTCTCTTTTCTTTAAAATGTCTGATAATATCATATGTATTAATTTCACACAAATAAGACTGTTGACTTGGCACACAAATCATGTACTAAAATTTGCCATGTACTAGAACATAATTCAAAATACCATCACAGAATTGCTTTTGCTCAAATTTAAGGAAAAAATTTTAAATTTATCTGGTGAATAATATGAAACAGGAAATAAAAGCATATTCAAAAAACTAAATTCAAGAAAAGCTAGTATTTTCAAAGAGGAGTAAAGCCCAAAGTGTTAGAGAAATCATGCCTAGAAAAGAGAGACGGTTCAGTGGTTAAGAGCACCAGCCGCTCTTCCAGAGGACCCAGGTTCACTTCCCAGCGTCCATATGGTGGCTCAGAAGTCTCTGTTACTCCAGTTACAGGGTATCTGGGTATCTGATGTCCTCTTCTGGCCCGCAGGGCTACAAGGCACATTCGAGGCACACAGACATACCCGAGGGCAGAACACCCACACAATAAAAAAATAAGAACATTGTTAAAAAGAAACAAAAATAGAAAGAAAAAAAAAGAAAAGTTACACTTTTCTGAGCAGTTCAGAAAAATGTGCAGACTTAGAAAGCTTCGTGCTTCTTTGTGTAAGAGACGACACTATAGGGTGAGGATTCTGGAAAGGAAAACAACAGTATCTCGTTGAAGGGATGACTAATGCTTCCTTCCACCTCTCTAGCACGGCTCAGTGGGAGCCTGCCTCCCTAGGAGATGACGTTTTAAATGGTTTCATAATGTTCTTTCCTAGTGCGGTGACTATGACCTATGCCAAAGGGTCTCTGGGCAGAGACAGCACAGTTCCACAGGGTACATATATAGTAGAGAACAGTGGGACCCCGAGATCATCGAGAGCCGCCGGAGACGGAAGAAGGACACGCCCAAAGACGGAAAAGCTGAGGAGGAGGAAGAGGAAGAAGAACAGGAAGAAGAGGAGGTAACGTTCCAGTGCGGTCATTGCCACGTGACGGGTCCAGTGCGGTCATTGCCACGTGACGGGTCCAGTGCGGTCATTGCCACGTGACCAATCCAGTGCGGTCATTGCCACGTGACCGGTCCAATGCAGTTGAGAAACCCTCAAAGCGAGGACCTTCACACTTCAACTCAGGAAAGGCATATCCCAAATCACTTACGAGAAGCGGTCTTGATGCAAATAGCATGAGGAACTTTTATTCCAAGCGTGCTGGGGTCCACAGTCACACGCCACACAGGGTAGAGGACAGAATGGAGACAGCTTTTACAGGGTTTACAACAAAGCCTGTGCATCACAAACCAATCATCTCATAGCATCAAGAGCTCGAGCGGTGTGGGCCAATCAGTTTAAACCACCCAAGCCTGTGCTTTATAGACCAATCAGTTTTCTATAGCCCCAGAGGTCTGCATTTGCGCGGGCTCCTGGGTGGGGTGACAAATGGCAGTTAGGTTAGGTCACTGGGGTGGGGGTTTCACAAGCAGTTTACTAAGTCAGATAAGCGGTTAGTCAGCTCATTTCCTGTTACCTATGAAGGATGATTATAGCTCAAGGCCTGGACCAGCGCTTGACAGAGAGTACATAACACAAAGCTGGATAGGACAGAATGGTTTAATTCAGCAAGCATGCTCACAGCACGCTCTGCTGCAGAGATGGACACATCTTTTACAGAAGACGATATGAACTGAATGCCTCAAAATGCACAGCCTTCAGCTCAGTTATCCCAATTTTAGGAACTATTCTGTGAAGATTTTAGCAATGTAAACATATATTGTTCAGTATAATTCAAAATTGCTCATTGAAATATTTATTTAAAAAAATCAGAAGCATCCTTATTTATCCAGCTGTAGAGTAATAAATAAGTCACCATGTATACATGGAAACAAATATGTTACTTTAAAATCCTATAAATGGTTTAGGTAGAGTATGAGTTACTTATGAGCGTGCACTGATAAAAACCCAGGGAGAGTAATTATGATACTAAATGTGGTGTAGGTGGTGGTACCTGCCTTTCATCCCAGCACTCAGGAGATGAAGCCTGGAGGACTTCAAGGGATGCCCGTCTGGGATACAGTGGGTTCAAGGCCAGCCTGGGTTCCGTAGCAGGACTCAGTCTCAATGCTAAAATGACAGCCTAAATAAATGGCATTGAGAGTTGTTCCTGTAGAGGAGCTGAGCTCTGTTCTCAGCACACACTCTGAGAAGTTCACAGTTGCCCCGAGCTCCAAGAAGATCCAACAGCTCCAGCTTCCCTAGGCATTCTTGGCATTCTGTGTGTGTGTGTGTGTATGTGTGTGTGTGTGTGTGTGTGTGTGTGTGTGTGTGTCGTTCTGCCTTGACTCTGCTACATGCTTCTTCTTGGTACTTAGCAACATGCTAGTCAATCACGTGACTGGCTGGATGATAGAATTCAGACAACATGCCAGCAATGCCCTCTCCACATTGCGTTTATTGTGTTTTTCTCATCAGTTAGAATTGCCGGCCAATGTCCATTCACTTCTGAGTGGCTCAGGACACGCTGCCTTTCCCAAAAGTTGCTACTGTCCTTCTCAGAAGCAAATCACTTTCCCCTCTCAGACTAGCAGTGTGTTACATATGTGTCACCTTCCTGTGCGGTCTCTCCCAGCCGCCGCGTGAGTCCCCGGTGCCGTGTGTCGGTGGGAATATGAAGTGCCTACAGTGACTCGTGATGTAGTGGGCACTCCACAGCTGCCCACCGGATGAGCGAAGGCACGAGCCACAAGCTCAGGTGTTCAGGGACTTCAATTTCCCTCTTTGCCTCAAAAGAAAAGGCGTCCCCCCGCGTTCTGCTTAGTGAGAACAGGGACAAAACACCAACCAGCAAGTACCAAGTTGAGTTAAAGTTCAATTTCCGAAGAAGGCTCCCAGGAGTGCTCCATCTCTAACACATGAAGTCCTCGGTCTCCAAGTCCTCGGAACACAAAGTGGTGCTCCGGGATGCCCCTCATAAATTGGATAATAATTTCCCTAAGAGTTAAAACCCTGTCCCTCCCGTCTGTGTCCCCCGTAGGCATTTATGGCTGAAATGCAGATGGTGGCTGAAATTCTTCAGTACCTGGTCCAGCGGCCTGAGGATTATTTGGAGAACATTGAAAGCACTGTGAAGCTTTATAAGGACATACTTCTTCATGCTCTAGAGGTGAGAACGAGACGTTGTGTGAGTAGGGACGTTGACATTCGTCCTTCATGTACGGTTAATGGTTTCAAGTGAATGATTAACAAAAGCCCTCACAAAAGGCTTTCATCTCCTTTTGCCTCTTCCTTTTTTAAAGGTGTACTTATTTAGGGGGGTTGTGCGTATGCATGCTAATACGCGCACACACGAGAGCACGTGTATGTGTGTGTGCCGTGTGTGTGTGTGTGTGTGTGTGTGTGCGCGCGTGTGGTGTGCTGTGTATGTGGCATGTGTGTGTGTGCTTGTGTGTGTGTGGTGTGCTGTGCATGTGTGGTATGTGTGTGTGTACACCACATGTATTCAGGAACCTGTGAGGGCTGGAAGACAGTAAAGGAACCTAGGCTGTAGTTACAGGCAGTTGTGAGCCACCTGTGGGTGCTGGGAACTGAACTTGTGTCCTCTGCAAGAGCAAAGTACTCTTAGCCATCTCGCCAGCCCCCAAGTCTCTTCCTCACAATCATGTTATTTTGCTCCTACAGAGCATCCCTGTGCTGCTCGGGATAGATTAAGTGTTTTTCAAAAGTCACTAGGCTGCTTACAGAGACGGGAATGTGAATGTGGACCTCACCAGCAAGATGAACAGTTAGAACAGATCCTGTTTTTCAACTCAGTTTGTCAGACTTAAACCCAAAACAGCAGTGATGGCAGGAAAGACTGGGCATTCTCTTCGCAGTGCTTATGAGACTTTTGAAGTACAAGCCTTCCAGAAACAGTAAACAATACCTACTGACATTAAAACCTACTTCCTCAGAGTCTGAGGATATGTTGAAAAATGTGTTTGGTGTGGTATTTATATGGGGGGGGGGGGGAGGACAGAGAGGATGAAGAGTATGTCTGTCCTTCAGTGGCCACTGTCAGTCCAGTTACTTTGGTAATTATTGAAGAAATTATATTTTAAATTTAAAAATAAGTAGAAATGCTTTCAAACAATTAACATGATATTATAATCGACTTAAGTGTGGATAGCAAAGGAGTATTAAGTAAGCTCTGTAGCCACACTATGAGACCCTAACAGCCACAATAATGTGATGTCGACACAATCTTGTAAAGATTTAGGGGAATATTAGTGGGTGGAAAACAGTGATAGTTATAGATTCCTTTCAGTGCCTGGATTAAAGAGGTTTTTCTTTGTATTCTTCTGTTCTGTAAATTTCCTATAAAAAGTGTGCTCTACAGTAACAAAAGGTGTAGCATGCTATTATCTATATGAAGAAGGCGCTGGATTTAAAAATCAAATTGCTCTGTGTTTTCAAAAAAATAGCAAAGCTACCGTTATGTGCAGCAAACCCTCAAAACCTTTTGTGTTAAGAAGGACTTTTAAATTTGGAGAAGAGGAAAATGAGGGGGAGGAGGCCAGCAGCAGGAGCTGGGGTGTAGTCCAGTGATGAAGCAGTTGTCTGGTCTGTGGGAATCCCAGCACCTCAGACAGGTATTCATGGTATGAAAGCAAGCTCTGCTTTTGCACGAGGATCTGTCCAGTGCTGAAAACGATAGGCATCACAGCCTGCATGAGGTGAGTGGGTTAGCTCTTAGGCATTCCTGTTAGCTCTTAAGATTTTCACCCCGGTTTTCTACTTTCCCTGTGATCTTGAGTTATCAGATTTCTATTTGATTTCCTCCAGGAGGTAATGGCTGAGCATAATCCCCAGTATCTCATCGAGCTGGATGGGAATAAGTCCCCGGAGGAGCTCTTCTTGGTGAGCACGGGGTGCTGCATGCACATCTAGCAGCCAAAATGTTTCATTGTTACACTTGTTTGGCTAGAAGAATTCTACTTCTAATTTAGTGCATTAATTTTTTGCTTTGACACCTTAAAATTCCATGTTGCATTTAATCACCTGTTCATGTTTAAAGCAAAACCACGTTTGAATTTAAATTTCTCTGTAACCACCGTGTCTCCAAGGAGACTAAAAGCAAATGGCAGACAGTACGCGCAGCAGGGGAGGCTGAATATTGGTATCCATTAAGGGTGTGCAACTTAAAAACAGAATGCCACTTTACACCCACTCTGATGGTCAGGGCTTTTGTTACCAGTGAGATTCTAGGCCTAACACCTCGCACCACAAATCAATGACTAACACAAAACACCATGACTGTTTTTTAAATTTCCTAGGTATCTGGCATAATAATAGGAATGCACATGGGAAGGGAGTTGCCGATTCCAGGAGGGCCTCCCATTATATAGCATCCAGTATATCGAGGGAAATAATACAAGCGGTGGTTTGTGTTACAGTTAGAGAAGTAATAAGGTTTTATAGCAATTGTGACAGGGGACAAACCCTAATGGTCATCTGTGTGAATTTCACTTAGAGGAGGAGTAAGAATTAGACTTGAAGGCTAGATGGGGGGTGGGTGGGGCACGGTGTCTGCTCGTGGACACGGGGTGGGTGGGGCTCATGGACACGGGGTGGGTGGGGCTCATGGACACGGGGTGGGTGGGGCTCATGGACACGGGGTGGGTGGGGCTCATGGACATGGGGTGGGTGGGGCACGGTGTCTGCTCGTGGACACGGGGTGGGTGGGGCACGGTGTCTGCTTGTGGACACAGGGTGGGTGGGGCTCATGGACACGGGGTGGGTGGGGCACGGTGTCTGCTCAGAAAGAGTCTGACAAAGTGTCAGGAGAGAGCAAACATAGGAACTGCACTTAGGGCTGACACAAAGGGGTGTGACAGGAAGGGTGGCACAGTCCTGGGCACGATAGGCTGGGAGGAGACTTCAAGAGTGCGGGCCTCACCGTGAGGGAACAGGCTGGAAGCCAGCAAGCTAAGGAATCTGCTCAGACACAAAGTGGTGGTAGGATGGCTGCTGTGGTCTCAACCCAGCACAAGGTGGTGGCCTAACCTATGCTGCAGCGGTGGGAGTGGACAAATAGGGCAGAGGAAGAAGAGTTGGAGACAACGGCCGTCTCACCGGCCATGGAGGGCGCCAGGGGGGCCACATCAGAGAGAGCCTCGCGTGGGCCATGTGCCTACAAGATTCCGCAGCTCTCTCCTCCTGCCTGAGCCAGTGCGCATGTTCAGTCTTCAGCTGAGTGATCTCCCAGTGGCGTCTGCCGCGGCTGTCCATCCTCTGTCCCTACTGTGTGTCTCCTTGGCCCCTAGGAGCCCCACAACAAAGCTCCGCTGACTCAGCCTGGACTCCAAGGATGTAAGTCTAAGGTTGGAGAACAGTAGTTTTCCCTCCCTGGGAACTCCTCTATGCCCCGTAGGAGACTTCACTGGGTCTAACAATGTTAAATACCTTCTCAGAAGGGCATGGCTTAAAATTTTTCTGCCCTGGGCCTTTCACCCAAAGCATACACCGGTACCCCTAGCTCCCTCAGTCAACATTCAACAGCTGCATGTCTAACTAAACGCCAAGTGTCACCTCCTATTGAAAGGAGCAGGGCACCAGTCTACAACACTGTCGCCCACCCCAAATGTGCTTTTCTCTTTCAATAAGTGTCAACACCATCCCCGCCATCCCCAGAGCTCTGCCCGTGCCTGTGGTTCTCATATCTGCAGCCCATCCATCGGCACAGAGACTCCTTCAATAAGAGCTGAGGTTTCCTGCCTTTTGCTACCTGCACACACTTCTTGAAGACAGAAACCGCAAGAAGCCTGGCCGAGAGTTGCCAAGTGTCCAGGCCCCGGTTTGGAACAGCTACTACATTTCATTTCCCAAAGCAAGTTTCATGGAGAAGCGGGGCATGAAGGGGCTAAGGAAGTCTACGCCAGCTAAAATAGACTGAGGTGTTAACAAGCAAAGCCAGGCAAGGAAATGTGAGGGACACTCCAGGCCACCCGGACTCCACTGCACACCAGCAGGCTCTTGGCTGGATCACCATCTCTCATCACACATTTTTATTAGCTTGGTTATTTTTACTCAGATTCTCCCACACCGCGCCTCTATTCACTCCCCAGAGTTGTCATGGAGAGGTCCACAAACGAGGCGCCTGAAAAGGACCTAACTTATGCTCTCACAGCTCTGACAGGTGGCAGCTCAGAGTCAAGGAGCTGGCAGGGTTGAACTCCCTCCAGACCGTCTGCAGGAGCCTCTGTTCTCACGCCTTCCGGCATAGACTTCTGTATCTACCTCTTCCTCACTGAGCTATCTTCCATCTACCTGAGGAGGGCCAGAACCAGAGGCCAGAGTATCATCGGTTGAAATGTGTCCTCTAAAAAGATTTCAAAGTGCCGGGCGTTGGAGGCACACGCCTTTGATCCCAGCACTAGGGAGGCAGAGGAGGCAGATCTCTGTGAGTTCGAGGAATCTACAGAATGAGTTCCAGGACAGACTCCAAAGCCACAGAGAAACCCTGCCCCCCCCCCCCACACACACACAAAAAAAAAACAACAAGAAAAAAAATATTTCCAAGTTCTAACTGTAGTCTGTGACTGTGGCCTTATCTGAACATGAGGTCTTTGAGTATTCATTTCAGTTAAGATAAGGTCATATTTAATTGGATTGTCTCAGTGCAATGAAGACAGCCTCAGGCAGAAGGCAGCAGTATAATGAGAGAGGGCGGGAGTGGGGTCATGCATCCTTCAGCCGAGGGACACCAGAGAGCTGGGACTGGGGCCCAGCTGGTCCGGACGGTGCCGACCATGGCCGAAGCCCCAGCTTCTGTCTCCTGCAGTGCACAAATGGGCATGACGGCAGATGCTGAACCCTGTGGTGACGTCTTTCTTGTATAAATAAAGCCTGTCTGGAGGTCAGAGAGTGGAGCTTGCCGCTGGCTAACCATAGAGGTCTGGAGGTCTGTACAGTCAGACAGGAAGTGCGATGGCTGTGCAGAAACAGGATATAAGCCGGGAGAAACAGGGCCTCGCCCTCTTGTCTGCTGAGACGCTAAGGTCAGGCGTGGCGGTGGCTTGCTCCTCCTCTGATCTCTCGGCATTTTCCTCCATATCTGACCCTGGGTTTTTATTACTTAGACAAGTTAAGAACTCCATTCATATAAGCCTAGTGCTCGGGAGGTAGAGACAGGCAGTTCAGGACTTCAAACGCATCCTCAACTACCTATCAAGTTCAAGCACAGCCCGAGATGCATAAAACATTGCCTCAAAAGAGCAAAATATTCTAAAATATTCAAGAAACACCTAACATTGTCAGTAAGGCATAGAAGCAGGAAACCTGAGCCTGAACAGTGGGCCCATGACTTTTTCATATGGTTTGACATACCCAAGGCCGATGTATTCACATATCTGTCCTTTGAATTTAGGCAGTTATAGAGCGGCTGAAATACTTGAATCTAAGAAGAGCCGCCATTGTCACCAAGCTGCAGAGTACAGAAGAAGAGATGAATGACATAGTAGACACTGTAAGTTCAGTTTTTATTTAAAAGCCTGCCTGTTCGATGTTAGCCGTATCCTTAGCATGTGCCTCCTCGGGTCTAAGGGATAGCTCTCCATAAGGACATCTTCTTCCAGGAAGCAGGTATGACCTGAGCGCAGTACTCTTTGTGACACCAACTACAGGCAGAGATTTCCAAATGACAAGGGGGTAAATTCGAGCACGCATTCATCGCCCGCACTGAAGTTGACTGCTGTGCTGGCTCTGATGGGCTGGGACGCAGTGATGGATGGGATGCTGGTCAGATGGTAACTGCCAGGCGCTGAGGGACGAAAGGTTTTTAGTTGGAGTGTTTGGTCTATTCTCCGAGGTTTAGCTTAGCCTCTATGCATAGACACTGTTAAAACGGTGGCATTGTAAGTAGATAACAAAATTCAAATAGGCTAGTAGTTGCAGAGGTCATTTTGTTATCCCGTGCCATTATCCTGGAGCTGTCAGCAGGTAGGTGCAGGTGGAATGTGTGAACTGGCTCTGCAGGAGCAGGGAGGTGGGCACAGGGGCTGGGGGAAGCTGTGAGAAATGCATGTGCTTCCCTTTGACAGAAAAGGCCAGGAGTTGTGGATGTGTTTGTCAGGATAGACTATCTCCATGATCTAAAATAAAGTCCTGTGTCCAATTAACTCTCAGAGCTTTGTGGGGCTGGAAAAATGGCTCAGCGGATATGAGTGCATATTGCTCTTGCAGAGGACCTGGAGTTGGTTGCCAGCGCCCACATGGTGGTTCGCAACCATCTTTAACTCCAGCTCCAGGCAATCTGACCCCTTCTTCTCAGGCACCAGGAGCACATACATACATGCAGGCAAACAGTCAAACACATAAAATAAAAATAAATCTTAAAAAATATCTGAGAACTTTAACTTTATACATTCCATGAAGCTCCTTGGTTAAGCTGGTCCATCTGCCAGCTTCTGTGTGCTTTGAAAGAGTCTAGACACATGCTTTTCAACTAAGGACAAGTGGTATTCATAGACTCATTGCGGCGACACATCTAAAGCAGGGACTCCCAGCCCTGATGGTACAGGGGGGCGTGTAGAAAGCTTCCAAAACATACTAATGCCAAGACCCCTTTAGACAGAATTTCTGAGGTAGGATCTAGTACTGATAAAGCAAAACAAAGCAATGTGGGCATTAAAAGTACACATAACAACAACAAAAAACCCTAAAACTTTTGTACACCAAAGTCATTGTCAGCAGAGTAAAAAAGTAACCTGCATGATGGAGGGTGTTGTCTACAAATCACAATGCAACAAGGGTCTAGTATGAAAACACATGAAGAATCCTCCAATATATAGCAACGAAGGAACCAATTTATAAGTAGGCAAGGTAACTGAGTAGACATTTCCCTAGAGAAACATATAAACAGCCAGTGATGTGGCGAAAAGGGGCTAGACAAATAGTTCAGTAGTTAAGAGCACTGGCTGCTCTTCCAGAGGACCTGGGTTCGATTCCCAGCACCCACACGGCACCCTAGAATCTTCAGGCGCTCCAGCTCTGGGTGATTCAATGCCGTTGCCACCGGCCCCCCTCACATGTACATGCCCATATGCTCGCACACACACCCACACATCATAAAAACAATCAAAATTAAAAATATGTTCAGTCTTACTGATCATGGGGAACTGGCGATCCAAAGTGCAGAAGGATGTTACCCAAAAATCAGGACACCAAGTGTTAGCAAAGAAACTGGAACTCATTAGCATTGCTGTTCTCAGATTAGGGTTCAACAGGGACACTGAGAATTACCAGGAACTAAGGGTTTATCAGTGCCATAGACAGACAGACAGACAGACAACAGTGCAGTAGGGGCTCCTCTGTCAGAGACAGACAGCAAGGAGTGACACTGTGCTACCTAGGTGAGTGCTTACACGCACAGGCACACACACAGGCACGCACACGCACAGGCACACGCACACACACGCACAGGCACAGGCATGCACACAGGCACATGCACAGGCACAGGCATGCACACAGGCACAGGCACACACACACACGCACAGGCACACACACAGGCACACACACACAGGCACGCACACGCACAGGCACATGCACACACACAGGCACACGCACATGCACACAGGCACACGCACATGCATCAACAAATGCTTGCACAGATAGATTTTAAAGAATTGAAAACTAACGTCATTAAATCTTAGGTGAGTACAGAACACCAGAACTGACCCCAAAATCAACATGTGCATTCTAAATTGTGCCTTAAATATGGTCACAATATGTGTGATCAAATAACCGCCGAGTGTCAAATGCGCTGCCGTCAGCACAGCTGAGGCTTGCCTTCTGAGGTTGCATTTGCTTCACAGGAAGAGCTGTTCCGGACACTCTCGGCATATAAACTCCTTGCGCCACGGTACAGGTGGCACCGCAGCAGGTGGGCGCGCTCTTGTCCCATCTCCTTAAAGGATGGGAACATTTTTTCGGGATCAGCGGATTTTTCTGTGAGGTTAGTGAGCTTTCCCGAGCCTGCATTTGAAACGCGCTGTGTGATGCTTTCGGCTGTTTACGCTTGCGCTGTATCTTCAGTTTCCTAGGTAAAATGTACTGCCTGTCCTCTGAAGAAACATTAAAACAGTTTTCACTGAACCCCCGTCCCTGCCTTCTGCCACCCATGCCAATCCCACCGTGTAAAATCTTTTTATTTGGGCCCCGGAGCTCAGGGAAAACAACGCTGGGCAACCTGATTGCAGAATACTTCAAAGGAAAGGTAAGTTCTTGTCTACCCGTTGCTTTCATTGTAGTTTCAGTGGGGTTGCCATGGAGAAGGCATCTCTCCACTGTCATCGCGCTGTTAGCTGTAGCCCCTCCACCTTTCCGGCAGCCCCCGTGGCTCAGCCTCCATCTCCTGGGTCATACTCCGCCCGGCTCCCTCTCCCCGCCCTCCCCGCCCCCGCATGGCTGGTGATTTCTGTATCTGCAGACACTACCCTCTCAGCATCCTGGCGTGCTGGTTTAATTCTCCCTCCTCAGCGATCTTGTTCGGCACTCTACAATGTAAACACCTTATACTTAGATAGCAGTAACGGCAGCTAAGGCAGGCAGCTTTGGAATACAACTAAAGGCAAAGCCAGAAGATTCCATAAGGGTTGGGACATAGAGAAATTACTGAGGATTAGTGTGTGTAGAGGGCTCCCTGTGAAAGCAGGCTTAGCAAAAAGGTGGTGTGGTCAGAGAAACCGTGTGAGAGTTCTGAGAGCATTCGAGATACTGGTGAGCGAGGGGACACATTGTCTACGTGTTTTTAACTTTTTTATTATGAAATATGAAAAATGTACAGAAAAGAGGAACCAGTGAATTATCATAAAATAAACCCTCATATTACCAACCACCCAATGTAAGTACGGAATATTCTTAGTTCCCCAGAAACATTCTCCACGCTTCTTCCAAGTGCCCATCCCCACACGCCCCCACGAGGTAACTACAGGTAGTTAACTTCCATACGCCTATGGTTTTATGATGGAAGCATATATTAAGTGCCTTATGTGTGCGTGTGTGATTGTGTGTGAGTTGTGAGTGTGTGTGTGTGAGTGTGTATGTGCCTGTGTGTGCCTCTGTGTGAGTGTACGTGTGTGAGTGTGTGCATGTGAGTGTGTGTGATTGTGTGTGAGTTGTGAGTGTGTGTGAGTGTGCGTGTCTGAGTGTGCGTGTCTGAGTGTGAGTGTGTATGTGCCTGTGTGTGCCTCTGTGTGAGTGTACGTGTGTGAGTGTGTGCGTGTGTGTGTGTTTTAACTTTACGAACTTAGTTAATATCCTTTACGCCTGGTCTCTTTCACATAACACTATAATTGTAATTGCTACCCATGTTATTACATGCAGCTAGAGTTTATTAGTTTTGTTTTATGAATTTTTGGAAAGAGAATTCAGGTTGATTTCAGATTGATGCATTGTGAACAATTCCCATAAAAATTGTTGCGTGAGTCTTTTGCACCCACGTGCATATCCGTGGGAATCTGTCCACTAGGACTGTTGTCGGTACTGAAGGGTAGGCGTGTGTTCTTTCAACCTGTATGGACCATCCCACACGAGCTCTGCTAACTCACTCCCGTTAGCTGACTATACGAGCTGTTATGGCACATCCCTGACAACTCTTGTTTTGGGGATGTTCCTAATTTTAACCACTCTAGTGTGTCTGGTGATATCCCATGTACCCGAGGACTCAGAAGGTTGAACGTTTTCATGTTTATTGGCCATTCATATATTGTCTTTTTGACGTGGGTGTCCATCCGTCTTACCCATTTTTATTGTATTTCGTATGTGTTAGTAGTTTAGAGTGCTCATGATTGCATAACATTTTGTTGTATGAAATAAAAAGTGTAAAAGATTTAATGGAGAAGGACACCAAACAATAAAACTAAGTTTCTAACGAGACAATGTTCAAAACCCTGCTGAAAGTATAGCTTTTAAGATGGTGTGTCAGCGTGGCAGTTTTGGGGGGGGGGTCCTCAGAATTGGAGGGAATCTGCCAAGAGCATGGGAAGACAGGGGTCAGCTGATCTTGTGGAGTCCTGTCTGTCCTAAGATTTATGCTCCTTCACTGCTTGTGCTGCGTAGGTGTCCTGTGTCCCCAGAGCTACCCTCTTTTCGGTAGCTTACCTCCTTAACACACTGCCCATCTTAGGCTCCCACTAAGGACTGCAGCTTCTAGGTGGTGAATACCTGAGGTGGCTCCTGTTCTAGCTAGGGGAGTGCCCCTGGAGTCCACTGGGAACTAGGCAGGTAGCTACAGCTCTGAAATACGAATAGGCAGAACAGTCTCCACATTGTCAAAACCCAGCAGCATCCAGCACGCTGGAGGGATCTGGCAGTGGGCATAAAATAGCCCTGTGAAGCCCCGGGGTTCTCAGCCCCTTCAGCAGGAACATCGCTGCAGACGGCTAGATCCGAAATGTTAGCCAAGCTCCAGAGGTCCATCCATCCACAGACCTGGGCTCAGGGATGTTAAATCCCAAAGTTTTTGTTAGTTGAGCAGGGCAGCTGCTTGAGACTGTACTCTCAGAATTCCAGGACTGTTTCTCACAGCTATCTGTCACCCTGGAGCTCCAGTTGAATTCAGTGTCCTTACTTGTGACTGTTCCCTGTTCTGGGATTCTCTAACACCAGAGTGGCTAGGTTTTAACAGTGGGTTCACACTCAAGATGATGTCCGGCCATACAAAAGGTTTGTCACATTAACATAAAGTCTCGGAGAGTGACAAAGGGGATTCCTCTCCACTGCTGGCCTGTCCCGATTGGAATCGCTCACTGTCCCATCAGAACTTGCTGTTTGGGTTGGAGTCCTGTAAGGGCTGTGGGCTTGTCCTGGGGGTAAGAGGGCTGGTGTCTTCCCGCCAAGGTCACCTGGCTGACTGTTCTAAAAGTCAAATAAAGCACCAACTTGTGGTCCAGTAATTCCACCTGCAAGTAAGGAAAACATCTACAAAGAGATTTTGTATGAGTGCTAATTGTAGCGTTATCTCTAAGATTCCCAGGCCTGGACACAAGCCAGGCGCCCTTCCGAAGGCGAGTGAATGGAAAACCAGTGAACTCATGATAGAATAGTGCTGACAAGGAGAAGATAGACTGGTGGATCCCAGAAGCGTACTTCTAAGGGAAGGACCCTGAAGCAGATCACATCCTGCATGAGTTATAAGAAATTCTGGAAAAGATGCAACTGACCTACAGTGACTGAGCACAAAATAGCCAAGGGCTGTGGATGAGAGCTGGGGACAAAGAAAGAACAAATCCAATCCCCCGCACCCCCATCGGGTGGCTTAGAGACACCGGCAACTCCAGCTCCAGGGGAGCTGAGCCCACTCTCCCCGGCAGGCACCTGTACGCATGCGCACATACCCACCCCACAGAAATATACATAGCTACAAATAACAAAAAATCTTTAAATTAAAAATAAAACACTTTAAAAAAAAAAAATCAGTGGATTCCGTACATGATTTCAAGGATGCCTCAGGTAGTACCTATTTTTGGGAGACAGGTAAAGAGGTAGATTGATAGGCAGACAGGTGGGAAATGTGTTTCATATTCACAGCACTTTGTGATTACATCAATCTTGACTATTTCTGCAGTTGGTTGACTATGCTAAACTTATTCAGCCACGTTTCGATGACGCCCGTGAGAAACTCATTAGAGATACCATAGCTGAAGCCACCAACACAGCCATCAAAACCGTGAAGGAGAAGCTGCTGACGGAAATGCGAACCAGGAGGCAAGGTGGGTGGGGTGGCCCAGGAGGCGAGGTGGGTGGGGTGGCCCAGGAGGCGAGGTGGGTGGGGTGGCCCAGGAGGCGAGGTGGGTGGGGTGGCCGAGGGTCCGCTTTCAGCCTGCGTCTCGGTGAGTGGCTATGCGTGGCTGCTTGAGGACGGGCGTGTCAGTTTGTCCATTTTAGTGCCCTTGACACTTGCACGCTTAGCCTCACCGTGAATGGGTGGCGGGTGAGAAGACACTCACTCAGAACCCAGGGAGTCGGCTTCTCTCACTCTAAGGAAAGGTACTTGTAAATGTGGATACTCAGAGATGGCATTTCTTCACGGGTCTACCTACTGAGCGCAGGCTGAGCGATGACGTTTGCGACTTCATCCACACCCCGGCCCCTAGGACGTTTGTTGTTTTAGAGCCTCGGCTGCCAGCCTTGCTATAACTGTCCTTCTGTCCAGAAAACACTGCATTCGGTGACACTGGTGGACTATGAATAACAAATAACCACGACTCTCCAGATTTACAGATTTAAACGACCGGAAAGCTAACACAGAGACCACAGAGAGACCCCTCCTTTCCTAAGCCCAGCTCCTGACCATCACTCACTGCTGCTGCTCGGGGTATTTTTCTAAAAGTGACCTTTATTTGTTCGTTTTCCTCTAGGAAGATGAGAGTTCTAGCTTCACGACTCTTTTTGTAGCTCATAGAGGGGTTTGGTAGAAAACGGTATCTCTAGTTGTTGTCTGCTTTTTCTTACATACATACACATGGAAACATGCACACACACACACACACACACACACACACACACACACACACACACACACACTTCTGGCCTGGAACTACATAGCCCTGGCTCACCCTAAGCTTCAGCCCTTCTCTGCCTGCTGAATGCTGGGATCTTGAGTGTGAGCCACCATACCTATTGTAATAGAATAGCCCTCACTCAGCACTGCTGTGGATCTTTTTCACATTTAATTTCTAGACCTGAAGTTGGAGATCATTTCCAACAATTTTAGACTAGATTCAGGTGCCGCTGTTGAAATTCCTAGGACCTTTGGCACAGGGTTACATCATAAGGCTTTATGTGTATCAGTCCCAATGTGCTTTTCCTGATAAAACATGTATCGTTACAAAAATAATAATACCTAGTGTTTATTGAGTGTTTACTACCCAGTAAAGCTGTGCTGGCTACCTTGCATATAAGATCTGTGCATCCTTGTAACTCTTTTCGTAACTCTTTTGCCTTCGATTTCAGTGGATAAAGACACTGAGGTGAACCAAAGGCTGTGGGAATTGCCTGCAGGTGACAGCAGCGAGCCCCTGAGATTCACTTCAGTGCCTCCAGGTGGCAGCCAGCAGGCTGGCGTGGGTGCTGGGAACCAAACTGAAGTGATAGAAGGGCCTCGGGTGCCCTTGGCCACTGGTGACCGCTCTGCCCCATTACTGCATATGATTTTAAGGATCCCTTGGGGGCTTCTCCTGGAGAATGCTTTTGTCTTGTCAGCATCTATCAAGACAACTTTAACAATTCTCATGCTTTGGCCTGTTGGTTTGGTCAACAACACTATACTCCAATATCAGGGTTCTTTTTTCTTTTTTTAATTTCTAAAATACATCTTACTTAGTTGTGGTGTATTAAAACTATTTAAAATTTTGTTTACTAAGAACCTTTTCTGAACACTCACAATGTAACTAGTTGATAGCAATTTTTGGTGCTGTAGAAGATTTTGTTATGAGAAGTATTTTTGCTTACTTCATTTTTGTGGTTTGTTTGTTTGTTTCAGCTTTTTATACAAACTAGGAAGCTTTCTGACATTTTGTATTTTGAAGCCATTCAATAAGAATTTATTTTCATGGCAACGTTGTTCTTTCACTAAACAAGAACATTCTTCACTGTTTATTGTGCCTTTCTTCATTCTAGTTAGCCTACAAGCCAATGAAAGCATCCATTATATTTCCTAAAGAACTTTTCAAAAGAGCCAGAACTGGGATGGCTTGACACGCTAATATCTATCTAGATAATTGTCTTAGGTTAGATTTCATTGCTGTGAAGAGACACCATGACTACGGCAACTCTCACACAAGAAACATTTAATTGTGGTGGCAGCTTACAGTTTCAGAGGTTCAGTCTATTACTGTCATGGCGGGGAACGTGGCGGTGTGCTGGCAGACATGGTGCTGGAGCTGAGCTACATCCTGCAGGCAACAGGAAGTGAACTGACTCACTGGGCAGTGTCCTGAGCGTAAGAAACCCCAAAGCCCGCCCCCACAGTGACACACTTCCTCTAACAAGGCCACGCCCGCTCCAACAAAGCCATACTTGCTAATAGTGCCACTCCCTATGAGATTATGGGGCCAAAGCCATCCAAACCACCACAATGACCCAGAAGGAATGTTTAGTATATAACTTTCAAAATGCAGAATCCAAATGTAAAGAATACTCATGACCACTGAACAATTAAAGGAGGGAAGTCATTAGCCCCAGAGTGCATGAATTTATTCAAGGAACACGTGACTATCTTCTTTCCATTAAGTGAATGCCACGGGGCTTCCATACTCCTGGTGCTTACATTTTAGTGGAGAGTGGAGAGAGAAAGAAAGGAAGGAAGGGGGAGGAAAGAAGAATCCGTGTGGGGGACGGAAACATGTAACAGGGAATGCAGTACATAGTGATGGGAACGGGGTGCCGCAGTGCCCAGTTAACCTCTCCAAAGCAAAGACGCCAGACTGAAACTTAAATCTCAAAAGGAAGCTAGCCAGGCTTCCGGTAGAACAGCGGCCCTTCATGTTTGCCACAATCTTCCCTGAAGTTACTGTCTTCCCTATTGTGAATAGACGAGGAGATATTTTCCTGTGTGCTATGAACTTAAAAACCCTTTTAAATTCACTGACAATAAAATTAACCTTCACAACACCTCCAATGCTGGGATTCTAATCTCACATATACTTAAGTTTGTCAAGGGGGGTTAGTGAGAGGTTTTTAATCACAAAATATGTGCAATGAAAGAGGTTAGCCACTAACAGGGAACGACTTCCTGTGTCCCCAGCTAATGCACCCAATGCTTTCAGTCTAATGATCCTCATTTGACCCAGGAAAACGTGGGACACGTAGATCAAGTGGCTACCATGTCCACAACCCCTACGCAACGGTCAGAACGGAAACCAAGGCTGTCTAACTTCAGTAGACTCCGCCTGCCGCCCTGTCTCCAGCTGCCTCTCTTTAACACACGCATTTTTCTTTCAGAGGAGAGAACCTTAAGGGAACTGCAAATTCAGTATGCAAAAAAGGAATACGAAGACTTCATGGAGTACAAAATGTTTAAGAGCTCTGACGATTTACAGTCTGTGGCAGACGACGAAGGTATAAACACACCACCTGAGCCCGTCAGTGGCGGGGTCCATCCTCTGTGTGCAGACGAACTAATAAAGCGTCTCCTTCTACCACAGCAGTCGCCCAAGGCTCCCAGAAGTTTAGCCTCTTAGACATTGCTGACGAAGACAGAACTAGGTCGGAGAACGCCCTTGCTACAGACACCGAAAAAGACGGTAAGGAAAAAAACTACCAAGAAAACGTCTATGGAGCTTAGTCTGTTTGCTTTCTATTTGGCCATCATTTCAGAGCTCAACATCAATACACAAAAAGTTGAAAGCTTCAGAAGGCATAAAAGGCAGGCCTCACTTTTGCAGATTTCAGTTGAACAGCTACAGAACTGGATAGATTTATTAAAATGAAGAAGAGGCTGAGAAAATGAGGAGCTGCATACATGCAGAACCCCAAGAAAGGTTGATATTTTACAAGAATTATCAAACAGTTATTAATTTCTTCTTGATAGTTCTATAGTAACTTTGATATACTGGAACCAGTGTATCAGCCATCAACCCATAATTATAGTTGTGGCATTTCATCATTATTGATTGTGCTATTTAATCTTATGACATTGTTCTGTTCATAAGCTTAAATCCTGACAGCATATAACATTTATACATATAACATTCTCTTGTTTGTTTGTTTGGTTGGTTTGGTTTGGTTTTCGGGACATGGTTTCTCTGTATTGCTCTGGAGCCTGTCCTGGAGCTTGCTCAATAGACCAGGCTGGACTCAGACTCACAGAGATCCGCCTGCCTCCTGAGTGCTGTGCTGGGATTAAAGGCGTGCGCCACTACCGCCTAGCCACATATAACACCCTTGATATAACATTATACAATTATGTCTCTGTGTCATCACATAACAGCCATAAAGTCAACCTTCCTCTGCTTTGTGATAATAATGCACCACACAATTATGTTGCTTTATTAGGAACCTTGTTTTAAAGAATTGCATGATTTTTATGAATAGATCATGGCTTAGCTGTTAGATACTAGTATATATTGTGTGTGTGTGTGTGTTTGTGTGTGTGTGTGTGTGTGTGTGTGTGTGTGTGTTTGCCAGCCATATGCATGCAGGAACCCACGGGGATCAGTAGAGGGCATCAGATCCACGGGAACTGGAGTTACAGGCAGTTTGTTGTGAGCCACCATATGGGTCCCGGCAATCAAACTCAGGTCCTCTGCAAGACCAGTAAGCACTCTTACCCACTGAGCTATCTCCAGTCCTAAGCCAGTTCTTTATAGTATACATTTGTGTGTGTAAATAAACAATATTTAAATGCATATTAATGTAAGTTTTATCTGGATAGTAACATTAGTAGAACTACTAAATAAATGAATATGAAGCAACAGAAAAATTGTTTTGCATAAGTTATTCCAAATTATATTTTCTCCAGTAATCTACAGATATATATATATATATATATACATATACATATATATATGTGTGTGTATGTATATATATATATAATCACTTGCTCATTATTTTTCTTTCAGGGTTACATTAACTTTTACTTCTGACGTTTATTAAGATTTGTTCACTTTTATTTCCTTTTAAATAGGTGGCAACTTTTACATTTCATCAAATTTTCTAAATTGTTATATCAGTCACATCATTTCTTCAAAAACATCTTATGGTAGTCCCTTATTTTTCAATCTCTTTTCCCCTCAAAATTGAGTAGTTTGTCTTCTAAATCATCTTGCTATTGGAGTATTAATGGAGGCATTTTCATAATCAACTAATTGTTTTTCTATTATTGATTTGTGTCTTTACTTTTAGCATTTAAAGTTTTGCTCTGGTGCTCTTGTTTTGTAAGAGTGTCTTGTTAGGTTGACTTTGTTGTTCAGCTTTTTGTCTTTGGTTTTATGGCACATCAATAGTTGATGTATGATGAGCAGTTAGTTCTGTTTGTTTGTTTTCTTCTACTGATTCGAACCTGCCTGCTTTTCCTTGTTTTTATTTCAAACTAGTAAGAACTCATTGGGCCCTGTTATAAACTTGTATGTATCACCCTCTTTACACACACACAAGCACACATGTGCGTACGTGTACACTTCACAGCAGGCCATGCCATTTATTCAGATGTAACAAGTGGCTGCTGGGAGTACCCGTCTGATGCTGGCAATTTTCCACAACACTCTACAGCCCCTCTCCCAGCCTGACCCTCCCCTTTGTAGACCAAGCAGTCCAACTTAGAGGTCATCACCAGTGCATCTACCCACGGTGGGGTGCCAGTGTTGACAGCCTACCTTCCTGAGGCCAACGAGAGGCCATGGCCCCTGGAGCTCAAGACTGTTGCTCAGAAAAGATATCGGTGGACCCTGGTAGCAGCACGGTGCATGGCCATCAACATGACTGCAGGTCATGGCACAGGCCACGAACATCCACATGTCACCAGGTGATGGCCTGGTCCTCCAATGTCAACTCGGATCCCAGCCACATCAGTACCACTGACCCTCACAGCATCATGTGGCATAGTAGTCCTTTGAGGAGGTCTCCCTGGAAAGCGGACAGTTCCCCATCTATCCATCTCAAATATGTCTCTGTCTATCTAGAAATCCAAACTAACATACTTTCTATTATATGTGATTATATACAATCTGTATTTAATTATGCATTGTATTTTAAAAGATCTGTATAAACAAAATACCTAAACAAGAGGAGAAATTTACATATCACAAAATTGACCTTAAATTTGTATCAATAAATGAAAATCCATTCAAAGTATTTATTTCTATACCATAATCCCCTTTTTGCCTTTAAAAAGATTGGTTGTAATAATTAGCCATTTATAACCAAGCCCATTTAAATGAAAACATTTATAGACAATATTTAGAAATTTGGGCATCGTTCTTTCTAAACTGCTTCCTGTTGGTAGGGGGCACTGTCTTGGGGATCATAAGAAGTTACAGAAATCCTGGCTGTGGTAGTCTATAAGGCTGCCTTGTCCCAGCTGTTTTGAATGTTGGATCACCTGGGACACTGCTTCAGGAGGTCTTGCTTGATCAAACCATGTTAGTCTGGAAGGAATCCACAGCTTTTCATTTTCTGTGGAAACAAAAATAAAATCTCTTTTCCAAAGTAACATATTCTTATACTTAAATTTTGAAGTCAAGTCATTTTTAAAATATATAAATATCAGCAGCATTGACAATCGAGTGTATTTTAGCAGTTGTTCCTTCCTTACCAATTGAGCAATTCAAAGACAACACAGTATTCAGAGTCTCTGTGTGTTTTCCATCTTCACGTGGCTCTTTTATTACTCTACTTATTTTACCTCTATTTGTTCATTTTTTGAGACAGGGCTTCTCTGTGTAGCTTTGGCTGCTCTTGAACTCACTCTGTACATCAGGCTGGCCTTGAAATCACATTGATCTGCCTCCCGGGTGCTGGAATTAAAGACGTGTGACACCACACCCTGCTACTCTCTCAGTGCACAAGCATGAGGACCAGTCAGGTCCGCAGAACCCATGCACATGCCATGCACATGCCTCATGAGTGTGGCAGCCCTGAAGACAGAGACAAGGAATTCCCCAGAGCAAGCTGGCTAGGGAGACTCGCCGCATCGATGAGCTGTGAGCTTGACTAGGAGACCCTGCCTGTCTCAATGAATAAAGAATCATAAGATGATTCCTAACATCACCTCTGGCCTCCACACACATGTGCATACACACAGACACACACACACACACACACACCTATACTCATGCATGCATACTACATGTGCACACATTAAAATGGAGAAAGAAAAATACAGGAAACTTTAAAAAATAAATAAATACCCTCACCCAAACCTATTTGCATTTTATGGACTCTGGAAGCTAAGAAAAGTTGGGGGAACACATGTTTCCATCTGGGCACCTAAGTGGCCTCTACACAAAGCTTTAGTCTTCCAGCAAGTGTGATAGTAACACAGAGGGGCACGTATCAGTAGCATGGCTCATCTCAAGTAATATTGTCCATGAGCCCAGGAGTGGAATTTTCCTTTACTCGACTTTATTTATATGGACTTTATTTGACTTTATTTATATGGACTTTATTTTATTTATATTTCCTTTATTTGACCTTATTTATATGACTTTATTTATATGGACAGAAGAGTCCATAGAAGAGGTGGATGAAAGCCACCCTGAGGTGCTTCTCATGATGGAGGACACTCTGAGGCACGCCAAGGAGCTGAACTTTGAGCAACCATATGAAAAACATGCTGAGCTTCTAGACGAAGTCATCAAAGAGGTAAGGTTTGCCAAACTTGTCCTGGTGTGTGTCTAAATTGTTCTAACTTTTTCTTTGACTGTAGTCTTCAACTTCATGCACTGTTTTTGTTTGCACTGTTTCTTATATTTCTTGATTTTTTTTTGAGAATTTTATACATGACTACAATGAAATATGATTGTAACTGTCCCCTGGCTCTCCCTTAAGCACACCCTCTCCTAACTTCATGACTTTAAAAAAAAAAAATAACGAACTCCAGTTACAGCTGCCCACGTGTGCATGGGTGTGGGCCACTGACTGGAACACAGGAAGCCTGCCAGCAGCTGTCTCCTCAGTATAGAAGGATTCTCCTTCTTCCAGACTGTCCACTACCAACGGCTCCGATACCATCATATGTGAAGTACCCCACAGTGCTGGGTAACATATCAATTATCAGCAAAATTAAGTGATGTAATTTCAGAGTTCAGAAATTAATTCATCAAAGTTAATATAACTTATTGCCTTTGGTTCAGCCCAGTCAGTAGAAAGATGAAGTCCCCAAAGCCAGCACCACATTTAGGTCCCATCCAAGGGCTAAGTAGTCAGAGACGGAGTTCAGTTTCCCTGTGTGGCTACCTGTCTTCATCCAACCACCCTAGCATGTGTTGACAGGCGAGGATAGGGACACATGTAATTTTGCACCCAAAGAGGAAAGCCAGCCTCAAATGGCATGCCCGTGCTAATGGCAAATCAGAGCCTTTCTCTTGTTTATTAAGAACGAGGTATCATAGAGGTAGAGTTTACGTAGCAATCTTAGACAAACATTCAGAGAAAGCGTGCAAGATAAATAAATGAGACAGTTTCGGATTCTCGGTGAGCTTTTCTATTTCCCTATGATTGAATTTTAAATTATTATGTGAGAAACTCTGGGTACGGGGACTTATATCTGTAATGCCGGCATTCACAAGGCTGAGGCAGGATGATTATGAATAATTTAGGGCCAGCCTAATTTACATAGGCAGGTCAGCTGGGGACCTCTCTCTCTCTCACACACACACACACACACACACACACAAATATGAGAATGAAAAGCTTATCTATCACATGAGAATATCAGTCTAACTCACTGGGTGCCCCCCTTGATCACTGGCTTACCAGACCCCTTTGGGTCCCTCAGTATTTCTGAGCTCAAACACACCTTTTTTTTTTTTCATCTATTTATTTTACCTCCAGGCTGCAGACAGCCCTCCCATCCTCCCCTCCAAGTACCCTTCCTCCATTACCGCCTACACACCCCGATTCCATCTCTACCCAGGAAAGGCCAGGTCTCCTATGAGTATCAATAAAACTCGGCATATCGAGCTGCAGTAAGATTAAGCACCTCCCTATGTAATAAGGCTGGGCAAGGCGACCCAGTATAAAAACTAGGGTCCCAAAGTCCATTAGAAGAGTTGGAGATGGCTCCTGTTGCTGCTGTTAGGAGTCCCATAAGAGGATCAAGATTCACAACTGTAACACATATGCGGAGTGCCTGGGTCAGTCCCATGCAGGCTCCCTGACTATGGGCTCAGTCTCTGTGAGCCCCTGTGAACCCAGGTGGGTTGACTGTGTGAGCCTTCCCATGGTGCCCTCCACCCAACTGGCTCCTACAATCTTTCCTCTCCCTCCTCTGTAGAATTTCCCAACTCTACTTAATGTCAAACACACCTTCTAACCAATCTTTAGGTTGTCTGAGCAATGGTTTTTCCTTCAGAAGTGCCTGCTATTTCTGTATACTAGGGAAAGGGGAGTGGATCAAACATGGCCTTGCCTTTAAGGGTCTTCTACACTGAGCTGTCCCGGAAGCCACTCACTGAGTCTTTGTGTGGCAAATAGATATGGATGAGGCCCAGGAATCCATCTTGGCCTCATCAGTGAGACAAAACACCCAGAGAAGCAAAACGAGAATACAAATCTCCAGGAGTATGAATCCAACATTTGGGAGACTCCTGTGTGTGCACAGTGTCAGGGTTAACGGCCGAACGGTAGGCCACAGCTGTGGAAGCAGAGGGCTCTTATCATGTCCACTCCCATCATGTTGTTAGGTAGGAAAACCGTTTTCATAAGCAGCTAGAGATCTGTGATATTGTAAAGAGTATACTCTGCTGCTGTTTGGACCAGAGTCTCTATGTAGCCCTGACTGTCCTAGAACTTACTATGTAGTCCAGGCTGGCTTCAACTCAGAGGTCCTTCTGCCTCTGCCTCTACCTCCTGAGTGCTAAGATTAAAGGCGTGTGCCACCAGGCCTGGCAAGGGTATATTCCTTGGGGAAGCCATTTGCCCATTTTTTATTGGGTTGTCTTTTGTGGGGAGGGGTTTCTATACAGGGTTTCTCTGTGTAACAGCCCAAGCTGTCCTGGAACTCGCTCTGTAGACCAGGCTGACCTCGATCTCACAGAGATCCACCTGCCTCTGCCTCCTGAGTGCTAGGATTAAAGATGTGTGACACCACCATCCAGCTGGGTTGTCTTTTTAAATTTATATTATTCGAGGGCTGGAGAGCTGGTAAAGAAGAGCACTGGTTGCTCTTCCAGAGGACCCATGTAATATAAATTTAAAGCTCATTATTGTTGAACTCCAACTCCAGAAGATTGCTCCGTCTCCTGGCCCCTATGGACACTTGCATACAGCCATACAGAAACACACATACAAAATAGTTAAAAATAGAAGATCTTTAAGAAATATAAGTTCAAATTTCAATAAAGAATAATGAGATAAAATGTTTCTCCTGAAAAATTGACCAAGTTTTTTTTAAGCAGTCACTGCTCGTGGAGCGTTGGTGATAGTTGCTTTCTGGTTGTGCCAGTGTGCTTGCTGATGTCAATCTGACACACAAACTAGACTTGTCTGAGAGGAGGGAGCCTCAGCTGAGAAACATTGCCTTCATTAGTGGTTGATGGGGAGGGTCCAGCCGGTTCCAGTGGGGCCATCCCTGGCTGGTGGTCCTGGGTTCTGTAAGAAAGCAGGCCATGGGGAGTAAGTCAGTAAGCAGCATCCTCCGTGGCCTCTGTGTGAGCTCCTGTCCTGTGTGAGTCCCCACCCTGTGTGAGCTCCTGTCCTGAACAGCAACTGAAGTGTGAGCCAAACAAACCCTTTCTTACCCAGAATGCTTTTTGGTGGAGCTGCTTTGTTGCAGCAATGAAAACTCTGACTAAGAATGCCAGAAAAGGTGAAAGTTGGAACACATGTCTTTGGAAGCAATGTGGCATCTTCTGGAAATATCCTTAAACAAATATATAATCCCTGGATAACTGCTTCTGTGTAAGGTTGTTCCTCACAATGTTATTAAAATAACGTAATGCACAAAGAAGTCCATCGCTGTTATGATAAGTGACTTAAACACTAACCACATGCATTCAGTGCTCAGACTAATAAATAGCGGAAGTGCACCGTTATGTAACAAAGACTTTGCTTCCTGTTTTTAAACTAGTAAGACTTGATTACTTCAAAATTAAACCTGTCTTAAAATTAAGTCATTCTTACTTGATTCTCAGAGTCAGGGCCTTGTAGATGCTTGCTACAATTCTACAAGAAAAAATATCATAAATCTGTGATGTTTCAACTCATGGTGGTGACATCAGTGTGTGTCTTCACAGATAACAGAAGATAACAAGAACAGGTTTCCTGGTGCCCCGAAACAAGGAGGATGGATTGTGGACAATTGCCCTGTCATACGAGAACTGTGGATGGCCTTCATTGAAAAGGGGGTTGTGCCTGATTTGGTTATCTCTTTAACAGATGCAGAAAACAATGGTTAGTAAATATTTGTTATTTAAATTGAGAACAAATTGTTTGTTGCTGACATTTATTTCAGTTAAAATAGAGAATGGGGAGTCTCCTTAGATATAATTACCACCCCTCCTACTCTCCCAGCTGTGCCTGTAGGATGTGGTGATGCCTGAGTGAGACTTCCACCCACTGGGAAGGTGACCTGGGGTATCATGCTGGGACACTGAGCCTTCTAGCAGTCCTCAAAGGTTGTTCTTTGGAGCTGAGAACTGAGCATCGCCTCTCAGTCGGCAGCTATAACTAGTAAATCAACACTGTATAAAATCCTCAATCAACACTGTATAAAATCCTCAGGCTAAATGTAAACAGCTGGCACTTGACATTTTACGAAAATGTATTTGAGAGATGGTGGGGTCAAGGTTTGTGCAGTTCACCCTGACAACCTGAGTTCAATGCTTGTGACCCATAAGGCAGGAGAGAACCAAATCTCCACAATTTGTCCTCTGATAGCCATCCATGCATGTGAGTGTATGCGCACACACACACGCACACATAGACACACGCACACACACATACACACATGCACATACACACATGCACATACACACGCACACACACACACAAATGTGAGAAAAAACATTTTAAAATATTGAAATGAGAATTTCCGGCGGGGTGGGGGGGGATCAATGTTTTTCTCATGTTTTCATTATTTATGACATAGTAACATATGTCTTTCAAAAAAGACTTAAGACATTCTACTAAAATTTTAAAGACTCGGGGCTTTGTTTGGATAAGCACTTAAAGGGAAATGTGTGTGTGTGTGCACAGCCAGAGATTGTTTGTAATTAATTTCTAAAACAGGCCACACTGTGCAATTTCAAAATAAATTTCTTCTCTTTATCTACATTTCAGGAAAATGCTTTTTAAATAGAATGTATTTAAAGAATAAGACTGAAATTGATGCTAAGATTTTAGAAAGATTGCTATATGAACTTCGAATCAAAAAAAAGGAAGAGGAGGAAATACGGTAATGTTGTGGGGACTTAAAAACGGGCTGTGCACTGACCATGCCTGTGTGTTCAGCGGTTTTATTTTAGTTACATGCGTGTGTGTCAATTATGTGTGGGTGCCCACTGAGGCCAAAAGAGGGTGCTGGACCCCCTGGAGCAGAAGTTTCAGGTAGCCATGAGCCACCCAACATGGGCGCTGGTAGCCAAACTCAGGTCCTCTGCAAAAGCAGCAAGCACTCGTGACCACCGGGCCATGTCTCCAAACCCCAGTTGTCAAAACTTTTTTTTTCAATTATAAATTTCAAATTATGTACACATGTGGGGGAGATGTGTGTACATGCAAACGCAGATAGCTTCAGAGCTTAAAAGAGGCATTTGTCACAGGCGTTTGTAAGCTGCGTGTTGGTGCTTGGAATAAAACTCAGGACCTCTGTAAGAGAAGCAAGCATTTTTAACCCCTGATCCGTCTCTCCAGGATACAATTCTGACTAGAAAGAAACATTATGGTCTCTACTCAGTGGAGAAAAAAAAAAAAAAAACTAATGCAAACATTATAAATTGAACTCTCACAGTGCTACCATCCTGAAATGATTAGTGTCTATAATTTGACTACTTTTCTAGCCTTCTGCTTCTCGTATTTACTGCTACAGAGTTAAAATTATATTGCACATATAGTTTTACACCCTACCTCTTTTCACGCTATACGGCGACTCTCACCCATTGAGTCTGAGGGACACACTACAGATCCCTCCTCTCCTCTCAACTCACCTCAGGGCCTTTCGCTCTCTAACGGACTTCCTAACTGACAGCCGAAGTTTAAAATATAGCATTCCGTCACCTTCTTACCCAAACTGCTGCGGACAGGACTGTACCCTGTGCATAAGATGCTTAGCAATGACCCCTCTGCCGCCTGCCACTCTGAGAATTTAACCGCATAGTCCTGGGACGGCGGATATTTTTGAAACTGAATTTGGACCTTTTCCTTTCAGCAAAGCCAAAGAAGAGGAGATGAGGCTGGAAGAAGAAAAGCAGAGGATTATGGAAACCATGGCTAAGAAAGCAAAAGGTGGGTCCAGATCAGATGGAGGCTCTAGCAGCCGGCCAGGGGGTCTGATCACTCCAGATGGAGGCTCTAGCAGCCGGCCAGGGGGTCCCATCACCTCCCGCCTGCTGTGTGCAAGCTCATTAGCAGCCAGCACAGCCCCTCGCTAGCCCAGAGCCCAGGTGTATGCCTGCGCCCTGGCTGGAAGTGCCCCTACCTTCCCCAACGTACGCTCTTGGCTCTTTTACTCTTTACTCTTGGGGGCCATCAGCCAATTAAATGCACACACACACACACACACACACACACACACACACACACACGGGGGGGGGGGCGGGGAGGAGAGAAGGACGGAGGGAGGGGGAGAGGGAGAGAGGAGAGAAAGAGAGGAAAGAGGCAGAGAGAGGGAGAGAGGCTTATTCTTCTGAATGCCTGGCCTGAGCTTGGCTTGTTTCTAGCCAGCTTGTCTTAAATTATCCCATCCATCTTTTGCCTCTGGCTTTTACCTTTCTCTGTTTTGGTATATCTTTTCTTCTTACTCTGTGGCTGACTGGGTGGCTGACCCCTTTCTTTCTTGCTCCTTGATCTCTTTTCTTTCTTTTTCTCCTTCACCCACACCCATCCTCTCTCCTGCCTGGCTATTGACCATTTCAGCTCCTTATTAGACCAGTCAGGTGTTTTAGACAGGTAAAGGAACACAGCTTCACAGAGTTAAATAAATGCAAGGTAAACTGATGCAACACATCTTTGCATCATTGAACAAATGTTCCACAGCATAAACAAATGTAACACAGCTTCAAGTAATATTTCACAACAAACATGTTCCACTTTTTCCATAATGAATTTTATTCTCACTGGGATAATGGGTTCACAGGGCAAAGATTCCTAATGTTCCTAACGTGAGGCCCACCATTGCACCCTCGAAGAAGGGTATGCCACAGAACATGTCACTGTCAAGGGTTATGTGTGACTGCTGTAATTGCTTCGATTTGAAGAATCATGAAAAAGCTGGGGACATAGCCAAACTATAGCCATGCCTATCATCTTCATACTTAAACCATCACTTGTATGAAAGAACTTTCTCTTTTAAGGCTGAGGGTCTCAAACTAGAGCCTATGGATTAACTCCAGGTCTTTGAACTGCAACTGTATGTTTAATAACCGTCAGCATCTCCTTTGGCTACTAACACAGGAAACAAGGCCACCGTGGTGTTAGGTCCCTTGCCTTGGCCTTCATATATGTAGACATTTGTGTGTTGCGCCATAGTTTGTATGTATGTTTCCTGCCATTGTAATTGTAGTAGTTATGAAGCTGGGTGCTACTTATTCTTTAACACATTTTCTACAGCCCCAAAATAGGTTTATGTTCTAACACGCGTTTTTCAGCATAGCTGGTTGCTTGTGTATTTTATTTTGTGACAGTGTTATTCTAAAAAGAGGGGCATAAGCTTTGTGGGACCGTGGTAATTCACATCAGGAGATATGACGCACACAGCGGTAATGCACATCAGGAGATGTGACGCACACAGTGGTAACGCACATCAGGAGATATGACGCACACAGTGGTAATGCACATCAGGAGATATGATGCACACAGCGGTAATGCACATCAGGAGATATGACGCACACAGCGGTAACGCACATCAGGAGATGTGACGCACACAGCGGTAATGCATCTGTCCCCACCATTAAACCAAGTGCAGGGCAAGCACCTCTGACGTCTTATACCCCTTGCTATGTTTAACCCTGCCCAACAATCATTTGTTGGCTTTAACTGAATGATAATTTGTTCCTTGCAATTCTCTGTAGATGTTGAAGAGCCTGATAATGAAGCTGATGAGGAGGTTGATGCTGAAGATTTTGAAGCCCATGAAGAGCCAGAGGTACCCGAGATGCAGGAGTACACCCGAGGGTCTCTGTTGCCTGAGGGGTCTGAAGCATCTGAGTTCCCAGAAGCAGAGCATGAACCGGAAGCAGGTTAGCTCCACTTCCTAAATCTTAAGAACTTTAATAAAAGTTTCAGCTGAAGGTACTGGAGCTGAAGAGATGGTTCAGCAGTTTGGAGCATTTGCTGCTCGGCCAGAGGACCTGGGTTCAGTTCCCAGCACCCACACAGCAGCTCACAACTGTCCGTAATTCCAAATCCAGGGATTTCAACATCCACTGCTGGCGTCCAGTTCATTTACATATATGTAGACAAAACACTAACATGCATAAAAAATTTAAATAAATCTTTTAAAAGAAAAAAAAGTTCAAGATGAAGGCAGTGTTTGTAGACTTACCACCCAAAGGACCCCACATACCCACCCACACACACACACACACACACACATCTCCTGGGTTTGATGCCTGGTTCTGTCTACTGATGTGTTTCCTGGCTCCTTCTCCATCGCCCATGGTTATCTTGTGCAGTGATTTTAGTGAAGGAAGGGATGCATTTCCCCAGCCCACATACCACATGTGAATGTTAGGTCTTACTGCAATGGAAGTGCTAAGCATTGGCTTGGTAAACAGAGAACCTCTGGAGTCCAAAGGTTAAATAGCCATCTCAGAAACCTCCAAGTTTATCCTCTCCCTGCCTTGGTCCTCTTCTATTGGTCAGGGTTTATAGTGTTTTTACTAATTGAGCCATTTACAATTAGACACATCGCCAACAAAACTCCTAGGCCTGTCCCTTTCTACATCCTGCTCTAATAAAGTCTAAGTACTAGAGACCCTGCTGAATGGGTGCTAAAGTGTTAACTCAGAAGATAGCATTATGATATAATTGTGTATATATTTATATGTGTAATATGCATCCACATGTATATATAATCTATGCAAAGTGTGTATCTTAGAATTGGGCGCAGACGTGGGGGCTATGGCGTGAGAAGATGTGTAAGTAGTCTGCATGTCTGGAGCCATCTGGACTGGATGTGTGTGTGTGAAGGGTGTCTGTCTGTGAAATAGATGCTTTACAGCCTGTCCCCGATGGTGAAGTAGCTGTGACTCTCTTCTGCTCCTCCATCCCCACCCCTCAACTGCTGTCCTCCTGTATCCTCGGGGATGTTTTAGGGAGACGTTAAAAGGACTCCTCCCAGGCATTAGATCTGATACCGCAATAATGGGGGTGTAAAAACATTTAACAGTTACCAACCAGAATGGCATGTCCCATGTGTCAAGTATTATTCCAGTCGATGTCCTGTGGGAAGGGTGCATGTGGCACATGCGCATGGAGGGGTATACCAGTGCCTGTGCGTGCTCGTGGGAAGGGGAGGGCTCCGGCGTCTCCCTCGTCTACTCCCCCCCCATCGCCTCAAGTCAGCATCTGTTGTGAGGCCAGCTCACCATTTTGGCTAGATCGGCCGCCTCATGAGCTCGTGGGACCTGCCTGCCTCAGCCCATACATTCATGCCCAGGTTTGTACATGAGTGCTAGGGACTCGAACCCAGCTCCTCGGGCTCCCAGACCAACCATTCTTTCCCACTCAGGCTGCCATTCCAGACCTTCAGCATCCTTTTGTGTATTTTAAATGTTTATTTTCTGACTTGTACTCTATTTTAGGCCATCCCTAAAAATATAAATCTGTGTTTTTCAAATAGGCATATCATCTTTAATTGAAAGTATGTTTTAAAGTCGTCTTTGTGGCAAAGCTTTCATAGGAATAACATTTTAAAATTCAGGCACTAACTTAGATTTCTTCCTTAAGTCACTGAACCTCCTGAGGACCCTACAGTTGAAGCAGAAATCCAAAAGGAATCCAAAGAGATCCTGGAGTCTGAAGAAGTAACTGAAACAGGTTAGACCAGAAAATAGAAAAGAAGTTCCCATTCATAAAAACAGAAGTTCCCGTTCATTCACAAAAGTGTTTCTCTAGCGGATCAAACCTTCCTTTGGGTCACAGTCTCTGCTTACTCGTCCTCTGCCGTGTGCCAGTTGCCTTAGGGTGTCTATTGCTATGAAGAGAAGCCGTGGCCAGCACAAACCTTACAATGGGAAACATTTAATTGGGGCTGGGGTTCGGTTTCAGAAGTTTGGCCCTTGTCGTGAGGGTGGGACATGACAGGGTGCCGAGAGACCTCCATCGCCATCTGCAGGCAGCAGATGGTGAACTGCCTCTCACCCTGAGCACCGCTCGAGAAGAGGAGACCTCCAAGCCCACCCCCACAGTGGCGCACTTCCTCCCCTCAGGTTCCATCTACTCCAACAAAGCCACGCCACGTGCTGGCCCCCAAAGTCTTGTAGCCATGTCATAAAGCAATACTGCGTTTAGTCCAACCTCAAAAGTCCCCATAGTCCACAACAGCCTCAAACTTATTTTAAAGTCTCACGTTCAAGGTCTCTTCTGAGATTCATACACTCTCTTAACTGTAATCCCTGCAAAATAAAAGTCAAAAAAGCAGATCACATGCTTCCAGCATATAATGGCACAGGATATACATTACTGCTACAAAACGTAGGGAAGGGATCATAGTGAGGGAGCACTGGACCAGAGCAAGACTGAAAAGCAGCTGCACAAGCTCCAAAGTCTGCATCTCCACGTCTGATGTTGAAACCCCCGTCAGATCTCCAACTCTTTTCAGCTCTGCTGAGTGCCCACAGCCCACAGCCGTTTCCCTCGGGCAGGCTCCACTCCCTGTCAGCAGCTCTCCCTGACAGGTACCCACAGCTCTGGCACCTCTAACATCCTGGGGTCTCCAAGGCAATCCAGGCTTCACCTTCACAGCTTCACACAATGGCCTCTCTGGGCCTCCATGCAGGGACACCCGGACACAGGCCTGGCCTCAGTGGCTTTCCTAAGTGGAAGAGAAAGATTCCACAACCCCTTCCTTACATCCTTGACCGAAGCCAGAACCACGTGGCCCAAGCCGCCAAGTTCTGCTGCTTGCTGGGGCTGAAACATGGTCCCCTTTTCAATCATATGTTCGGCAGCTTCCTGTTTTCCATGGTTTCCTTTGCTGCCCAAGCTTGGCTGTCCTGGAACGCACTGTCTAGAGCAGGCTGGTCGCAAACTCAGAGATCTGGCTGCCTCTGCCTCCAAAGTGCTGGGATCAAAGGTGTGCGCCCACACCCAGCTCTGAGCTTTTCTTGGTTCCCTTCTCACAGGTGAAAGCTTAGCTCTGCGGGCTCTTGCCCTGAGGTTGCCCAGGCCTTTCTCCCATTTCTCAGTCTGTTGTCTCCTTGAACACTTCCTGGTGCTCCTTTCTCCTCAAATTTGACATTTTGTATTTTTCCTTGTTCAGTTTGTTCATTGTTCATTATAAATCTTCATTAGAGTGGAAGACTAATCACTAATTCCTCTGTCAATGGAATTAATCCAAACCTCTTCACTTTAGCTTCAGGCAGATTATTTTGACAAAGACAAAATTGTCACAAGAACAATCTCTAGGCCACATATTAATATTCTTCTCCTCTGCACCTCGTGAGCCAGGCCCCTACAGTTCCAATCACACTCCACTGCCTTCCGGGCTCCTGCTAGTGTGGCCCATGAAGCCCTGCTTAAAGCATCATTTCCACTGCTTTCTTAACCCAAACTCCCAAAGTCCACATTCCTCCCAACAAACGCGTGGTCAGGCCCGCCACAGCAATGCCCCAGGTGCTGGTACCAACTTCTGACTTAGTGAGGCTTTCTAGCTGTGAAGAGACACCATGACCACGGCAACTCTTATAAAGAAAGCATTTAATTAAGGTGCTGGCTTACAGTTTCAGAGGTTTAGTCCATTAGCATCATGGCAGCAGGCAGGCAGACATGGGGGAGGGGGAGGAGCTGAGAGCTCTACATCTGGATCCACAGGCAGCAGGAAGAGATCTGTCTATCACACTGAGCAGAGCTTGAGCAATAGAGACCTCAAAGCCAAATCCCACAGTGACACACTTCCCCTTACAAGGCCACACCTACTCCAACAAAGCCACACCTCCTACCAATGCCGCTCCCTATGGGGACTGTTTTTCTTTCAAACTGCCACACCAGTCAATATGAATTATAATTATTTATGTCAACCCATTAACAGCATAGCTATTCAGTTCATAGCGCTTTTTCGTCTTATTTTACAATTTACATTAACAGTTAAGGTTTCCATATGAAACCCACTTATCATTCACATGCTTTCAACTCTCTAATAGCTAATTATGAATGAAAGCATGTGAATGATAAGCTCCTGTGTGGTCTGACTAGAGATGGGCTTTTCAAGGCCCCCTTTCTCCCTCTGAACTTGCATTTGACAGTTGTTCTGCCGGAGTTCCCAGACGATGCTTACCCCAATGTTTCTGAGATGGAGCCTCTGAAAGAAGAGCTGAATAATTACCTTCTCATGTGGAAACATCTGGAGCAGATGATCACTGACAATCTGATTCAAATATTAACACTGGATATTTCCAACAAAACACCGAAGGAATTGCTTCAAAAAGTCATTGAGACGATGCAAAGTAAGGCGAAACTTGTGGCTTTCTTGTTAAATTGGACACTAGCAGTAAGAGCATTTTAGACCTTGAAAGTCTGCTCTGATGGCTTCTCAAGTAAAACACCGAGGACATCTAAAGGTGATCTGTAAGGCATTCTAAAACTACCGTAAATAACGCAGGCACTGGCCAAGCAGAGCTGACCCGGGTGGTGCTGAGGGCTCACAGAGAGGGTTTGTACACACACGGGAATTGAGAGATCCATGGTAACTGTTAATTTCTCTAACGTTTGACTATGACAAACGGCTGATAACTTTTTGTTCTAAAACCTCTTTTCCCTTTTAAAAACAACAGAACCTTTTCAGTACGCTGCGTGGGAACTAAACGCCGAAGATTATGACGAAGAGGCGGAAGACTTTCAGGCAGAGATGGAAGTGGATGAGGAACAGGAGGAAGAGGAGGAGGAAGAGGAGGAGGTATGGCCGTTTTCACCCATGCCGGGCAAGTGCCCAACCACTGAGCTGGATCCCCACCCCATCCTCAACTTTATAAATGAAAAATTTCCCCTTTACCAGAGCTACTTAATGAAAGCATAAAAAAGAAAACCGTTTTACTGTTTTCTTCTTTTTTAAAAAAAAAAATGAGTATTAAGACTATAAATATTTTATAAAGTTAACAAAAGCAGGTATGAGAAAGATGCCTTTGGAGTGTCTGGAAGGCTGTCCACGTGATAATGATCCACAATGCTCAACAGGACCAAGCCATATTCAGACACCAATCTACATCATTGGTGCCAGAATGACAATAACCATTGTTGTCATTAATAATCCCCAGATTAGGTACATGTCAACAGTAAAGCAGGAAATTGTTCTTTCAATAAAAGTTTCTAGAAATGAAAATATAATTTACTAAGTTAAATATGTTAAACAAACTTGCACTTGTAGTTAATTGATTTGTATGTAACACAAATATTAAAAACCCAGGAGACAGACACTGGGGTTCAAGCTGAAGATGAGTAAAGCAAAACAGTCAGCCAGTAGCTCTTACCTCTACCTCAGACTGAAACAAAACGGTGATCCTGGCTCCACAAACCCCCCAGAGTGCAATGCAAACACCAAGCCTCCTCAGACTGCAATCCTCAGAGTTCCACCTAGCCCTGTCTCCACCTCCCTACCGCTGGGGTTAAAGGCATAGGATCCCACGTGCTGAGATCATCTTTGTGTGAGCTGTTTCTCTTTTAGGCTGGATCGATATCATGTAGCTCAGGGTGGCCTTGAACTTCCGGAGATCTGTCTGCCTCTGTCTCCCGAGTCCTGGCGTTAAAGCTGTGTGTCACCTCCACCTGCCTTTTAGGCTAGCTAGCATGGCTGCTGGGATTAAAGGGGTGTGTCACCACTGCCCGGCTCTACGGCTGTGGCTAGCTTTGCATTTTGATATCCAGGGATTTATTAAATAATAAACATTATATCACCACACTTATTATTGCCTAATTTAAACCCAAAGATATAAGTATATGGGTGTAGCACCACATGATTTAAAGAGGATTCTGTCAACACTTTCCAGTACTTTGTCACCAAGGAACCGATGTAAGCATTGCTCAAGGATGTGGGGTTTGCCCTGCTCCTAGTCAGCCTGTCTTCATCTACCATTCCCTGTAGTGTTTTCTGTGCAGCCTCTGGTCTGCAATGAGTAGCCCTGCCTTGTGTCTCTGCAGGCAGTCCTGGTTGAAAACTTGTATTTTTATGTCTGAGCTTCTTTAACTCTCCAGTGTAAAATCTCACCAGTCACAGCAAGTTGGGAGCAAGGGCCAGGCTTCAGAGATGGGAAATAATTAGACCTAAAAAAAAAAAGTGCTTTTGCTCCAATTACCTTAATAGCAAGAGCCAAAAACGTGAAACTACTTCCTGGCAACTCAGCTGTGTCCTAGAACAAACTCAAATGTATTGATGGTATTACAACATAAACTTTGGTATCCACTCAAGGAAAGCCAGATCTGCTAAGAACGTATGATTTATGATGAAAAGAAAAAAAAAATCACCAACTCAAACTACTCTAGAGGTGAAAAATACATCAGCATTGGCTGAAAAGGACGTTGAGATGGCTGTTCTTGCTGCTATAAATTCAAAACAGGAAGTAGAGATCAAAGAGGGCATGATGGACAGTGTGGGCGGGGCGGGGCGGCTTGGAACGCAGAAAACATGAAGCGAGATGTGCCTGGCGGGAACAATGGTAGCCTAGAAACTGCACAAAGGGAGGTAAAGAAACGGAAACTATCTGAGACACTGCAGGAGCCTCGAGCAGCCCGCTGGACACACACTCGGAACCTACAAAAGTATGTGTGGGGGGAGAGAGCGACAATATTTGAAGAAACAACAGCTATACTTTCTCAGTATTTGGAGCGGCTTACAAGCTCTCAGATCCAAGAAGGTCAGAGAATCCCATGAAGGAAACAACACCGAGCTTGTCATATTCAGGTTGCTTGGCTGCGAAGAAGCAAAGAATTTCTTAAAAGAGGCAGCAGCATGTGTCTAGTAACACTTTTTTGTTGTCGCTGTTTGGTTTTTGGTTTTTTGAGACAGGGTTCCTCGGTGTAGCTTTACAGACCAGGCTGGCCTCAAACTCACAGAGATCCACCTCGTTTTAGGAGACAAGGTCTTTTATAACAGGCTAAGCTTGCTGTGACCTAGTGAGCCATGTGTCCCCACACACCAGCACTAGCATATAAGGGTTAGGGTGTGCCATTGTGCCTGACTCTTTATGCGGGTGCTTGGGAATTAAACTAAAGTCCCCATGCTTGCAGGCCAAGCAAGCCTCTATCAAGTGAAGTCTCACTATTTGTCTTAAGTGATGCATCTCTTGACTTAAGTTTTGTCAGATGAAATCACATCCAAGGCAAGGACATAAATGAAGAGAGGTGAGAGACAGTCTTATACAGAGCAGTCCAGATATGGGTGACACTTGCTGCAGTCCCTCAACGAACACTTGAAATTTTTAAATGCGTGTATTCCTTAAGTATATGTTTTAATTTAATGCATTTCCCCTAAATGCCAGGGAGTTATAGTAGTTACTTTTCTACTACAGATGAAACACTATAGCCAAGGCAGCGTAGCCTATAGAAGGGAGGGTTTGGGGGTGAGGGGGTGGTCAATGGGTCCAGAGGGTTAAGAGTCCATCACTATCACAATGGGGGCTCAGTGGCAGGCAGGCATGGCCCTGGAGTGATCCACAAATGGGAAGCAAAGATAATTAACTTGAAATTCCAAGTCCTACCCTGAGTGAGATACTTCTTCCAGCAAGGTCACATATCCTAATTCTCCCCCAAACAGCTTAAGTACCCAGTAACCAAATACCCAAGGCTTATAAGGAACCACCATGGGAAATAAGTAAGAAATCAATAATGAAAGTATAAACTAAATATATGGGCACCAGAGCAATGACTCAGCCGTTCAGAGCGCTTGCTCTTGCAAAGGACCTGGGTTTGGTTCCAATCATCCACGCAGTGCCTTACATCCCTCCAACCACAATTCCAGGGGATACGTCGCCTTCTTTGTATCTCTGCATTTGTATAGAGGACACATGCAGGCAAAACACATGAAATAAAAAAATACAAAAATAAACTAAATGTGAATAGTCATCCTTTCTATGGGATAGCCAGTGTCCTTATAGTTTTGAATATTTCTGAATTTCAAGTAAATGAATCCTTCACTGTGTTTATATGAAACGGTTGGCTTGTATCTGAAGTCCAAATTCACCTGAGGAACCTGGGTTAGCATTAAACTAAAGATAATGAGAATAAGCACAATAAAATTAGCCTAAATGCAATGAGAAAACAAAATAAAAAGCAACAAATGAAAACCAAAAGTTGGCTCCCTGGCAAGAGCAGAAAGGGGATGAACTCCTGTCAGACTGAATCAGGTAAATAGCGGAGACAATGAATAGCATTTTAAACAAAAAGAGTTTCCAGATCCTTGAAGGACTCTTTTTAAATCATAGGCACTTCACTCTAACAGGCTTGAGCATCTAAAAAGGATTTTCCCAAGTTTTGTTTTTTTTTTTTTTTTTTTTTTTTTTTTTTTTTTTTTTACTAAAATTGACTTAGGGAGAAAGAGGGATGATGGGAGATGTCATTCTGTAAATATGTTTCTCTTATTGGTTAATGAGTAAAGCACTGTTGGCCAATAGGAAAGCAAGATAGGTGGGACTAGGAGACAAGGAGGATTCTGGAAGGAGTAGGGAGGAGTTCCAAGATGGAGGACGGAGAGAGAAGAATGCTGGACTCTCTCTCCGGTAAGATGAGACCACGCGGAAATACTTAGATTAATAAAAATGGGTTAATATTGAAGACAGAGCTAGCCAATAATAAATGCTAGTAACAGGCTAACAGCTTTGTATCTAATACAGAGTCTCAGTGTGTTAATTGGGGCTGGCTCGGCGGTGGGACCAGACCGGTGGGGAAAAACATACTCATACAGAGGGAAAACTTTACTTTGAAAGTTAAAAATCTTAAATAAGTAACAGAAGTGGTTTATAGACCATTTTTAATACGTATCCACCAATAAGACATTTCTTATATTATCCAAACTCTTCCACGTCATAGACAAGAATCAGTAATTCTCTGTTTTGTTTTGCTTTGTTTTGTTTTGTTTTGTTTTGTTTTAAACAAGGTTTTGTGTAGCTCTGGCTAGCCTGAAACTCACTATGTAGATCAGGCTAGTTTCGAACTCACAGAGCTCTACCTGAGAGTCTTGGTATTAACGGTCAGCACCACCACACCCAACCCGATTAGTCTCAGTTCTGCTGCAGTACAGAACAGAAAAGTGTTGTGATTTCTTCTTTTGTAAGCATAAGCATGCTGCAGAATAACTTACAAATTATTCCATTTCTAGTTTCAAAACCGATAAATTCGAGCTTAAATCTATGTCTGCCTCTTATGTATGCAGCGTTTGAGGGAGTGCTCATGGGAACTGTGGAAGGGAAATGAAACATATGATAGTGAGTGTTTAATGACTTCCTGTTGCTTTAACTGATTTCCAAAAAGTCCTTTAGACATTTTATCACAGTATAATAGTTCATTTGTACTTAATTAAACATTTTCAAGTTTTTCCTTTCAATAAAACAAAGCAGATCACCTACTTCATTATCCTGTAGAGAATGTGAGCCTGACTCAGGTTCCGTTCTTTGAGAATTGATTCCTACCAGATCCCACTTCACTTCTCTGTGTCTAGAGGATGGAGCACACCTTATTTCTCAGTGCTACCTTATTTTTTATGAAAACGAAAAATGTAGCAACTAAACATAGAGGACCAGGAGCAGCTTGCTTTTAATCCATTAAGTAACAGCGTGCGGATGGCTTTGTGGGCTGTTTTAAAGTTGGTGTTCTTGTAGACCACTTATTCCTCAAGGTGAATTGCTTCTAAATTTCTCTTTGACCCTGCATCGGATGGCTTTGGTAACCTCTGAACTGAACAATACTCCTAGGGAGAAGAAAAGCTGAAAGAAAAAAGGAGACACCTGGGAGACACAAAGCACTTCTGCCCGGTGGTTCTCAAAGAAAACTTCATCCTGCAGCCGGGCAGCATGGACGAGGCCGTGAAATACCGAGAAAAGATATACTACTTTTCGACTGCGGAGGCCAAGGAAAAGTTCCTGGAGCATCCCGAGGAGTACGTGTCCCAGAACGAACCGCTGAAGGTGAGAACAATATTCCTGTGTCAAGGCTGCTCCCAAGGTCTCGCGGGAGTCTCCAATCTCGTTAAAACCAGCATTAACAACAAAGCATCGTGATGACGTCTAGGTTTGGAAAGAAACAGCTTTTTGCAATATGACATAAAAATAATGACCTGTTTTGACTTTTACAATAACGTCTATGTCGAACCAGCACGTAGCTTGTGTCTTTTTACCTGCTATTTAGTCACAAAAGGGGTTAGAGAGATGGCTCAGGAGTTAAGGACGCTTGTTGCTCTCTGGGAAACCCCAGGCAGCTCACAACCATATGTGACGTTTACAATCAATGTGTAACATGTGTACGTGTAATATCTTATAATCTGCTTTTTTACTTACAGAAAATGTGTGTATTCCCACACGGAGTGCCTAATGCTCAACCATTTTGACATCTAATCCACCGACAGACATTTTTCATAAAATTATTTTCCATTGTAGATATTAAATGATAATTAATAGGTAACTTAGAAATATAAAATTCTTGATTCTCTTGAGTTATTTTTACTATAATTCTCTGTAATGGGGTAACTAGATCAAAGTGTAATATACTATACCATTAGTATTTAAAATTTTTTCTATTTGCTTATTTTCACGTGTGTGTGTGTGTGTGTGTGTGTGTCTGTGCCCCTTTAATCCTAGCACTCAAGATGCAAAGGACAGGGGGGAATCTATGTAAGTTTGAGACCAACTTGATCTCCAGGACAAAAAAAGCCAACCCCTGTCTCAAAAAAGAAAAAGAAAAGAAAAGGAAAAGGGGGAAGGAGGAAAGAAGGGAAGGAGGGAGGAAAGACAAGAAAAGGCGATGTGGCCTGAGGGGTAGGTGCTTGTGTGCAGCCTTAGCTCCATTCCTGGACGCCATGTGCTGGCAGGAGAGAAACAGCTCCTGGAGTTGTCTCCTGGTCTCCACACGGTAGCTCACAACTCTACCTCTAATTCTACGGGACCCATTGCCCTCTTCTGACCTCCTTGGACACCCGGGCACACACAAACACATGGCACACGCAGGCAAACACATAAGATAAAAATTAAAAATCACTTTTTAAAAAAGGCATCCTCGCCTTTTCTTCTTTTTTTGGTGGTGGAGGGGAGGTCCCCATAAGCAGCTCTGGCCTCAAACTTGTGGGTGCTGGTATCACAGGCGTGACCGCCACATTGCTGAGGCTTTTCCTTCCCTCGGCCCCACCCTCTCTGTGGCAGGCTCCTCCAATCAGGATATGTCTTCTGGGCCCCCGCGGCTCTGGCAAAACTTTATGCGGAAGAAAGCTGGCGGAAAACTTCGGCATTTTTCATATTCAATTTGATGAATTTCTCCAAGAAAAAATGCTGCTCAAGGCTGAAAGGAAATTCGGACCTGAGTTTGAGGACGATTCCGAGGAGGAGCAAGCAACGAAGCAAGAACTTGAAGAGCTTGCAGTTCAGGCGAACGTGAAGGTTGAAGAAGAAAACACAAAGAAGCAGGTAACCTGGGGTGTTTGTAGCAGGTGGGTTCGGGGCACAGCCCCGGCTGCAGCAACCACAGCAGGTTGGACGCAGTCACCATCCCAGGATGCCAGCCAGAGGGACAAGGCCCACTGGGAAGAGAAAGGAGATTCAGTGTGCACAGATAGGGGGTCCGGTGGCCCCGAATTCGCCTTTGGGGTTCTGATCCACGTGGTTTAAACAGTCCTGGTCAATGTGTAGTCTTCTGATGGCTGCCTGCTCTGTTTCTGCAAGATGGTTCAGGGTCCTTGTTTGAGAGGAGATGCTAGGGTGCAGCTTCATCCAGTGTGGTGGATTCTGTTCCTGGAATCCAAGGTGACTACAGATTTAGGACAATGACCTCCAGGAACCTCAGGGGAGTCCAGAACAGGCAACTGTAAAAAGCTGAAAATAAGATGCCGCTGTGAAGGGGAATGAAATGGGTTACAAAGATCACATTTCTAGGTAGATCCTCCCTGAGGGAGGGGCATGCCCCCCCCCTCCCGTGTAGAGGTGAGTGGCACAAAATGACCTCCGGGGCACCAGACTCGGTCCTTCTCATTAACCTGTAAGCCCAAGTGAGAAGTCCACTCCTTCTCTTGAAAAGTGGCATCTATGTGCCTTGTATGCAATCACAGTAACTTCAAACTACAGAGACCCGAGGAGGAGCCACCATAAAAGTCTCCCTCTCCGGGTGATATAGAAAGGCACTTCTCACCTAGCGTGGGAAATGCTGTTTTATGTGGCAGTGATACACAGGAGTCAGGAAACTGAATCCCGCACTGAGTGCTTGTGTTTGGGACATTTCGTCTGGCGAATCTGAGCTACACTCTAATAAGATTTCCCGCTATTGGACTTTTTTTCCCTGGTCAGATAGTTTGTTTTTTGTTTGTTTGTTTGTTTGTTTGTTTTTTAAGTGCTCTGTAGCCGGTGGAGATTTTTAAATACTGATGTTCAGTGAAGCCTAATGGAAAATTTTATATATGTCTCTTAAATGCTTTCTATCTATCTGGGGTAGTGAAAACTAAGTTCTGGATTCTAATTTATTTTTTAAAAAATTCTGGTATAAGGAGGATATTTCGCTCTTAAATGTGACCTGCAAATGGCTTCAGACACAGTTACATAGCAAAATCCCTGAGCAGACAGACACGTAGTATCCCAATAGTAACAGGCACTCCCTCAGACAGAGTTTAAAAGTTTTGCACCTGTATTGTGTAGACAGAGAGAAAATGGTATTCAATGAACTTAATGTGTACTGGCCCAGGTTTTCATACATCGGTCTAGATTTTTTTTTTAATATAATAAAGTATTTCCTGCTTCTCTGCTATGGTCAGTTGACGCTGACTGCGTTGTTTTTGTAGTCCCGAATTGTTTGCATCTCAGGAGGCGCATGAAGGGGGTTTATTTTAGATAATAATAAAATGACAATCCTGCTTCCTGGCAAGCGTGATTTATCACATCTTACTCATTTTCAGAATCATTGGTGGTGAAAGTACTCAACAGAAATAGCTCCATTCCGGAACCCGGAGCTCGGCTCAGCCCTTAGGGCACTTGTTGCTTTGGCAGAGAATCCGGGTCTGAGTCTTGGCATCTGCATGGTGGCCCACAACCATCTGTAACTCCAATCCCAGAGAATCCAATGTCCTCTTGTGGCCCCATAGGCGACATACACACATGGTACACAGATACGCATGTGGGCAAAACACTCAGGCACGTGAAACATAAACATGTAAATAAAATTTTTAAAAAATAGGTTTATTTCAGAAATAGCTGACATTTTTTTTATTATCAGCTCACCTTCAGAGAAAGATCACCTGAGTTCTCTCTGTTATTGTGATGCTATATGCACCTCTTCCAGAATTTGCTTCGGGTCTATTTGTCCCAGCCTCTCATCCGAATCTGGCTTAAGGAGATAGAACTGTATCTCCTTATAGTACAGATGGCAAAAAAAATCAGTTAAACTTTACAGATGTGTGATGTGAATCAGGCCAAATTTTGAAGAAAAGAAAAGATGCATTACGACCATGACACCATATGTGAAAATCAATCATGTTGATTAGTGACTTCTCTTAGCCACGTTAGGTGCTTTTTAATTACTGAGTCATATCATATACCAGTGCACAGAGCTCAAGTTTTGAAATGTTTTGAAGTAACAGTATCAAAGCTGAACTCAGAGAAAAGCAAAGGTCTCAGTAACCAGTGTTGCAAAACAGCATTGCTGTGGGCCTGAACTCCTCTTATTTTGTAACTTGTGCCTTTAGCTTCCAGATGTTCAATTCACGGAAGAGGAAGAAGCAATCAAGCTGAGTCTAACGGAGAACGAGGCCCTGCCTTCGGAAGTTCTAGACCCCATCCTTTCCGAGTGGTGGCTTAAAGAACCAACACGGTGCCTCCATACACAGGGCTATGTTTCTTATTGGTTTATTTCCTTTGGTAAAACTATAGTCCAATTTATACCTATGAACTTGCTCTTATTCACCCATGTAAAGTATACATTAAAACACCTGATGCCAGAGATCCATCCCAAAAATGATTAAATCAGAATCTGCTGAGGTTTTAGTCCAGGACCCAGGCAGGCGCTGGTTTGTTTGTTTATTTGTTTTTAGATTCTAGGGCATATCTATAATTGAGAATGATCTAACCCCACATACCTTAGTGGTTGCTGGGCTCCCCCCAAAACCCCCCTCCCGTAACCCTGTAATGATTTCAGTCACAATCACTGGGTAGCTGTCCACTCTTAGCCCATCAGCAAATGTCCGAGTTTTTTTTTCTGTCTACTAGACTAATCCCGGAGAGTTACTGAGGGCTAAACTGAGGACAATGACAGAATGAAAGGTACCACGCCTTGCTTCACTCACGATAGTGGGAGGCAGGTAGAGAGCCTCCATGCATCCCGTCTGTCTGACAGCAAGGCCTGGTCATCAAGAGTGGGTTGTTTGCAGCACTAGGGGCCACCACCAATGTTGACTGTGTAATTCACAGATCATTCCTGAAGGACTTCGTTTAAAAAGGGAAGTGAATTAAAACTCGAAGTGTTTGAATGTAGAGGAGAGGACACAGAGGTGTGGACCTGGGAGCTCTTGTCAAACAAGTGGCACCAGGACATCAGGCAAGAAATACGTCCCTCCCTCCCAGGAGGAACTACACGGAAGGCCTTGCGGAAGACAGACACGCACGCAGTGTGGCCAGTTCAGGGAAAACTGCCTAGTAAATAAGAGAGGAGAATTAACATTTGAGAATTAACCTTTGAAGACTAAAGCAGTCAGGTGTTCATAAAAGTCTCATCTCATTTTATTGGGAAGAAAACATACATGTATTCATAAATTTATTCATTTATATATACATGCCAAAAAATTGTTTTAAACCAAGTGTATTACCGCTAAATGTTTGATTTGTAGTTATCTTACATACTTGTATATCCAGGCCACCTGAACATTTTCTAAAGCCTGAGATGGTGGTGCACACCTTTAATCCCTGCACTGAGGAAGCAGAGACAGGCAATCTTTGTGATTTGAGGCCACCCTGGTCAACATAGCAGGTCCCAGGCCAACCAGTGTTAGATAGTGAGACTTTGTCTCAAGGGGGAAAAAAAATCTCAAAAAAAGGGGCTGGCAAGTGGAAGATTAAAGAAGCATCAATATATGCAACTGAAATAATTTTTTAAATAATTCTCTAAGCTACTTATTATACATCTGATAAAGTCAAGATTCATCAACACATGTTAAAATCTTTGCTACATGCAGAGGAATGTGGGAGAATCCCTGGAGCTTTACGGCAGGCAGGGGGAGCAATCTGCAAAGGGACAAGAAGGGAGCTTGGTTCGGACAGATTTCCGTAGCTGGTGCTGAGCCAAGACTTCTTGGAGTCTGACTCCAAGCTCATTTATTTTTTTGCATAGCACGATTTAGGGGAGAAGTTTTCAGATAACAATCAACTCAGCTCTGTGAGTACAACTAAGCTTAAGACACGTTCACAAGATACGTATGACCTCATTCCCTGGGATGGGTTCCCTTCCCCGACAAACGCTGCTCACGATAAGGGAGAATGAGCGATCTGGGATAACACAGAGGTCACCCAGGCTCTAGTACAAATGGCATCTCTCACAAGGATGGGTCTTATGACACAGAAGTCATGCTCACGGCTTTAGGAGGAATGGCCTGGGGTAAGTGAAACATAAATTGTGGAAGAGATGGGCTAGTCTGGCTGCTTGAACAGCGAAAGATGGCCAGGTTGTAAACTACACCCATTCCCAGCATTCCATGCGGAGCAGGATAAACCTCCCTTTCCTTTGGAGTCAAACATCAGCAAGTTTAAATTCCCAGGCTTGTCTGTGTGCCCAAGCACGTTCGCCCTTTCCATCAATACATAGTATGAATAGACGTATAGTACAGTATTTTCATGTTTGGGTTTTTAAGTTATCAGATGAAATAATAACCCGTTATAACACTTTCATACATATGTATAGTTACCGTTTGCTGGCCCTGGTGCCACCTCGTTACCCTCGCTTACCCCTCCCCACCCCCACTGGCTTCTTGCCTCTCACCAGATGGTAGCTCTGCTTCCTTCCGTGTGCTAGCCATAGCATCCCACATTGGCAGCTAAGTGGCCGGGTAGATAGAAAGGGAGCCCTGAATGTCAGAGAAACGAGGGAATGCCTGTCTTTTGAGTGGGGCTTAGCTGTAGTATCTATGATGTTTTAAGCGAATTATGAAAATTTCCATGCAGCTCCACCGGCTTCATACTGGACGGTTTCCCGCGGTACCCCGAGGAGGCCCAGTTTCTAGGAGACCGGGGCTTTTTCCCGGATGCTGCCGTTGTCATACAAGTAGATGATCAAGACATCTTTGATCGCCTCCTTCCTGAGCAAGTTCAGAAGTGGAGATTGAAACAGCGCAAGAAATTAGAAAGGAAAAAGCTCATCAAAGACTTGAAGACAAAGATCAGGGTGCGTATCAGGGTCTCTCTATGTAGACCAGGCTGCCCTTGAACTCAGAGACTGCCTGTCTCGGCCTCCGAGTGCCATGAAGCTTCTCCCCCCCCCCCCCATTGGCTCGGTTTTTTGAGACAGGGTATCTCTGTATGGCTTTGCAGCCTGCCCTGCTCTGTATGTAGCTCTGTAGACCAGGCTGGCCTTGAACTCACAGAGATCCACCTGCCTCTGTCTCCCAAGTGCTGGGATTAAAGGCGTGCGCCACCACCACCCGGCTAGTTGAAGCTTTTCTGATCAACACATTAATGCTTCTCTTCCCAAATCCGTGGTGTCCAGGCCTCCCTCTGTGAGGCACAGGAGCAAACCGAAGGGCGCAAGAGAGGCAGCAAGTGCTGTAAGAGAGCCGGAGCTGCAACGCAGAGGATCTTGGCAGCCGGTGCCCAAGCTCCCTCCCACCACTACCTCTATCCCAGTTCTGCGGTCGCTGGGCTCACACCAGTGCTCTTGTGCTGGCCCACCAGTGGCTTGCCTGGATTGGTCTCTGTACTCTCCAGTCCATCCTTCCAGCTACTCGCAGACCAGCCTTGTACATGTCTGTCTGAATCAAGCGTAGCTTCAGGGTCTGGACACCCAGTCCTGTTCCAAACCCATTTCCTAACGATATATTTTGGCTGCAGTAAATGCAAGCCCTTCGCCTCAGCAGCCACACCAGCTGCTTCCGGGCTTCCTCCTCCGGGAATCTCATGCCCTAGGTGACATCGCACAGACCTCTCTGGATTCCTATTAAATCACCCTGAGTGGAGGCCCCTGCCTGCCTGCCTGCCTGCCTGATACGGTATTTTGAGAAGAAAGTGAAAGAACATACAATGCCCAAGGCAGCGCCCGCCTCTGGCAGGCACGCTGTAATTAGTTAAACTTTGAGCCAACCAGCACCCAAACTCTGGAGACCCTGAAAATAGGGCATGGGCATTCACCCTCCGGCTGCCGTCTCCAACACGCGTGTGCTTTCCCATCTCCAACACGCGTGTGCTTTTGCACAGGTACGGCTGTGCTTTTAAAGACGTGTCCTTACTGTAAGCAAAAGAGATTTCTGTGAAATCGCATGTCCCCCACCCCAAACAAGCAAAGGTACAATCCACCTGGAAGGGAGCTCTAGGACAGAGTGACTGGGCCTCCAGAGCGGCTTATCCCTTGGGTGGGAGATAGCCAGGACAGGAATGCACTCCAGCCATCATCACCATCGTGTGTTTCCCTGGAGCGGGTCCCTACCCTCCCTCCACACGCAAGCCCCAGCTTGAGAAGAGATTTTATTGTTTTTCTAATGTAAACTTGTAAATGCTTCTTCAACAGGAGGATATGATTGCTAAAAGAAGAGCTGAACTTATTTTAGAGAGAGACAGAAAAAGGAGAGGGGACGTAAGTAGATGATATTTCTTTTTTTCTTTTTTTAAGCATAACATTATGATCTCGAGATGCAACGTCTTTTTTTAAATTACCAGTAAAAGAAAATAGAAATTATAGCTAGATTCAAATCAGCAAATGACAAACACATACCCTTGGAAGAAGTCACTGTCACATTCTAGGAAGGAGGGACTGGGCAGCTTCTACCTCCTTCACTCTGCTCCATGAACTTCGTCAGCGACGGGGGCCACTCAAGGTGTCGAGAAAAGGCAACTGCCCAGGAGTGTAACGAGTATGGGTTTTTCCGCCCGCCACCGCTGGTCTTGTCCTGCCACCGCGCCAGCCCCAAATACACAGAGACTCTGTATTTGATACAATACTGTTGGCCCGGTTACTTGTTTCTTATTGGCTAGCTCTGCCTTAATTATTAACCCATTTCTGCTGATCTATGAATTTCTCTTACCGGGGAGCCGGCGGCATACTGCTTTCTCCAGACTCTCCATCTTGGCTCCTCCCTACTACTTCCTATTTCCTCCTTGTCTCCTAGTCCCTCCTATCTTCCTTTCCTATTGGCCAACAGTGCTTTATTATTAACCAGTATGAGAAACATACAGAATGACATCTCCCATCACAGGAGTATGTTAAAATTAGGTGTTTTTATACTCCTCCCTCAGAGCGCCAGGTGGCGACATATTTGCTAATAAACTAGGACATGGGGAGTTAGAATGTAGAAATAATCTGCCCTCCTCCCCAAGGGCTGTCCTCTGGTTAGCAGATTAAAAAATGAACAAACAAAAAAACTAAAAATAACCCTTCCAATACCAAAAAAAAAAGAGAGACGTGGGGGGGTTGTCTAAAGATGCCCCAGATTACTCTCTAAATGGACCCCAGGAGCAGCTTTGACAATTCAATGTAGGATTACAAAGCCATGCCAAGCATGTCTTGCTTTTAAATAAAAAAAAAAAGATGGTGGGGGGTGTTGTTGTTTAAGAGAGGAAACAAAAACTAACACTCACTACTTTCACTACTTTCTGATGATACGAAATCTGCCAGTACTAACAAACAGGGCAAGGGGCCATGCATTGGCCTCCCCTCTCGCGGGGCCTGTGGACAGGTGTAAGAAGTTGAGCAATCCTGGGGAAATAAGCTCTCCCTTTTAACCTTTAGTTTGATTTAAACGTGGCTTCAGTATGATGACGACACCGGCTGTGCAGAACAGGCTCTGGAAAGGCATCATGGCGGACACACTGGCTCTTCTGTGCTAGATAGAGGCAGCGGGAAGGGCCAGTTCTCTCTTCCCGCTATGTGGGCTGATGACTTCCCGTGCATTAACTCGTCCGACACTACCTGTGTGCTAGGTAGTTTCCATTCCACAGTCAGGGAAACTGGTCTTCCAGTTGACAATGCTGCTGGTGCTGCTGGTAGTATTTTATCATCTCCAAGCTGTATTAAATATTATTTCTAAAACTATTTAAAAAAACACACAACATGACAACTATGAGCATGAGTGGCATATAGTATCTTGTCTTTTTGTTTGTGGGACCATCATAGTGTCAGTCTTAAAACCATTAAGTTCTGGGTGTTGGTCATGACATTCTGTTTGTGTTTTTTGTTTTTGGGGTTTTTGGTTTGGTTTGGTTTTGGAGGGTTTGTTTATTTGGTTTGGTTTTTTTTGTTTTGTTTTGTTTTTTTTGTTTTTTGTTTTGTTTTTTGTTTTTTGTTTTTCGTCGAGACAGCTTTGGAGTCTGTCCTGGAACTCACTCTGTAGACCAGGCTAGCCTCAAACTCATAGAGATCCACCTGCCTCTGCCTCCGGAGTCTGGGATTAAAGGTGTGTGCCAACAACTTTCGGCCGGTCATGGCATTCCTACTGCATCATGAAGTGGGAACTCACAGAGATAATAAAAACTCACAAAATCCAGAGACGGGTTGAAACTGCCTCTGGTCCCAGGCTGCCTCTCCGCCATTGGGTCTCCTCTGCCCCATGCAAGAGCCCACCCTTAAAAGCGATCCCATCCATCCGCAGACAGAGGCCGGGACTCTAAGGCAGGCACCGAAAAATATCGGTGTAATGAATTCTCAAAACAGCATCACCATCCAGTATGAGGTCATTACAAAATATCGCTAACAGCGCCGTCTGCCGCAAGCTTCACACAGAGAGTAAAGGGACCATTTCTTCTTCCCTAGGGTGTGTTCAGGGATGATGACGACTTTAGTGACGACGTGTCGGATGAAGAGGATGACATTGAAAACACCCTTGAAGAGGAGTTTCCCAAGGACGAGGAGGAGATGAGTGAGGAAGACGAGGAGCAGGAAGGGGAAGCAATTGAGCGTCTGCGAAGCGAACTGGGGGAGAAGTTTGAGACAAACATAAGTAACCTGCAGATAATACAGGTTCTGGCCCTCCCTTCATCGCCACTTAAAAAGCAACAATCAGGGATGCAAAGAGGGGGCGTGTGTGTGTGTGTGTGTGTGTGTGATATTTCAAAAGAACATTTTAGGGGAGCAGGCCCTTGGTCAGCATCGCCCAACAGTTTCGGAATTCACAGATCAGCATGGACGCCTCCAAGGTCAGAGTGGGGTCATGACCCTAGTGGCAGCCCCTTGTAAAGCTAAAAGATACTTGTCTTGTGTGATTATTTAGTACCAGCTGTATCTATTTGCTGTAACTGAGAAACACTAAATATATCAAGCTTTATAATTTCTCTTATCAGGAAGAATTCGAGAAGTTTCTGATACCAATAATTACAGTTAACGGAGCTAGGAAAATTCACATTGTGCAATATGTACTGAATTTGAAATTGAAACCACTAGTGGAAAATCGGGCAAGCATTTTTGAAAAGTGTTATCCAGTGACGGCACACCTTGCTCATAAAATGCTGGCCTTTACCTACAAATACATGAGCTCGTTTGGCTACTGGGACCCCGTAAAGGTAATGTCAAACAGTTCATATGAAAACCGTCTTGCCCATCTCATCAAGTTGTTTAGGAGAATGCAGTTGTTTTGAAAAGCCGTTAGTACTGTGTAAAGCAGTTACGAAAATACTTGGGGGGGCTGAAATGGAGCCGTCTAACTTGCGTCTTTGCTTTTGCTAAAAGGCACAGAACACAGAACTGACACCCTGCCCCACCTGAGTCTCTTTGCATCCCTAACATTTACTTCCAGTCAGCCAGGAATTCCGTTGCGGTGTAAGAAGGAATGACAGTGCTGGTGGCATTATTGACAAGTCACTGTTCCGCAGTAACGCTCACCGGGAAGCAATGGGACTGTCTCCGTTAGGGTTGCTGTGAGGAGACCCCGTGGCCACAACAGCTCCCATATGAAATCATTTAATCGGGGCTGGCTTACAGTTCAGGGGTTTAGTTCATTTTGTTCATGGTGGCATGTGCAGCATGCATAATAAAAGCGCAGAGACAGATATTGGGGTTAAAGCTGAAGATCAGAAAAGCAAAGCAGCCAAGCTACCAGAGAGTTCTCACCTCTACCAAGGCTCGGACCGAAAGGGGGGACCCTGTCCTCAGGGTGACTGCAGATGAATACACTGTGCCCCTGCCTCCCCGCCTGATACTCCTCTGTAGTGCTGGGATCAAAGGCCTGCGCCACCACCGCCCAGATTTCCATGGCTAACTAGTGTGGCTGCTGGGATCAAAGGCCTGCGCCACCACTGCCTAGCCTGTGTGTCTGACTAGTGTGGCTAGCTTTACACTCTGACCTTCAGGTAAGCTTTATTTGTTCGATCATGAACAAAATATCACCACAGGTGTGCAGGCAGACATGGTGCTGGAGAAGGAGCTGAGAATTCTACACCTTGATCCATAGGCAGCAGCAGGGGTCAATGTCACACTGGGCGTAGCTTGAGCACAGGAGACCTCATACATAGTCCACCCCTGACACTGACACACTTCCTCCAACAAGACCACACACCTCCTAACAGCGCCACTCCCTGTGGGGGGGGGGCTTTACCTTTCACACCACACAGTGACTAAACTGTTTCACACATACTCTGCCGTCTTCAGGAAAGACATGCATGTTTCTCTAGTGCTGTAGAAAGATCTTTGAACCTAACATCAATTAATTATCCACTCTTCCTACCCCGTTCCCCCATTCCATACCCATAACTTAGGCTGTCTTTGGTGGGTGTTTTATATTTCAGGGCTGTTGTTAATGGTGTGATAGGACTTCACCTGTTACAGAAACATGAGAGAAACCCCTCTATACTAAAAGATGATCCATCAATACCACCTGTATTGCCCATTTCAGATAGTATAGTAAAACTTGAGATGGGGCAGGTTAACCAGCATAATTTATTTTTGAGCAGTTCTAAAGGCCTCCCATCCAAGTACTAACCAGGCCCAATCCTGCTTAGCTTCAAGACCAAGGACATTCAGGGTGGTATTGCCATAGACCAATGGTTCTTCAGGATGGTATTGCCGTAGACTAATGGTTCTTCAGGATGGTATTGCCATACACCAATGGTTCTTCAGGGTGGTATTGCCATACACCAATGGTTCTTCAGGGTGGTATTGCCATAGACCAATGGTTCTTCAGGGTGGTATTGCCCTAGACTAATGGTTCTTCAGGGTGGTATTGCCATAGACTAAATGTTCTTCAGGGTGGTATTGCCGTAGACCAATGTTCTTCAGAGTGGTATTGCCATAGACCAATGGTTCTTCAGGGTGGTATTGCCATAGACTAAATGTTCTTCAGGGTGGTATGGCCATAGACTAATGGTTCTTCAGGGTGGTATTGCCGTAGACCAATGTTCTTCAGGGTGGTATTGCCGTAGACCAATGGTTCTAAAGGTTAGATGTGTTCCTAGAGGCAATAGATCAATGTGTTGACAGACGGTGCCTCCTCACCTTGTCTGACAGTTGACCTTCTCACAGGGTCCCTCATGTGGAGCTTTCTCTGTACATATCCATTGTGTTTCTAGCCCCTGTTTTAAGGACTCCAGCCTTTTACTTATCCTTATGACCTCATTTTACCTTAATCACCCCCATAAAGGTCCCATCTCCATATGCAGTCACATTGGTAACAAGAGTTCCAACGTAAGGACTGTAAGGGACAGGAGCAATGCGATCCACAGCATCGCTGTAGAAGTGGATATGTTTGCGAGGATAAATTAGTTCACTAATAAGTGTAATAATCTATACCGTCTGTGAAAACCATTCAACATAAGCATGAGACATCATGAAGGAAATAGACTGTAATTGTCATAAGCTAAAAACCAACCAGAAAACATTACACCTTCATTTTGCATACAGTTACTTTGTTAACTTTTGTAACTAGAATTGTTTGACTATGTAAGAAAAAAATACGTTCTTATATTTTACAGATTTTTCAAGTATGTTGAAGGAAATGCTTTATAAATTAAATCTAACTTGTGAACTCAATCATATTACAGCTAAGCGAAGGAGAGACGATCAAGCCTGTGGAGAATGCGGAGAACCCTCTTCACGCTGTAATCCATCGTCAGTATATTTATTTTTTATCCAGTAAACAAACTAAGGAAAAATTTATGATGAACCCAATCAAATACATCCGGCAACCCAAACCCAAACCTACTATGCCTGTAAGGATTATGATTGTGGGGCCTCCCAAGTCGGGAAAAACTACAGGTGAGGGGCTCTGAAACCACGCCCCCAGGAGTGCCTTGAGATTAACGTGTCCAAACCATTTCTTAAAGCTTAAAAAGGAAATCCTGGTAGACCCAGTGCTGGGCTTTTCTTCTGTGCAGACTTCTTATTGCTGCTCCAGTCCCATTCTTTGTCATTAATTCACTTCGGTTTTTCATGGCCTCTTGGGTAAAATGTGGTAGGTTATATGGGTCCATAAATTCACTCATTTCATCTAGATTTATAATTCACTGATTAAGGAGGGGGTCTCTGCAACCTCCATGGCCGGCAGAAAGATGATCTGTGGGAAGCAAGACGGTGGTAGTTCAGTTCAACACAACTCAGTAGCTGGGGTTAGTCCAAACTTCCGGCGTCTGACCCCAATTAGTCTATTTTAGGTATAGTTAAACACAGCACAATTCTGGCGGTAATTAACCAATCCCATGTGCATAATAAAGTATACATGAATCTCTTTGACGAACAAAGTAAACTAAACACAGGTTCAGGCTTGACTACAACAAAATTCACTGTGAAGGCTATAAAGATGGGTTCTGCAGATTGACTTGAACAAGAAAAGCTTATGATAAAGTCTGGGGAAAGATCTGCTGTGGTGTCCAGCCACACAGATAGTGCAAAAGTCACCAGGCCATTAACCACATGGGCAGATAACAAGGTGTGCATCCCTTCCCTCGAAGGAAAACCCTGTGTGCTTAACATTCAGGTTCTGGTGTTTATCCATGCCTCCTACAGTATATAGATTTTCATATCACTCCCTAATTATCTATGAATTACCGGGGATCTGTTGCACTATTCAGTTTCACCCTTAATTTTATTTATTTGGGCCTCTCCACCTTCTGCTTATTTTCTCTAAAGGTTTGTCGTTTTTGTTTATCTTTTTGAACAACCAACCCTTTGTGTTATTGTTCCTTTGTGTTGTTTAGTTTCTGTTTTGTTTATTTCTGCCTTGGTTTTTGTTATTTCTTTCCATCTGCTGGTGTAGTTTATTCCTATTTTTTTTAAGAGTGAGATAAACATTAGATTGTTCAATTGATAGCTCTGGTTTTAAAGTGTAAATACTCATAACTACAAATTTTTCTTACAGTACGGATTGTGTGTGTGTGTGTGTGTGTGTGTGTTGTTTTGTTTGTTTTGGGTTTTGTTTTTTTTTTTGTTTGTTTGTTTTATTTTAGCTTCTGCTTTCATTTCATTTCCCACCGGTTCTAGTAGCTGTATTTCCATTTGCATGTGATCTGCAGCTTCTTCATGTTCTCCTTCAGTGACACACCATTCACTCAAAGCCTGGCTTAGTCTCCACGTGTTTGTATAATGTATGTAGCTGTTCCTCCTCTAATTTCTAATGGTTTCCCTTCTGACCTGAGACACTGGGAGTTATTTCTGGTTTTGCATTTGTTAAGAGCTGCTTTGCAGCCTCATACATATCTATTTTGGAAAACCTTGGATGTGCCTCAGTTGGTCTCTGTTAAGTCCATTCTCCCTATAGCAGTGGTTCTCAACCTGTGGGTCACAACCCCTTTGAGGATCCCATATTAGATATTTACATCATATTTCATAAAAGTAGTAACATTACAGTCATGAAGTAGCAACAAAAATAGTTTTATGGTTGTCTTAGGGGTTCGATTGCTGTGAAGAGACACCATGACCACAGCAGCTCTTATAAAGGAAAACATCTAATTGGGGTGCTCACTTACAGCTCAGAGGTTCAGTCCATCATCATCAAGGCAGGATGCAGGCAGACTTGGTGCTGGAGAAGAGGCTGAGAGCTCCACATCTTCATCTTCAGGCTTCATGTAGAGAAATGACTTGAGCTTGCTCAAAGCCCACCCCCACAGTGACACACTTCTTCCCATAAGGCCACACCCACTACAACAAGCCACACCTCCTAACAGTGCCACTTCTTATGGGGGGGGGGGCATTGTCTTCCAAACTGCCACACAGGGGCCACCACAACACGAGGAACTGTATTAAAAGATGACAGCTCTAGGAAGGTTGAGAATCGCTGATCTATAGCATACTTTTAACCCTGTTGTTAGTTTGTTGTTGTTTTGTTTTTTTGGTTGTCTTTTTCTTTTTCTTCTCCTAGATGATTTATTATCTATTGGCGACAGCAAGCTACTATTGTTGCACTGGAACCAGTTTTTCCCGTTTTGTCGGTAGTGTTTATTTTTTGGAAGTGGTGCTCTGACATTATGTGCAATCCTTGTATCTCCTTGACGGATTAGTTGCTTTCTTATCACTGTGACAATTACTTGGCAGAAGCACCTCCAGAAAGAAAAGGTTGGCTTTGGCTCACAGTTTAGGGCGTCCAGTCCATGCTAGTGAGGGAGGTGCTTAGAGCTGCCATGACTCCACATCTCAGCAGGTCAGGAAGCTCAGGGCTCAGACTAAAAGCAGGACGGGGTGATGATTTGAAAAGTTCTGTCCCCAGTGACCCCAAATATTCAATAACTTCCCAAACAGTGCCAGCAGCTGGTGACCAAATGTTTGAGTCTATTCCTTTTATTTTTTTTTAAAAAAGTAGTTATTTGAAAATTTAATGCAATGTGCATCGGTTACATTCAGACCCACCCCTGCCCCCATTCCCTACCCTCCCAGCTTAATGCTGTTGTAGATTATCCAGAAGAAAAGACTATTCCTGGATGTGGAAGTCTTTACTAGCCAGTCTGTTTTCATTTTGACTGGTGGAGACGTTTATGTGCTGTGCGTCCATCATGGAGTGGGTTGAGCCCAGATCTGTTACTGTAGTTGGAGTTTCTTGTTCTGCCTTGTTCCATAGCCGTTTAGCCCCAAGTAAGCACACAGACACTTATATTAACTGTAAACTGTTTGGCCAATGGTTCAGGCTTCTTACTGGCTCGCTCTCTCTTAATGATACCCATTTCTATTAATCTAAGTATTTCCACGTGGTCTCATCTTACTGGAGACACTTGCTCCCTTAGCAGCTGCATGGCATCTCTCTCGAGACTTCTCTCCAGAATTTTCCTTGTCTCCTGTCTCTCCCAAGCCAGAAAATGCCCACCGCATCCTACCTTTCCTGTAGCTGCGTGGCGTCTCTCTGGCGTCTTCTCTCTGCCTCCTCTTCCCAGAATCCTCCTGGTCTGGAGGCCCCGCCTATCCTTCCTGCCTGGCTACTGGCCAATCAGTGTTTTATTCAACAACCAATAAGAGAAACACATATACAGAAGGGCATCCCCCATCATGTTACAGTGCATAGCGTACCTTTTATCAAATGTGACATGACTAATTTGGCTTGAGGGAGGCCTGTTTGGTCAGATATGAATATAGTGTTACTCTTGCATGCTTTCAGATTCCATTGCTTAGAATATTGTTTTCCATCCTTTCGGTCTGTGCACACCTTTGCTGGTGAGTGAGTTTCTTGCAGTCAACAAATTGTTGGGACTTGTTTTAGTCCAATCAGTCAACCTGTGCCTTTGAAAGGCACGTGACACTCCTACCCAGTTTTGTTTCCTTTATAGTTATTTTGAATAACCTGTGTCCATTTCTGCTTTATTGATGCTAGAGTTGGGATGCTTCCCTGAACTGCAAGCGTCCAATGTGTTTCTAATTCTCGTCTGTCTGCTCTACCTATTTAATGACTTCTACCTAGTCTATCCAATGACTTCCATCTATTCTATTTCATGACCTCTATCTATTCAATGATCTAGTCTAGTCTAGTGGGCTTTGGTTACCCTCAGCTATAAAGTTTTTTTTTTCATGCCACCCAAATATCAAATAAACTCACAGGAAAAAAAATTCTGTCCCCTAAGCTATAAACCTCTATTAAATTATAAAGCGGGGGAAGGGGAGGGGGCTAGACAATGGCTCAACAGTTAAGAGCACTGGTTTCTTTCCTGGAGGACCAGGGTTCGATCCCTAGCACCCACATGGCAGCTCTAGTCATCTATACTCCAGTCTCAGGAGACATGCAAACATGTGTCTGACCTCTACAGGTACTGCACACACATGATGCACGGACACATACAGGCAGAGCACTCTGTGTGTGTGTGTGTGTGTGTGTGTGTGTGTGTGTGTGTGTATAAAATGAAAAATGTCAAGTGTGCCTTTACAGTTTTTAAAAGACTATTTCCCAGAATGTTGACTGAGACCCATACTCAGTCTAGGGTTTGCTATCCTCACTGCAGCATGGAATTTGCAGGTGGATTGGGGGATGGTGCCATTCTATCAAGTGGGATCATTATGTTGTTTTCTTTGACAGCACACTGAACACCAAGTGCACATAGGATTACTGAAATGCCTCCCCCAAATTTGCTACATCATGCAGAAAACAAATTGCTTAAGCATTGGTTTGGTTATAAAAAGAAAAAGAAAACAGATGGGGACTGGAGAGATGGCTCAGCAGTTAAGAGTGCTGACTGCTCTTTCTGAGGACCTGAGTTCAATTCCCAGCATCTACACAACAGCTCACAACTGTCTGTAACGCCAAGAACTGACACCCTCACACAGACATACACACAGGCAAAACATCAACACACATAAAATAAGAATTATTTTTAAAAAGGAGAAAAGAAGAAACCCATTTGGTTCATTAACCAGATTCCAAAGTCACAAACCTGAAATACTGCCAACAACTTTGACAATTGTGTGAGGAATATGAAGATTCGCTTGCAATTGGTGCCATTAGCCAGAATCTGAAAGTAGGGTTCACTGACGGATGTGCGAATTGAAATGGGCTTTATGTTTTATGTTTTCCAGTTGCCAAAAAGCTCACAAGTGAATATGGCTTAAAACGTTTGTCAATAGGAGATGCCTTGCGTAGCATGTTAAGCAATCACCCAGATACGGAGCTGTCACTCATGATAAATTGGCACCTTCACAAAGGAATGACAGTGCCTGATGCTCTTGCTATTCAGGCTTTAGATATTTCCCTCATGGAAAGTGTGTGCAACACTATAGGGTAAGTGAGCTGGGCAGAAGAAAGGGGAGAGTAAATAAAAAGGTCTTGTAGACAGACGTGTTTGCTGTGTCTGTAAAGGGAAGAGAACGATCTACTTCTCAGACTGAGCACTTGCATGGAAACATTGTCTTTTTCTGTCAAGACTCATGGCTTGAACTCATGGCAGATTAGCCCACAGACCTCATTACTCCAGCTGTAGCAACTCCTGCACAGTCCATAGACGAGGCCAGTAGTTCTTACTCCTCCACAAACGAGGAAGAGCCCTTCTCAGTCCCACACACATGTTCCTCTCAGGCCCAGGTCCCCTTACAGGAAGCATCCCTCCAGTGATTCCCAAATCACACGAGAACACTGACTACTTGGTTCCGTCTTCAGTTCACTGTCCGTTACAGCCATCGGTCACAGTGAACCCTCATGCTCTTTGGTCTTGAGTCCAGGTCACTGCCTTCCCAGATGAGGGCAACTTTGGTTGAGTCACAGGTGTATTTGGTCTTACTTCCAGGACAAAGGCTGCTCATCTACCCTAGGTTCATTTCCCCAATCCTGAGAGCCACTCAAATGACCCTTCCCAGGGTAAAGAAGTAACTACTTTCTGTTTAAAAGGAAATTGTCGCTCTCCTACAGACTTCTACCTGAGGTGGCTGTGGTATTTATCATCTCTGTTGGGAGACTCCTAGCTAGAGCCTGCACTTTGTTGAAGAGCATAGGTGATTGTGCTCTGCCACTCAAGACATATAAGTCTTACTGATGGCCACCAGACACATGGCCAGCTTGTGCCTTGTCTATGAGGCCACTCTCGGCATTTCTGGATTCTTTTACATTTTCATTTCCTTTCAGTTTGACAGGCAGTCTTGTCATCTCAGATCATTGCTCTGTAATTCTCATATCTCCTGCTCACAGGCATGTGTGGTGGCCCTCACAAACTCCCCATTTGTGCATGCATTAATAACACCAGGAATACACAGTTTGCAAGGTATAGTGGGTGTGCCTGTCAGATTCCACCAACACCTGCTTGTGTGGTGCTGAGCACGTAGACGTGTGGACGTGGACCTCCTGCCTCCGCTTTCAAAGCTGTGCGCGTGTGTACTGCCTACCTCATGGTGGCCTAAGGGTGACTACGGGTTAGGATGTAGAGACAAAGAAGAAAAAAGACAAAACAAACATCAGCATCATAAGGGAAAGCCTAGGGAAACTCAAAGGCAGAGATTTGTTCTGGAAGACGCAAGGGAATCATGGGAGAAAAGGCATGAGGAATTTTTGTTTTTCTGTCTGCCTGTCAGTGTGGTCATTGATGGCTACCCTGTGACCACAAACCAGAAGAATCTCTTGGAGGAGAGGTCAATCATTCCCATGATCATCTTTGAGTTGGATGTGCCGTCCAAGGAGATTTTCAAAAGGTTGCTTTTAGAACGGAAGATGGAGCAAAGGTAATCCTCATGAGGGAACTGTGGGGAGGAACGGGGTGACCGTGGCCATCTGTACAGGGGGTGTCGCGGGCCTTCAACAGCTTCTCTGCCCCTTCTCCGCTTCCTCCTCAGTACGCCTTATCCACTGCACAACAGCACACAGATTATCGCCTATAAGAATGCCAAGTACCGTAAAAATGTCAGTGAGATCAGGCAATTTTATCAAGAACAACATCAAAACTGGCATGTGATTGATGGATTTCACAGTAAGTGGTGGGTATGGAACGAAGTCATTAAAGACATCCAACAGATGAATAAGTACATACAGATATACATGGAAAGAATAAAGGAAGGTAAGAAAGCTTTATTATGTATATGTGTGTACATTTGTGCGTGCAGGTTCGTGTGTGTGTGTGTGTGTGTGTGTGTGTGTGTGTGTGTACAGGTGAGTATGACAGCCAGAGGACCACATCAGGTGTCTAAAGAGAGGGAGGTACAGAAGCCCAGCAGGACATTATCAGACCGAATGATGCATCCACAGCTCCATGTGCAACACAATCTCAAGAGTTACCTGGGGAGATCTTGACCTTATCACACACAGTTTGACCTCCTGGGCCTCTTTTAAAATCTTAGCAGAAGCTTCCACAACCCTATAAGTCCCTCATTAGTCATGCCTGAAATAGTGGCATTGCTAGGCTAATCATTCATTTACTGTCTACCTGTGTCAGGCTGGCCTCGAACCCTGGCTTCCTGACTGCCAGGGTTACCGCTCTGCACCACCACACCCAGCAGGTAGCCTGGTCTTCTGAGGGAACAAGCCTTTTAAGAGGCAAGGAAGCTGAGACTACCAGCATGACAGAAAACCTGGCCTTTTGGAATTGTGTTCGTTTCTTAGGGCTGCTAGGCAAACAGTGGATTGAATGACAGAAGTGTATCGTGTCATAATTCAAGAGGCTAGAAGTTCAAAATGAAGGCGTTGGCAGCTGCTTTCTCTGAGGACATTGTGGGAGGACCTGCTCCGTGCCTCCCTCTCTGAATCCGGAGTAGCCAATAGTCATTGGCTTGCGGAGTCACCACCACAACCCTGTCCCTGTCTGCACACCATGCTCTTTCTCTATCACATCCTGCTCCTCTGTGCCTTTGTCCATCTGCCTCAGCTCTCAAACAAGGCTGCATTCACAGGGGCTACGAGTACTTGAATGTCTCTCTTGAGAAGACGCAGTTCAGCCCACAAAACTAAATAGTCCTGAGGTATAGATCATGTTTGCTTGTTTGTTTGCTTGCTTGTTTGTTTGTGTTTGTTCCAGGCAGGATCTCACTATGTAGTCCTGGCTCGTCTTTAACATCTTTAACGTACAGAGATCCACCTGCCTCTAGCTCCAGTGCTCTGGGATTAAAGGCGTGTACTTTTGGTATATCCTTTTTCACTAGAAACAAACACACACATTCAGAGGGAAGCTATGCTAAGCTATGCACGGCACAGGGAATGGGCCCACAACAGTACCGGAGATATGACGGGGCAGCCCAGCCTGTGCCCTGCAGAGACACTCACGATAAAATGGCCCGGTGGGACCAATCAGACTCATGTCCAATCGGTGACAATCAGTTAGTCAGTGGCACAAGCAGACTTATGTTCAAATTAATGGAGTAATTAGGAAAATTAGGTAGCAAGTATGGACATCACCCTGTCTCAGGCAAGCAATGCTGCTCCAGGGACCCCTGGCCTCTGAGAGATACAAAGAAAGCTGTCAGATTCTGTCGGTTGCTACTCTGAACTCCTCTGAGTGGACCAGGACCTAATGAGGTGGCCACCGTTCACGGCTGGTATCCAATTTTGTGGAGCTCAGAAGTAGAGTGAAAGTGTCTAATTCACTTTTGTTGACTCAGTTGAGTCACAGGCTTTTCCACTTGCAAAATGCTGTACTCTAGCAGTGTACAACTTGAGGACCTTTCTGGCAATGGTTCTGAGGTCTCACTGATCATTGCTTGCTTTCAGGAGGTCAGTGGAAAATGACAGCCAATAAGACAATGTCCCTCAATGTCCACCTCATTGAGGGAGGGCTATGATTGCTGGACGGGCAGTTAGTATAAGAGCTGTGTAGACAACACTTGTTAGAAAATAGATGTATGTGTGTGCCTGTTCATACAGACGCATGTATATGTAACTATTGTGTGTATGTGTGTATATATATGCATATGGTATATGCATATATAACTATTATTTGTTACACGTATATAGTTAATGATATCTAAAAACTAGAATGAAAATGTACAACAAAGAGAAATATTTAAGTAAACCACATATACAATTTTAGTTACATGCATAAGTTCAGAGTCATATACTGCTGTTTTATATATTTGTGTAATAGAACACAAGGAATTGGGTGGCTGGGCATGGCAGAACACCACTTTAGTCTCAACACCCAGAAAACTGAAGAGGTGGACCGTGAGGTCAGGGCCGCCTGGGATGCACAGAAGCAGAACATGTCTCCTTGGACACAAAAACAAACCAAGATGAAACATATCGAAAGAACTGGGTCAACAGAGAAAGTTGCCAAAGGCAAATGTATCGATATATATGTGTGTATGTATAGAAAAAAGACTAAAAAGGACATAAATGCAGCGGTGAGCACCTCTTATGATGGGTAGGAGGCTGAGAGGGTGCAGACATAGAGAATAATTTTTGTTTTGTTTGATTGCTTCCTTTTGAGACAGGTTCTCACTATGTAGCCCAGGCTGGCACACAATTAGTGGCAATCCCTCTGCCTCAGCCTCAAGAACACTGGATTTTAGGTGTCAACCACCGTATGCATTCATAGTGACTTTACTTTTTACTCTGTTGTTTGGAATGTAATTTTAGAATGTAATATAGTGGTGTCTAACTAAAATTACTGTAATTTTTGATCATTGCACTTCCTGTGAAATATGTAATAATTGATATGTTATTAACAGGGAAGGCTGCGTGCATTGACAAATTATGTATCACTCCGGAAGAGCTGATTTCTCGCCTGGGAGAGTTTGGACAGTTCTGCCCTGTCAGCCTAGCGGAATCTTACGAATTAATTGATTGTTCTGTAACTAAAAGCTTGGAATTTGCTGCAGAGTTCAGGGGACACTATTATAAAATGAGTTCTCAGGAAAATCTAAATGTAAGTTTGCCCCTTATGTAGGTGTTTATCAAGGAAAGAAAAGTGACTTATCTTGATGAGAAGAACAGGCACCCTTGGAAACAACCCAGAAAACTGGGACCAATAAAACCATCATTGGAACCCATGACTCTGGGATCAGTGAGAAACTCAAAGGGCCGCCCTGAGGCTTCCCCATCCCCCAGACACATTTAGGAGGCTTTGGCCAGTGGTGGGAAAGCCAGCAGCTGAGTCTCACCAAAGGAGGAGGTGTGAAGCATCCAAACTTAGCCTACAGGAAGACACCCAGGGGATTCAGCTTCCAGGGATGAGGGAGTAAAGCCAAGGCCAGTAGGAATGAAACAAGAGTTTGGCTGTTGCCTTCCATACTTAAAAACACAAATAAATACAACACTAGAATTTCCCAGTTATCCCCAGCATCTGTGGGGATTAGTTCCAAGACATCCCCTCTAAATGTGTCTAAATCTTTGGATGTTCAAGTACCAGGCAGGTAGCATTTACACACAACCTAACCTACACATTCACTCCCACACCCATTGGAACCCTGAGGGACGGCTTGTCATATGTAACACAATGTCAAAAGGCATGTTAATAGTTGCCATGCTGTGACGTTTGGAGAACTGTGCTGGGAAAGGGCAGACATGTCATTTCCCTGAACACACCCAGTGTGACTCTGAGGCCACAGAAGCCATGGATATGGACAATGGACCACCTGTAACCATGGATGCAAAAGTCTAACCACACATTGATTCCAGTTTTTGGGTGCCTGTGATTTGATGATACACAATGGTTTGTAACTGAAGGCAATAATGACAACTAACTTGAATCCTTTATTTTCCTCCAAAGAACGAAAGTTTTAATTTCTTTACTGGGGGTGCTTATTTCTCCCTGCTTATAGCACAATAACCACAGAATTTTTAAAGCATAAGTCCTATCAGATACTTTGTGCCCTTGCATTCTGCATAGCAACTACTGACACTAGAAAACCCTAAACGGCACGGGTAGACTGGCAGGCGACTAAGAACCCTCCCGTCTTTGTCCAGAGTTTGAACTAAAAAGTACTGTATTTCTGAGTAAGAAGAGACCTGTGATTGCTTGGGATTGTTACCCTGAGGAACTTCCCATGGGGGAAGTTACAGTGACTTCTCTCAGATGGGTGGAAAGGCTACTGAAATGGGAATTGAGCAGGCGGTCCGCCAGGGGCCGTTTTGATTACTGTATTATTGCTGTCATAAACGTTGTTGCTGCTGCATCTCTTCTCCTGACAGAAATTTCTGGCGAACCCAGAGTTGTATGTGCCTCCCTTGGCTCCGTACCCACTCCCGCCTGCAGCCATGCTCCCCAAAAGGCTGACCCTGCCAGAGCTGAAGAGTCGATTCCCTAAGTGTGCTGAGCTCCAAGGCTACTGCCCAGTGACTTACCATGACGGAAAGCAAAGGCAAGTCCTCGTATTCCCAGGACAGACCCACACCCCTGCTTAGTTTTCATTTGCGTACACGCGCGCGTGCGTGTGTGCAGGTGTGTGGGCATGTGTGTGTGCAGGTGTGTTGTGTGCGTGTGCGTGCATGCGTGTGTGTGCAGGTGTGTGTGTGTGAGAGTGCATGCATGTCTGTGTGTGTGCATGTGTGAGTGTGTGCATGCGCATGTAGGTGTGTGTGCGTGCATGTGTGTGTGTAGGTGTGTGTGTGTGAGAGTGCGTGTGTGTGTGTGTGTGTGTGTGTGTGTGTGTGTGTGCAGGTGCCCACAGAGGCCAGAAGACGGCACCTGGTCCCCTGGAACTAGACTTACAGGCAGCTGTGAGTCACCCAACATGGGGCATGCTGGAAACCCCAAATCCTGTCTCTTCAAGAGCGCCAAGTGTGAACATCTGAGCACCTCTCCAGTTCACAAAGAAACAATCTTATCGTGCTGGTTATCTAGGGAAACATTCCTTTCCTCCTTGAGCTGCAGAAATAGAAAAAGAAAACATTTTTGAATCTTGTTTATGTAGTACTACATATTAATGATACAATATTAATTACATACCTACATATATTAATCCCACAATGATTTTTATTTTGTTTTTCATCTTCAGATATGAAGCCTTGGTACCTGGTAACATTCAATATGCTGCAGAGTATCGTGATCGTATATTTATTTGTGAGAGTGAAGAAAAACTCCAGAAATTTTTGAGGTGAGATTACGCAACAATTGTAGATATCTATTATATCCTGTGTCCCATCTACTGTGCTTGGAACTGTGGGAGAAAAGGAAAGGGAAGGGAGGGGAGGGGAGGGAAAGGGAGGGGGAGGGGAGGGAAAGGGAGGGAGGGGGAGGGAAGGGACAGACAGAGAAGTACGTACTGATTTGTTCCTAATCCTAGGGCTGCAGGACATATGATAGATTTTTAGTAACTTGATAATAATGGAATATTATGGCCAGAAGGGTGAGGAAGGGCCTAACACCCTGGCATGATGGGGAATGGACTAGAATAAGGAAAAGTGCCAGATGCCAAGCCGATGCGCCTGCAGTCAACCTGCCCCTGGGGACCCGGGACCGTAGGAAAGTCAGCTGTCTGGATGTGATATAGGGGCAGGGCTGGAGAAGGTGAGTGTGGTAGAGTACAGAGGTCCAAGCAACACCACCAAGCAGCAATCAGACTTGATTTGACTCTACAAGCCACAGATGTGTGCTGTCTGCTTCTAGCCTGGGTCAGTGTTAGAATCGGTCTTACTTAGGACAGAGATCTGTGGGGTGTCAGGAAAGGGCTGGGGGCAGAAGTGATGTTCGGAGGTTAACAGAGTAACCTGTTACATCCTTAGGACCTTTCCTCTGCCGCTGGAGGAGGACAAGGGCAGAGGTGGAGGACCTCAGGGGAGAAGGCTGAGATGGGGGAGAGAAAACCTTCCGGAAACCCAGGGATTGGGCAGCTTGGGGCTGAGGTTCCTGGGAGACTGAGCCCCTGCGGGGTGGGGAGGAAGGGAACCTGGAGCAGTGGATGGGGCTCCAGGACCTGCCTTAGCCCTGAGGGGACAGAGGACAGGCTGCTGAAGAACAGAGAGAAACGGTGAGCACTCCACCCAAGGGCAGAAGCTGCTCTTGAGCCAGATGCTACTGGCTGTCACAAGAAGCCACATTTAAAGCCAAATCCCGTTACACCTTCTTATTATGATCGGCCAGTCATGAGTGATTGCACAAGAGAGAAGAGATCGCACAGAGTCTGAGCCTTAGCTCGCCATCTCTGGAGGCCCGGGTGTGCAGAAATCTTACTGTAAAAAGATGCGGGATATTAGTTGCTGGGAGAGACGTAGGACTGAAGTGGAGAAGTCGAGGTTACTATCGTCGCTGGTTTTCTTTACAGTCTTTGTTGTTCTGGGTTTGGGGGGACTTTTGTTTGTTAGTTGGTTGGTTGGTTGTTGAGACCAGGTCTTACTCTGTAGCCCAGGCTGGCCTGAAATGGACTCGGTAGTGCAGGCTAGCCCACTTTTGACCTCTGGGATTACAGGCCACCCACCATGTTTAGCCATTCTTTTCTCTTTTTTTCTAATGTGGAACTGTGAGCATGTTTAAAGGAAGCTGCATGGAAAGGGTCTGAAAAAAGCAGGGTGAGCAAGGGAGAGACCACCACCGTAATAAACCCAGAAAGAGGACAGTGCAGAGTCAGAGCATGTGGGGACAGCGCTTAGACTGATGGGAGAGGTCATTCTGTAAATATGTTTCTCTTATTGGTTAGTGAATAAAGCCCTGCTGGCCAATAGGAGAGCAAGATAGGCGGGACTAGGAGACGAGGAAGATTCGGGGATAGATAGATAGAGGAGGAGAGTCAACAGGTAGGACAGAGCGAGCAGAACTCCAGACCCTCTCTCCGGTAAGTCAAGACCACGTGAAAACACTTAGATTAGTAGAAATGGGCTAATATTTAAGACAGAGCTAGCCAAAAAGAAACGCTAGTAACAGGCCATCAGCTTTATATCTAATACTGCGTCTCTGTGTGTTATTTGGGGCTGGCGCGGCGGTGGGACCAGGCTGGGGGGGGGGGACATACTCGTAACTTTAGACAGGAGGTACCAGTACTGGGAGAGGACCTGTGTCTGCCTCTGTTCAGGATCAGCAGCTTCTGGAAGAAGTTCCATGCCCGTGTCCTCCAACAGGGGGCCAGTATCTGTTTAGGGGATGAAGGGACACTTAGACACTTCATTCCCAGCCCCCAGAAGGTGGAAATACAAGAGTTGGGTTCAGAGTGGGCTCCATGAGACCTTGTGGGAAACTGAAAAGCAAGAGACTCTTCTAGAAGCCCTAGTCATCCTCCTAGTATGCTTTTTCTCCAGCAGATAAGGCAAGCAGTGAGCCTTGTGTCTTTATGCACAGCATGGGGGGGGGTGAGCATGTGTCTAAAGAGCTTTGTGCCTGCAGGTTGCCAATGCAGTACTGGGACCAGAAGCTTCCGTGCAAACTTCCCCCGCTAAAGGAACCCATCTACCTTACAAGTCTCCCTCTGCCTGGATATCTGGAACAGGTTCTGTTTCATGGTTTTCTACAATACACATTACATTTGGGGTCTCTTCTAATAGTAGCTTTTGCTTTTATAACAGTGAGGTTCCAGGCAAAATTTCCCAGTTTTAAGTTGTAAATCACCTTCAGCTATTTCATTTATGGGTGGTGGTTAAAATGAAAGGTGTGAACTCAAAGCCAATGCCTGGAGCAACTCTGGACAGACAGAAGGGGAATGGGCTGTCTTAAACTGTCTGCATGTAAGCCGCATGCGTAGCTCTGTTCCTCCTCCTCCTCGTCCTCGTCCTCTCCTTCTTTTTAATGACTTGAAATGTGTTGGCTTCCCAAAGGCTAACTTATCCCACACAAGCATGAAGTCACAGTACCAGGCTAGGTGAGCTACAAAACCCATGTTTTATCGCGAATTTATATTAAACTATCTATTCAAATCACTTTTTTGTTCATCAAGATATAATTATTTTTAAAAGCAGTAAATTCATCACTAGTCAATTACTACTTCAAAGGTATTTAAATTTTGGATTATTATTTGTGTGTGTGTGTGCACTGCTCATGACGGGAGAGGTCATGTGCCATGGTGTGTGTGTGTATGTGTGTGTGTGTGTATGTGTGTGAGTATGTGTGTCTGTGTGAGTGAGTGTGTGTGAGTATGTGTGTGTGAGTGTGTGTATGTGTGAGTGTGTGTGAGTATCTGTGTGAGTGAGTGTGTGTATGTGTGTGAGTATGTGTGAGTATCTGTGTGAGTGTGTGTATGTGTGTGAGTATGTGTGAGTATCTGTGTGAGTGTGTGTATGTGTCTGTGTGTATCTGTGTGTGTGAGTGTCTGTGTGTGTGTGTGAGAGAGAGAGAGAGAGTGTGTGTGTGTGTGTGTGTGTGTGTGTAGCCCAAGTGACAACTCTGCAGAGTTGTTCCTCTCCATCCAGCTTTTTTTGTGCCTCTAGGATCAAACTCAGGCCAGCAGGCTGGTGCAGCACCTTTACCCACTGAGCACCTCACTAATCTCCTAAAGTTAATTATTTTTAGTTCTACAAAATAAATGTCAAAAGCACAGGTTTACAGCTTTGTGATAACTTCTACACCACTTGTGTTTATTTTTTTTTTTTCAATTTGCCTAGAAAGTTAGCTTTCAATGGCACATACCTGAGCTCCATAGCAAGACTCGCTCAAAAAAAAAAAAAAAAAAAAAAAGAAAGAAAGAAAGAAAAACTGAAAAAAAGATGAGGAGCAAGTTGGCTCCCATGTGACATAACAGCAACATGCCAGGGGGGAGTGTTGGCACAGGCCTGCTTTATCAAGAGGCCTCATTTGCCTTCACAGCTCTAGGAACTTGCTGCAGTAAAGCTGTGGTGTCTGGGATTCCTGGTCCTGTGACCCAGGATGCACACAGTGGGAGGAGGCAGGGCTACCAGTTCCAACAACACAAGCCAGATGAGCCGAGGGAACTCAAAGTCCCGCATCCCGTTCTGTCCTTTTAAGTTTATGTCACAGAAGATGTCAAACATGAACAGAGACCCTCAGACAACGGCACGCAGCCACCCTCACCAAGTGTAGTTTGTGTTTCTTTCCTGTTGCTTGGATGGTCATCTAACCGTCTCCATCCCTGGAAGAGTATCCAGTGAAAGCACTAAGACCTTTATCAACCTCCATTAGGAATGTGAACTCTGTTGCCGGGCGCTGGTGGCACACACCTTTAATCTCAGCACTCGGGAGGCAGAGGCAGGTGGATCTCTGTGAGTTCGAGGCCAGCCTGGTCTACAGACTGAGTTCCAGGACTGGTTCCAAAGACACAGAGAAACCCTGTCTCGAAAAACAAAAACAAAACAAAACCAAAAAGTATGTGAACTCTGTGCTTTGAAACCGACTTGATCGTCCAAGCACAGGGCCCAAGTAATTTACAGCAGAAACTCGAAGGGTGGAGATGCCCCGGCTGCTGGTGAAGACGCATGAACAGGTTCAATCAGCTGTACGTTTGGAAAAATAATACTTCATTAAATGAAAGAGAGAGAGCCCAGATGCACACTGACTTAAATCGTTTCCTCGCTGCAGGGTACAGCAACTTCCCTGATCAAAGCACTGAACGCAGCAGGATGCCTGAAGCCCAAGTTCCCCTTCTTGAGTGTGAGGCGATCTGTGCTTCTGTACATAGCATTGCATCTCAAAGGTATGTGTTTTAGATGACACTCCACTGGAGAAAGCTCAAACTGTACCAGCCCTGGTAGACCGGGCTGATATTCACATATGGAAAGGGGCAAAGCAAACACAGGTAGATGTGAAAATATCAACCCTAGAATGTCCAGCTTTTAAATGAAGAACTATAAACTGGGCCTGGCGGCACAGACCTGTAAAATCCCTACCTCACGGGAGGCCGAGAAGGGTTACAAGATCAAAGCCTGCCTAGGCTACGGAGTGAGCTCTAGTACAGTCTAGGCAGCTTAATGAGAGAGACCTCGTAACAAAAAAACAAAATTTTAAACCAGGCATTGTGGCACACACCTTTAATCCCAGAGCAGATCTCTGTGAATTCAAGGCAAGCCTGGTCTACATAGCAAGTTCGAGGCCAGCCAGGGTTGCACAGTGAAACTCTATCTCAAGATAACGCAGAGGTCTGGGGATGAAGTTCAGTGGTAGACACTGGCCTAGCTTATGTAAGCCCTTAGGTTCAACCCCTACCACCACAAAATTAATAATATAATAAATAAAATCAGGGTAATGAATAACATAGTCAGCACTCAAAAATCCACACCATAGAGAAAGGTGAACACGGGAAATTATGGTCTAAGATAGCAGGCCTTTAACCTTATCCGGGGCTGGAGGGGATCATCTCCCTCATAGCTGGGTGGCCTGGTTACACATGAAGTTCTGCTTCGTTGAATTACATTTACAACCTGTGACATTTTCTACAGCATTTAATCCCAAAGGTTCTGAATATTCAAGATTAAAATACAAGAAGAAGATGGAGAAGTTTATGGAGAGATGTGAACTCATAACATACCTCAGTGGCAAGATGACCCGGAAGTACAAGGAACCTCAGTTTAGAGCTATCGACTTCGATCATAAGCTGCAGACCTTTTTCTCCCTGAGAAACATAGACCCGGTTACCGGATAACCTGGGTAGCTTACCAAGACCCGAGTTCCCGAAGTCTTCTCCATAGAGGGCCCTAAAGCAGCAGCTGGAAGTCCTGTGTTCCCTGAAGACCTTACGTGGTTACCACCAGGCCTCAGACAGACTCAAAGCTCATCAGCCAGGAGGGCTCACCCTCTGAGTACCAAAGTGTTCATACAATTTTCAACTTTATTGCCTTCTTCTGAATGTTGATGCTCCCACGAAATAGGCATTCTGTTTGAGATATTAAAATGCTTACTAAATCTAATTTCTATTTTTTTTTTTTCTTTTTTGTTTTGTCTGCTTGCTTGTCTTTTGAGACAGGGTCTCTATACAAAGCCCTGGATATCCTGGAACTCACTCTGTAGACCAGACTGGCCCCAGACTCACAGAGATCCGCCTGCCTCTGCCTCCTGGGTGCTGGGATTAAAGGTGTGCGCCACCACCGCCCCGATGAAAACAAATCTTTTAAAAGTGTGGGGGGGCAGACTTGGGGAAAGAACGATGTAGTTAATAATATAACAATTCTTAAACAATAGCTAGAACATAGGACTGGAGATGAAGGCAGCTGGGAGATGCTTGCTTCATACACAGGAAACTCCCTTAACCCTTCACAGACAGGCGCGATCCGGCAGACAGACAGGCGCGCTCCTGCAGACAGACAGGCGCGATCCTGCAGACAGACAGGCGCGCTCCCGCAGACAGACAGACAGGCGCGATCCTGCAGACAGACAGGCGCGATCCTGCAGACAGACAGGCTCGCTCCTGCAGACAGGCAGGCGCGCTCCCGCAGACAGACAGACAGGCGCGCTCCCGCAGACAGACAGGCGCGCTCCCGCAGACAGACAGACAGGCGCGCTCCCGCAGACAGACAGGCGCGCTCCCGCAGACAGACAGGCGCGCTCCCGCAGACAGGCAGGCGCGCTCCCGCAGACAGGCAGGCGCGCTCCCGCAGACAGACAGACAGGCGCGCTCCCGCAGACAGACAGGCGCGATCCCGCAGACAGACAGACAGGCGCGCTCCCGCAGACAGACAGGCGCGCTCCCGCAGACAGACAGGCGCGATCCCGCAGACAGACAGACAGGCGCGCTCCCGCAGACAGACAGGCAGGCGCGCTCCTGCAGACAGACAGACAGGCGCGCTCCCGCAGACAGACAGGCAGGCGCGATCCGGCAGACAGACAGACAGGCGCGACCCCGCAGACAGGCAGGCGCGATCCGGCAGACACTCCTGCTCCAGCCCCAGCCCGTCCCTTTCCGGATCCCCTGCAAGCTCCGCCCCGGGGGCGGGGCTCCGCGGTCACGTGGCCCGGCGGCGAAGGTGCGCGCTTCCGGGTTGGCGATCGCGGCGGCGGCGGGGCCGGGGGAGCAGCGCCGGGCCCCGCCAGCCGGGTCCCCTCTAGGTGGCCGGGTCGGGTGGCCTGGGCGCGGCAGGACCCCGCCGGTAGGTGCGCCGCCCGGGGCGGGGCGGGGCGGGGCGGGGCCCGTGCCTTGGGGCGCTCGCGGGACCCGGGATCCGGGCATGGGACGGAGCTTGCAGCGCCGCTGCCCTGCACGGGGCCCCTTGCCGCGGGCGTGATTTCACCGCCGACCTCCCTCGCGCGCGTTCGCGTTCATCTTCCCCATCTTCGCTCCCGCAGACGAAAACAGCCAGTCACGTGTGGGACTGAAGCCGCGTAGCCCAACCCCAGCGTTGTGCAGCCACACTTCTAAAGTTTAGATACGAAGCAATGCAAGGGAGGAGGGCCGTGCAGATGTTTGATCCCGTTCCGTAATTTCCAGAAGCAATTCCAGACCCTAAGAGGTTCTGTGGATACTGGAGAGGCATCCGTGGCCGCGGCAGGGGGAGAACCCAAGGCTGGGTTGCTAAGTAGGCTTTAAAAGGTGGTAATGGCAACCTCTGGTTGGTTCTTGTCAGCAGAAAGGCAGCCTTGTTAGACGATACTTCTTCCTAAATAAACCTTGTTTTCTTATTTCAGATTTAAGCCTCTCAAGAGTCTGGAGAAAATGGCAGACACAGCCCCGGAACGTTCTGGGCAGCTAGTTGTGCACTCAGACACTCACAGTGACACCGTCCTGGCTAGCCTTCAGGACCAAAGGAAAAGAGGCTTTCTCTGTGATATTACTTTAATCGTGGAGAATGTGCATTTCCGAGCCCACAAAGCCTTACTTGCTGCCAGCAGCGAGTATTTCTCGATGATGTTTGCGGAAGAGGGCGAGATCGGCCAGTCTATTTATATGTTGGAAGGCATGGTGGCAGACACCTTCGGGGTCCTGCTGGAATTTATCTATACAGGGTATCTACACGCCAGCGAGAAAACCACAGAACAGATCCTGGCTACCGCGCAATTCTTAAAAGTCTATGATCTGGTAAAGGCTTACACCGACTTCCAGACTAACCACAGCTCCTCAAAGTCACCGGCTCTGAACGGCACTGGTACTCCAGTCGTTGTTATTTCTAATAAGAAAAATGATCCTCTAAAACGGAAACGGGGAAGACCGAGAAAAGGCAATAGTGTGCAGAAGGGGAAACCAGAACTAGCTGCAGAGGAAGAAACGCAACTAAAAGTGAACAGTTCAGTTCAGAACAGACAAAACTTTGTGGTTCAAGAAGGACACGGTGTGGAAGCGAGCGAACAGAAGATGTCCAAAGACGAGGGACCTGAGCCCGCGGGGGAGCCAGCGAGAGGGGAGGGGAAGGGTGAGAACTGTGACCCCAAGGCTCGGGACGGACAGGACAGCCTGAGTAGGTACAGCAAGCGGAGGATTCGGAGGTCTGTCAAGCTTAAAGACTACAAACTCATCGGAGATGAAGACGACCAGTGCCCCGCCAAGAGGATCTGTGGAAGGAAAACGCGCGCCAGCGGTCCCGAGGCCCAGTGTAAAGACTGTGGGAAAGTCTTTAAGTATGACCACTTTTTAGCAATCCACCAGAGACGCCACACTGGTAACTACACTTTCCAAACTTAGTGCGCCTCTTTGGGAAATGTGGAATTGTGGTCATGACTATTTATTTATGGTTCCGTTTCTGCAGGATAGGCATCGCAATAAAGCCTTCTTCCCTGTTACCGTATTTAGGCCTTAGTAGCCCCACAGTAGGCGATGTCCCCAGTGTACTGGTGAGGGGCGGGTCTTACAGCATGCTTGCCCATGCCTTGCTGACCCAACAAAGCCTGATCCAGAGCCCTTGTTTTTTCTTTTTTCTTTTTCTTTTCTTTTTATCAAGTTATCAAGCACCTCCTGCCTTCTGATTTGTGGATGTCCCTCACCTTTGGGGAAGGAGTCTCTTGCCCTGCTCTGTAGACACCTTTATAGTTTAGCCATCTTGTAAAAGATTTCTCTCCTTTCGGGTGTCCCTGACTCAGCATTGGTATTCAGTCCCCCTTGTGAATGAAATGTCTTTTGTCCTCTGTCCATGTGGCCAATGTGGCAGCCACTAACGACATACGGACCTTTTCTCCTCTCACAGTACTAGGGTTTAGGTGCATGCCAGCCAAGCATTTGACACCTCAACTGTACCCCAGCCATATGTAGAAATGTCATCGCTTGAGTCTAGATATCTACACTGAGAAACTGAGTTTCAGTTTTGTTTCGGTTAACGTAAGTGTGAATAACCACATATGTCTGATGGCTACCGTATTGGACAGCGTGTCTCTAGCGGAAATCCTCGAACCCTTTCTGTTTCAGGTCAGGTTCTGTCATTGCAAGCTTCCGCATACGGTAGCTAATGGATCCTAATACAACATTGTGTTTTAGCTGTCTTCATCCAAATTGTGCATAACTTAAAAGCATTACATTGTTCAGTAAAACAAAACTTAATTAAGGGAAAACAGCTGGTGGAATCTTTCCTTTATCCCCCCGGGGTCTGAAAGTTTGCACCCAGCCTTAGTGTGCCTGTTTTCTCCCTTTGGTATTTGCCAGGTAGATCGGTAAGTGGTCATTCCGGAACACTTCCATGATTACTTCACACATGACCTTGTGACCAGTACTTCTTTCTCCCAGTCCAGAGCCTCTGCGGCCCGAACTTCCTTCCCCTGCCCCTTATATTTCCCACCTTTGTTTTAGCTTCTGGGAGACTGCCGCTGTACTTTTGAGCTTTCAGGCTTGCTATTTCTACTCTTTGTTTTGTTTTTAGGAACCTAAAATTTTGTTTTCGGTTGTAGAGTGAAGATGAGGAGTTATGTAACGAGCTCGCCAAACCAAGATGAATGATAAATAGGGTGTTTATTGGGGATGACCTTACACAGATGACCATAAGTAACTGTCGCAGTATTCCTGCTCCAAGGATGCAGACCCCGACTCCCCGGTGCTCTCCATGACCCAAAGGGACTTCTAGCCCCTGTTCCTCTTCCTTAAACGGGTTATGTCCACACCTGGAGCCACGCCCAAAGGACGGGGCCACTATTGCAAGGCAATATGCAGCTACAGTAGAGCTCCAACCTCGTACCCTTAGACAGTTGCTCCACGCCTGAGTTAAGTCCCCAATAAATTACTGTTTTGTTTTGAGACATGACCCCATCCTGCCTCAGCTTCCCAAGTGCTGCTGTCACAGATGTGTGCCACCCTTTCAGCACCCTGGTGACATGTATGCATTGTGGTGTCTGCCGTCACCGTTAGAGGCTTTCCTTGACTGTAGTGTGAAGATTTCTTTTATGTGTATGCATGTTTGCCTGCACGTATGAGCACCGTGCGTATGCACGGGAACCCAGAAGAGTGTCAGTCAGACCCCGAACTGGAGTTTCAGGGGTTGGATGTCTGTCACTCTGGGTGCTGAGAACCCAGCAAGGTCCTCTGTCAGAGCAGAGCCACTTCTCCAGCCCCAAATGCAGGGATGTCCTTTTTATTCATTTATTTATTTTTGCATCGGGGCACTGAGCTACGGACAGCATTTCTGTGGCTGTGGCGCCTGTGTCTTTTATTAAAAGTTAGGTTACATCCCATAGCTTCTACTTGTTGGTGTCATCTAGTCCTCTTTCTAGACTTTCATCGCCGATAGCTCTGGTTGTTTGCCCTAAATATTTAACATTATGAGCGATTCTGGGATGTATATTTTAATTTGGGAGGCCCTCGTTTACGCTGCGCCTCTCGGCTTTGATCGCAGGGGAACGACCCTTCAAATGTAACGAGTGTGGGAAGGGTTTCGCCCAGAAGCACTCCTTGCAAGTCCACACCAGGATGCATACAGGGGAGCGGCCGTACACCTGCACCGTGTGCAGCAAGGCACTGACCACCAAGCACTCACTGCTGGAGCACATGAGCCTGCACTCAGGTAATGGGGCTTGCACTAGGGGCCCCAGCCACCAGGGTCCCGTGTCCTGGGGTGGCATTTCTCCCATCTAAGTGGTGGTTGCTCAGCCTGGTGTCTTCGAAAGACAGGGTTTTGCATGTGTTGGTGTGCTGCTGTGGACAACACCAGCCAGCCTTCAGCTAGACCTTAGCAACTGTCTCCTGCAATGCAGTATGCTTCTAAATGTGTTTTACTCAAGCACTAGCCTTGAGGGTTCTCTCTATGCCCTTGAAGAACTCTTGCAGTCCACAGTTCTACTCCAGGTCCCACTGCCCCCTGCCACCTTGCATAGTTTTACACACTCTAGAAAGGTTTCTGGGTGTGTAGACAAGGTACTCATCACTTGTGTAAATGGGAACCTGGGTACTGTGTTACTTAATTCATTAATGAGCATCCTAACTCTGCAGTTTTGGCATGATTTAAGTGTTGTTTTTTTGTTTTGTTTTGTTTTTAATTTTTTAATTGGCAGGGCAGAAGTCTTTTACCTGTGATCAGTGTGGAAAATACTTCAGCCAGAAAAGACAGCTAAAGAGCCATTATCGAGTCCACACAGGTATGATACCAATAAGGTGAGGAAAAATTTGCATGGCTGGGGAAGAAATGCAGATACAGAGTATTTGTGAAACAGTAGGTTCACCTTACAGAATGAATGGAAGTACTGGGAAAGGCAGCCAGGCTAGGAATGCAGCGCATTTAGTAGAGGGCTTGCCCTGGGCTCAATCCCCAGTCACATAAAACTAGGCATTGGAGCACACAGCTGTTATCCCAGCACTTGAGGGATGAAGACAAGAGGATCAGAGTTCAAACTCACCCTCGGGTATGTAGTGAGTTTAAGACCTGCCTGGGTTACCTGAGACTGTAGCTTAAAAAGAAAAAGTCAGAGGTTGCCATGCTGTTCTCCAATATCAAAAGACTCAGCTTAATGTTTGCACCATGATTTTGGAACTACATATAGAATCACCACAGAACCGCTGTATCCAAAAGTGCTGCTCGCCCAAGAGGCCTCGGTTGGTTGGCCGGTATTAGTGGCACCTGGAAAGGGATGTCTCATCCATGGCTTCTGATCTGCTACAGGTCCTGTCCTTCCTGCCAGCTGATAAGAAATGAGGGGGCAGGGACATCATTCAGGTCCAAATGACCAGTCCCACTAGCATGAGGAGAGAAGGGTGTTTACGAGGGCTACAGGACCCTTGCTCTCAGAGGAGCACCGAGTGAGGGCCTTTGGGTAATAAAGCTTATTGTTGTTGTAAAGTGTCATATTTAAAGTGATTATTTTTCAGGGCAGTGCTTTAACACAAATCACTGAAGAAATGCAGGGAGAGCATACATGCACTGACACTTTTTTTATCATTGCGGCAAGGCCACTCACTGCCAGAATGCAACCACTGCCATCGAAAATTCATGGATGTGTCTCAGCTAAAGAAACATCTGCGAACACACACAGGTAACGCGCCACCTCATTCAGCCTCCTCCGCCTGTGTTTGGGATGCTCATTGCAAATACGGTGCAAGTTTGATGAGTTTTATTTAAAATTCCAAGTAATGTCGTATGGGGACATTACATCCCGCTGCGAGTCAGCACAAAAAGGGGATTGCCTGATGAACGCTGTTCATGTGTGATGATGAACGCTGTTCATGTGTGATGATGAACGCTGTTCATGTGTGATGATGAACGCTGTTCATGTGGGAGAACTCACAACAACCCACAGCAACTGCCAATCTGAGTCTGATCCCGCGTTCCACTCAGTTATTTCTTCACTGAAGGTGTCTGCACTGAGGGTGGAAACAGTCAGTTGTTCAGAAAAGGAAGCAGACACAAAGAGACACGGGATTCTTCACTCTGCCCTCTGGAACCAGTGCTCAGCCCCAAGCCTTAAATGACCGCCTCCCAGAGAGGCGGGGAAGGCAAGGCAGCTTTGTTGGGCAGGGAGTGTTTTTTTTGTTTTTGTTTTGTTTTTTCCATTTTAAGTTCAGAGAAGTAAAACTGTCCATCTTGTACCTTTTGGGTTAAAAATAAGCCTGTTGGATTTTTCCAAGAAACAGTTTCTATTAAGGTGGATTATTTAATGATTCTGGCAAATTGTCATTTACTATTGTATAGGTAGGCCTCTGACTTCAAGACTAGTTTGGTCTACAGAGTGAGTTCCAGGACAGCCAGGGCTACCCAGAGAAGCCCTGTCTTCAAAAAAACAAAAACAAAAAACAAAAAAATTATTTAGTTTTTGGCACTTTGGTTCTTTTAAGGCAGGTTGGTAACTTCCTAACATGAAGAAAACATAGTGTTGATTAAGTATCATTATCCAGGTACCTGGGACCAGAAACAACCAAATGAAGACGGAGGTTTCTGAGCCGCCTGGTCCTGCAGCCATTTCTTCCCAAATAAACACAGAGAGGCTTCTGTTCATTATAAACTGTTTTGCCGATGGCTCAGGCTCCTTACTTGGATAGCTCTCTCTTAATTATTAACCCATAACTATTGATCTATATATTTCCACTTGGCCTTATCTCACCAGAGAATGCGGGAAGCCTATCTTCCTGGTGGCTGCATGGTGTGTCTCTGTGCTCCTCTCTGTGCTCCTCTTCCCAGAATCTCCTAGTCTGGTGGCCCTGCCTATACTTCCTGTCAGTCAGCATTTATTCACCAACCAATAGGAGAAACAAATTCACAGCACACAGAAGGACCTCCCCCATTACCCAAATCCCCAGAATGTTCCAAATCACAAACGTTTTGAGTGTCAGTGTTATGCCACGGTGGAAAGCGCCACACTTCTCCTCATGGGGTAGAGCATTGTCGATTCAGGTCTAATGCTGTCTAAAATCACTCAACAGGCTCTGCGTGGGAAGTTTATATGAAACATGATGAAGTTTGTATATGGATTTGATCCCACCTCTAAAGTGTGTGTGAGAGAGGGAGAAGGGAGGACAGAGAACATTTTCTAAAATCTGAAAAAAAAAAAAAAAAACAGTGATAGCTCCGATTTCCAGCAATTTTTCTTTACTCTTTTTTTTTTTTTTTTTGAGATTTATCTATTTTTATTTTACATGTAAGTGTGGCTTGCCTGCATATGTCTATGTACTGAGGCCTGACTTGGGAAGGCAGAGTGAGTGCCGGCTGACTCAGGAAGCATGTAGGTTTACCTCAGTCCCGCGTAGGGGTTTGAGCATGGGAAAGCCTAGCTGTTTGCAGTGAACCGATAGGGTTAGGCTACAGATAGTGAGCCGATCACTGAAAGCAGGCAGGGGCATGAACGGGGGGGGGGGGGTGCACGTGGGCAGAGAAGGAAGGGCCTGGGGTAGGTAGTTAGCAGATCTGGGAGAGAGAGGAAAGTCTTCAGGTCAGGAGAGTGGATGAAGATGTTTGGGAGCTCATTGGTCAGGAACAAAATAGTCATTGCTTGTATGACAAACTGTTAATATTCCAAAATATAAAAAGTAGGAAACCAGGCAGAAGGTGTGCACCCTCTGGAACTGAGTCAGCTCTGACTGAATCTTCCTGAGTCGCCCTCATGTGTCTGGCTTTACCTTTCCTTGCTTAGGCCTATGAAAGACTTCCTTCTGGCCCCTGCTGCTCAAGCCCTGACATTTATAACCCCTTTAGCAGCTGTCTCTGTTAACAGCTGGTGGTCTGTCAGAGTCTCGGGACTGAATAAAAGAGGAGTGGCCAGTGAGTTGAAGGAGGTAGTGCACACAGGGCAGATCCGAAGCCAGGGGTCAGAAGACTCCATCAACCTTGTGGCTTGAGTGTGCCCTACAGATGTCAGTGTTGGAAACCTAATGGCTGACAAAAGGTGTTGAAACAGGCAGGCACTCATGAAAAGCGGTGCTGTATCAGGGCAGGGGGGGCCTGGGAAGAATGAGTCTGGTCCCTTCCCTCCCCCTCCAGCATCCTTTCTTTTCCACCGTGGCCCTGGCCAGTGTGGTCCCTCCCTGCACTTGGAACTCGCCACTCTCCTGAACTGTGTCGAATAAGGTCTTGGGGCTGTGTGTGGTGGTGACGCCTTTAATCCTGGTACTCAGGAGACAGAGGCAAGTGGATCTCTGTGACCGGAGGCCAGTCAGAGCTGCAGAGTGGGTACATCGTCCACATGAGAGGTGGACACTGGCCAGAGTCTGAGCAGGCCCCGGCTCTGAGGAGGAAGCCGCCTGGCCGTAACCTTTGGAGTGATAAAAGTTAGTGATGTGCTTGCTGGCTGTCCAGTTTGTCTCGTGCACGGTGCCCTGCCTGGGTAGAGCTTGGAGACAAGTCTGGTCGGAAAGGGCATCTCAAGTTGCCCTTCTTCCCTGCTGTTCTCCAGTGAGGACAGGTCTGCTGCTGCAGGGTTTCCAAAACTCCCCTCACTCACGTTAGAATCCCTGCACTTTGCTCCTGGGGGGCATGAAGGTCCACTGTTGCATGGGCAGTGTGCAAACTAATACTGAAGAACGCTTGTTGCTGTTAACCAGTGAGGTCTGCGAACTACAGCAGTTTGTGTGAGCCTCAGACCGCCCCTGGGAAAGCCATTCATTGGGCAGGGTGTGTGTGTGTGCGTGTGTGTGTGTGTGTGTGTGTGTGAAGATCTGTGACCTGTTGTGGTGAAATGTTTCGTCAGTGTGGAGACACCCATACTGTTTTCCTAGTAGACACTGGATAGCCAGGAATAGGCCCCTTTCAAGACTGCTGTGATCCAAGAGGGAGGGAACTGAGAAATAGTGAGCTTTCTGGACATACTTGGAAGGTAGATATAAATGTGAATACAGAAGCCCCTCTGAAGGTCCAGTGGCCACCTTGCCCAGGAGTCGTGCAGGGGGCAAGAGTCAAGGTAAAAAATGCAAGAGTAACTACGAGTTCTTTTATCACCCACACATGAGCGGAAGGAACCACACCTCCCCTGCATTCTCTTGGCCCCGCCCCGCCCGCCCGGATGTGTCCATGCACTCAGGGATGCCTTCCCATTGTGAAGGAAAGCGCCTGAGTTGTTACTGTTTTTCTTTATTTTCTAAGGTGTGTGTCCCTACCTCCAGCTAGTCAGGCATGTATTAATAAACACTTTCCCCATTCCTATTTTAGGTGAGAAGCCATTTACTTGTGAAATCTGTGGGAAGTCTTTCACAGCCAAGAGTTCCCTTCAGACCCACATCAGAATCCACCGGTAAGCTTGTTTGGTTTCGGTGACAGGGACATACCGCTCTAGCCCATGCTGGCCCCAAACGTGCTTATCTGCCCCAAGTACCGGCACTGCTGTGGATGCCATCACATCTAACTGTTTTTGTCATTTAGCAGCCTCATTGAACTCTGGTGTTCTGTGGGTAACCCATGCCCTATATAAACTTTTCTTCCAGTTGTTACTCTGCTAGAAATCTCTGTGTGATTCATTATTTTATTTTTTTCAGTAATTAAATTTCTCAGCAATATTGGGTCTGGCCAGTAAAGGCTTACATTGTTGGGTTCGTTATTTAGTTTTTATTGGGGGGAGTGGTCTAGAGCTCACATCTTCAATCAGAAGTAATCATTAAGGCCTGGAGAAGTGGCTCAGTGAATAAACTACTTATTGCATGAGAATAAGGATGTGTTTGGATCTCCAGCCCCATGGAAGAGCCAGAGGTGATGTAGGAGGGCAGAGGGTGGAGGCAGGTGGATCCCAGGGATTGTCTGACTGCCAGGCTAGCCAGAATGGCAAGCTCTGAGCTCCGTGAGAGACCCTGTCTCTAAAGTAAGGTGGAGTGTGGTTGCGGAGGGCTGCCAGCGTTGACCTCTGCCCTCCACGCACACACAGAGATACACTACACACGCAAACGAAAGCCTCAGTGGAGTGTGTTACACTCCAAACCTCAGCACATAAAAGGTAGAAGCAGGAGGGTGGCCCACAAGTTCAAGGCTAGCCTGGACTACATAGGAAAATTCCATCCAAAAGAAAAGGGTTCTGTTCATAAAAATTACTAGGTTGGATTTAGGTATATTTCTAAACACTTCAAAAATAATTAGTAGCTGCTTAAAATTTTAATATTGATATTAATTATAATATATACATACCTACTTGGCCCCTGGTGTCTAAAAATAAGCTATGAGAACTAAACGCAAAATGGAACTGTTTGTGTAACATATAAATGTTTACTTTCCTACCTGAAACACATAACAACAGAATTATAGAATTTCATCCCATGTAGCCCAGTCTCGTCCGCCACCCTACCTTAAACCCTTTCCAGCCCTTTATCTTTGAGACTTGAAGCAGGAGCACAGAGAAAGGGCTCACTCCCAAGTCCGTATTTGGTAGGAGAACCTGACCCCGGAACCTGCCTGGTCGGCGTTCCTGTGTTGTGTGCTCTCTAGTGTGAAGCAGAGCTGGAGTTTTTAGGGGTTTTGACGAGAGTCTAGGCACTGGCATCCAGGGAAAGGAGAGTTTTTATAAAGAGGATGGCAAACACTCACGCCGGGTGCCGGCCCAGCATCCCTTTACTTTGGATTGCCTCCGCCTAAGTACCTAGGAAGGAGAAAGCAAGTGTTTCTGTGTTTTCTTACAGAGGAGAAAAGCCATACTCCTGCAGCATCTGTGGCAAGTCCTTCTCTGACTCCAGTGCCAAGAGGAGGCACTGCATCCTACACACGGGCAAAAAGCCTTTCTCCTGCCCTGAGTGTAGCTTACAGTTTGCTCGCTTAGACAATTTGAAGGCTCACTTGAAAATTCACAGCAAGGAGAAACACACATCGGATCCCAGCAGCGTTTCTGGCAGTAATGCTGACGAGGTCCGGAACATTCTTCAGCTACAGCCGTACCAGCTCTCCACCTCAGGAGAGCAGGAGATTCAGCTTCTTGTAGCTGATTCTGTGCATAACATTAACTTCATGCCAGGCCCTAACCAGGGGGTCAGCATCGTGACTGCTGAGAGCTCTCAGAACATGGCCACAGACCCAGCCGCTAACCTTGCCCTGCTCACACAGCAACCGGAGCAGCTGCAAAGCCTGATTCTTTCCGCTCAGCCGGAGCCAACAGAACACATTCAGAGCCTCAGTATGATTGGTAGCCAGATGGAACCCTCCCAGCCAGAGCCAGTGCAGCTAATCGCATTTTCCAAAGACACGCTGGCGCATCTGCATGCCCACCAAGGCCAGACAGAGGCTCTCCGCTTGGCAGCGGATGCTTCCGGTCCCGCCCAGCACCTGCAGCTAACTCAGGAGTCTGACCCATCCCTACCCACTCCTCTAGGCCAGGAGCAGAGCTGACCCATACACATGACTGACCGTTCCACAGGACCCCTGTCCTGGGCCAGCAGTGACAGGCTGGTCCTTTAAAGATGTGACAGCTCTATCGGTCAGAAGCTGAGTGTTGGCAAATGTGCACAACCTGTCTTATCTGTAATACCAGTTCATATTTAGCATTTAAATATTGATGAGGGGCTCCACTCTCGTTGATTTAGACTTTTCTCTAAGTGTTGAGTGTTCACCGCCATAGAGTGTGTCTTCTTTAGAACAAAACGTCGTATGTAGGTTGAATCTTCAGATTCGATGGTTGGTTCCATTCCGTTATTTCTCTTACGCAGTATACTTGCCAGTCCAAAACAGGTCAGGACTGACCTGTACTTGATTACATCAAGCAAGAGATTTCCCCTCTGGTAACTCTTAAAGATCACCTCTTAAATTTATCTTGTGTGGTGCAGTCGGCTGATCCTGATGCACTAAAGATAGATTCAGACTTGAAAACCATACATGATATGAAAGCCAAATGTACTTTTTGTTTGTTTTTTGAAACAGGGCTGCTCTATGCAACAGCTGTAGCTGTCCTGGACTCATTTTGTAGACAAGGCTGGCCTCCAACTCACAGAGATCCGCCTGCCTGTGCTTCCTGACAGCTGGGATTAAAGGCGTGTGCCACCGTCACCTGGCACAAAATGTCATTCTAAAATTTTTTGAGTTCAACTTTTCTGCAAAACATGGATTTATACCTTTTTTTGAAAGAAGCAGACTGTTAAATTTTTAATTAAAAAGTCTTCTAAATATGAAACTAAATCAAGATATTCATTCCAAATAAACCAGTGTGTCAGATAATGACTTGATATTCATGAAAAAAAGGGTTCTTAATTACCTGGAACTTTTAATACACTACTGAATTATTCTTGATCTCAAAATACTGATTTACATGTTCAATCTTAGAACTTCATAGAGGTAGAAGTATGCAGTAAATTTTTTTTTCCCTTCGAGTCTAGATGAAACTCCAACACACCTTTTAATTTTGAGGCTTAGGGTGGAAGAAGCCAGCCTGTGGCTATGATTGTGTGTATTTCAAATGTCTGGGTTGTTTTCAAGACCACTGTGTTTAGTTGAATTCTTTGTTATGTCTCATAGAGCTAGCAGTCATGTCTGAGAAAGAGACAGGGTAGACAGTGGGTTCGGAATCAACATCTGCTCGATGTCAGCTGTGTTCCTAGACTGCTCTTATTCCCACTGAAATCCAGTGTGTTTCTGCAAACTAGAGTTTTACAGAAATAGACAGACAATTCTTCAGGTTACAGAGAAGAACCAAGTATTTTTATTGCATATTTACCAAGTTGTATTTTACTATGCAAAATTTACAAATTGAGTTACCAAGGTGGTAGATACGTATGTATCAGCTAAAGTAATATGAAGTTGGACCTGACAAGAGCAAACTCTTTACAAATACTGTTTTACTTTAGTATTTCAGATTCTTGACTTGGTCGTTTAAACAATGCATTCATTGTGAGTGTGTGTGTGTGTGTGTGTGTGTGTGTGTGTGTGTGTGTGTGTGTGCGTGCGCGCGCGTGCGTGCCTGTGTGTTCTGCAGGACACATTGGCTGCCCTGGTGTGGCGCTCCTCCTCCTTACCCTGAGACAGGAATCTGGAAGCTGTTGTCCAGCAAGCCGTGGTCATCCTCCTGTCTGTCTCCACCTGTAAGCACACACGCCACTTCCTGCATTTTGACTTGGGTGCTGGGGTTCAAGCTCCGGCCCTTAAACTTGCACAGCTGGTGCTCTTACCCACTGAGTACCTCTCTGGCCCCTGCTCATTCCTAAAACACAAAGTTTTTATGTTCTTTTCAAAACCTCCTAATACTCCTTTTCCCCAGAATGCTACATTGTATTAAAGTAAATTAATTTTTTTCTTACTGTAGACAGCAAGGTTGTACAGCTGTTGGTTTGGTTTTGGTGCTGGACCCAGCCCATACAAGTTAAATTTAATTTACTTTATAACAGTCTACCTCTGAACTGAATTAGGCCTGGTGGTGCAGGCCTGTGATCCCCAGAGGCAGAAGTAGAGACAGGAGAACCTTGAGTATAAGGCTAGCCTGAGCTACTTAAACCCTGTAAAAGAGCACACAGCCTGGGGGTGTAGGTCAAAGGTGTTCCTGGCATGCACAGCACTGGGCTCTGTCCTCAGCACTGGCGAGGTACAAGACACAAGAAATTTAAAATGTTCAAAAGGCACATGTAACAATTGTTACAAACAGTTTTCCCGTCAGCCTGGTTCCACAGCCGCATCAGCCCCAAATAACACACAGAGATGCTTTATTAGATATAAAGCTGTTGGCCTGTTACTAGCGTATCAATCTAAGTGTTTCCACATTGTCTCAACTTACCAGACAGGGGATCCACACTTCTCTGAAGTTCCTACATCTTGACTCTCCCTACTACACCTCCCAGAATCATCCTTGTCTCCTAGTCCTGCCTATCTTGCCTTCCTATTGGCCAGTGCTTTGTTCATTAACCAATAAGAAACATATTTACAGAATGACATCTCCCATCAAACAATAGGCGAAATTAATCTTAACTGTTATTTAATCTACTAACTTAACTTAATCTAATAACTTAACAAGGTTATTTATTTAATCTACTATAACAGTCAGCCTCAATTGCCACCACCCTGAATCATGTGAGAGAAGCCATTGAAGGGTTGGTCTGTGGGCACACCTGTGATGGACTGTCTTGATCATTAACTGATGTTCAAGGGCCCAACCCACTGTGGGTGGCATCATCCCTCAAGCAGGTGGCCCTGGGCTGTACTAAAAAGCTAGTTAAGTGTGGGCTAGTGAGTGAGTCACTGAGCAAGCCTGCAAGTCAGGTCCCTCCACGGCTCCTGCCTTGAGCTCCTACCTTGCCTTCCCTCAGTGATGGATCATGACTTGAAAGTGAAAGCCAAATAAACCCTTTCTTCTCCCAAGTTGCTTTGGTCATGCTATTTGACACAGTTACAGAATTCAACTAGAACATTTACTGCGAGATATTTCAACATGTAATTAATATTAAAGTGAATTAATGTACATCCTCCCTTGATTCAAAATTAGTTGTGTTTTTCATACTTGCTGTATACCTCAATTTTGACAACAGTGTTTGCTGGTAGTGTTTGATTTACATTTAGATTTCATACAATTTATAGGTTAAAAACCTAGATCTCATCTATCAATGTAGTTCAGATAACTGTTTTCAATCACCGAAAGAAATACGTTTAACTTCTAAAAGTCTGTTTCTTGGTTGATCTGGCCACATGATAAGCCCTCCCTGACTGTTTCCAGCATCAGATCCAGTCCCTGCCTCAACTGTGTCAAAGGAGAATCAGAAAGTGATGATTTTTGTGCCCTAGCTCTCTGTGTCTATAATACACATTCTGGCCCTTGGGATGAAAAGCTCCTTTTTAGCCGGGCTGTGGTGGTGCACGCCTTTAATCCCAGCACTCGGGAGACAGAGGCAGGTGGATCTCTGTGAGTTCAAGGCCAGCCTGGTCTACAAGAGCTAGTTCCAGGACAGGCTCCAAAGCTAGAAAGAGACCCTGTCTCAAAGCAAACAAAAGAGAGAGAGAGAGACAGAGACAGAGACAGAGGAAGGAAAGGAAGGAGAGAGGGAGGGAGGGGGAAAGCTTACTGTGCAAACATCACTCAGGTGCTTGCCTTCTGTTTCTTGAAATTTTCTGCATCTCCTTTTTGTTACATAAGGGCTTACGTTAACCTGGAGTATGATCTGCCCTACAGGTTGTCTACTGGGTCTGGATGGAAGCTGAGTGGTAAGCCTTCCTCCAGCCACATTGCTCCTGAAACTTTGGGGTGCTGGAGCATGCTGGCAGCAGGGCTATCATCCCAGCAGCAGGAGGTAAAGGCAGGAGGCTCGGGAATACATGCTTTGGCTGCATAGTTAGTGTGAGGACAGCCTGAGCCACATGAAATCAGGTCTTACAAAACAAAACCAGGATTCCAGGGTTCATAAGGCGCCATGTGGTTTCGGGACTCATTCCATCTGGTTGTGCCGTGTGCTCATTGCCTCTTCTGCCCCATGGATTCATTTGATTACGCTCCTGCTTAGAAAGAGGCCATTGGCTTTTACCTGAGGCCTCTTTCCCTGCCTGGTTGCTTGCTTCTGGGTCTTCCATGATCTTCCCTCTGTGTCGTCTCCCACCTTCCATAGAACCCTGGGGCACACTGCATTAGCCCACACAAAACCTAATTCGTATCTTCACTAACTCTTGAAAGGTCCTGTTTCCCAGTGCACCCCTATTTAGAGGCAGCGGGTTTGGGGCTTCGGTGTTGATTTGGGAGGTGGGAGGGGGGAGGGGGAGAGGGCAAGGCACACTTCAGCATGAATTGGCATCTGGGCTGAGGAGGGGACTGTGAACTAGGAAGCAAGCCCCACTTAATCTTCATGACATTCCTGTGAGGTAAGTAGCATTATTATCATTAGGCCCATTTTACAGATGAGAACAGTGGAGCCCAAAGACATGATGCGTTTGTTACCGGGCCATAAAGTGGCAAAGCCAGAGCAGTAGCCTCAGCCTGGCTGATCTCATTATACTGCGTTCACAAAAAAAAAAAAAAAAAAAAAAAAAAAAAAAAGCTTGAGACAGAAACTGAGGGTGTGTGTCTGAAAGCCATGGCACATGGTCAAGCTTAGGTAATGTCAGAATTGTAGTCCCTCCTACAGAAATGGATGGACATAATTTCAATAATACTGGTATTAACTCTTTGTTATTAATAAAAATTTACCCAGCAGATGAAAGTTGCCAGGAAGGCAAGAATACCTTAGCTGCCTCAGACTCTCCATAAGTGAGGCACTTCCCCCCAACCCCAAAGTTTAGGACAAATTTGATTTACAAGTATTAAGCTAAATTTTTATCTTCTATTTCTAAACTTGAGTCTAAATCCTCATAAATTCAAAGAAAATCATTTGCTCCTGCTTGTGTAACGCCTAAAACCAAACTCCCCCTTGCCTGCAATGTGGGGGAGGGAAGGGGTGACCTCAGAATCTAGTGTCACAGTAATGGACTTGTTTTCACAGTCATTACAGCTGGTTAAGCAACCAAGATGTTACTGAGCAGGTAATTCTCAATTGAAATGTCCCATGTTAGACAAATTTTTGAGCTAAATCTCATTCAACCAGATTTTTTTTTTATAAAATACAGGAACCTGACCACATTTAGATAATATCAGCAAAATATCTTGGCTTTTTTGTTTGCTTGTTTTTTAGTTTGAGAAATGCTAATTTTTTTGTGAAATGTGGGATGAAGGGAAAAAAAACATGCACACCCAGAAATTCTGTGTCCTGGGGCACAGATTTATCATTTTGAATTCTTAGTAAGTGTAATACATCACTTTATAATTTGAAAATGACTTCCCAAAGAATAGTTTGGCTCTTCGCCTTATTCTAGTTGGTTTGTTGAGTCAGGATCTCACACAGACCAGAGTAACCCTCCTGTCTCCACCCACCGAGTTCTGGGATTGCAAGTGTTCAACACCATGCGTGGCCAACTCCATACCTGTCAAATGAAAAACTAACTGAAACTTCATTGATGGGGTTGTCCTGTGTATGTGTTTCTCTTATCGTTGATGACTAAAACACCATGTGGCTAGTAGCCAGGCAGGAAGGGTAGGCAGGGCTACCAGAAGAGAAGAATTCTGAGAAGGATAGGCAGACAGGAGTCAGCAAGTAGCCACTGGGAGACTAGGATGCATCAGGCATTCTCTGGTAAGATAAAACATGTGGAAATACTTAGATTAATAGAAATGGGTTAATAATTAAGACAGAGCTGGCCGCCAGCCAACAGATTTG